CGTCTGAAAGGCCCTCCTTCTCTTTCATGAATTTCGAAATGCAGAAACGCACCGCCGGCTCAGCCCCTGCTTCTCGTGCTAGAGCCACATCTTTGGACGCTAGAGCAAGCAAGGGTGATCTGCAATGCAGCACAGCCAACACCGAGCGTCCCTGTTGCAGTGTCGTGTCCCGTTGCAGCGCCGCCTTCGGCTTGTTGCCTTGAGCAATGCGCAGCAACTTGTCCGAGCATGCCACAGTTGACGTCGCCGCTATTCGGGCCGAGAGCAACCTGTTCGCGGACGTTCCGATCAAGGCTGATGACGAGCCTAAAACGATCCATGCCAACGCGTCGCATGAAATGAGAGCGTCCGCAAGGACAAACCAGCCTCGGAAGAGATTGCATGAGATTGATTGCCTTGGACACATTTGGAGCCTTTTCCTTCGGAGACCATGGTCCGGCTTGCTTGCCGCGTCTGCACTTGCGATCACATGTGCTGTGTGTGTGGAATCGATGCTTTCAGGGATCTCCGACGTCTGCCTGCTGACAGCACGGAGGACAGCACGGAGAATGTCCGGGCGGCATCGGTAAAGCCTAGCCAAAAGCACAAGAGTCTCTTACTAATACACCGGAGCGCTCGGATCTCGTCACGCCGGCTTTCCGGAGCCATCCTTGTCCTGACACTCTGAAGCTATCTTCTCGGCCCAAGCGAAGCCTGATGCGAAGAATGCTGCAATGTTTGAAGTGTCACCTTTTGCCTTCTGAGGGGGTCTTTAATACATTATTGGCCTGCTGCATCGGCAGTAGAACGGGAGACTTGGTGATCCACGGCCCCACCTGGCGGAATCCGTGCTCCTACAGCCGCCTCTTTGTTGCTCTCTATAGGTTTATCAGATGCAGCACCCTCTGATGCGTTCGATGCTGCTCCGGCGGCTGCGGCCGCTTCCTTCCTTTGCCGGACATGCTCTCTCAGCTTCCCGCCGTGGATGTAAAGCAACAGCGGCAGCGGCGTCAAAAGCAGCGCTAGGCCTCCTAGCAGACTCGTTGCCCCTTGCACAGTGATGCCTTGACACATTTGTCTCGTGAACAGGGGCAGTGCAGCAGCCAATGCCGAACGACAGAATCCTGCCGCTGCCAACACGCTGGGAGCTGAAGGTCCTCCGTACGCCACCAAGTACGGGATCAGTGAAGTGAAAGCTGACATCGATCCAGCGCAAAGCAGCACGATGCCGATGGCGGGCACGATCCAGTGGACATCTGTTCAGAGCGAGGGAAAGATGGTGAGCGAGCAGTGTCAGATTGGGTCTGAAGGCGTCGAGCATGAGTAGCTCATCACGTAGAGACTAAGCACTTACGCGTAAAGGGCACCGTCCATGCAAAGAGGAAGAGCCCTACGGGAGCAAGCGAGCATCCGTAGATGGCATGGATGAGCGAGGTCTCTGGCGGTAGCATCTTCTTGCCGGTTTTTTTACGAATGCGTCGATTGATGGCCTCCTGTACGAACAGGTAGTTACAAGCGGCGATCGAGAATCCCAGGAAGAGGGTGATGTAGATCAAGCCGATCGATTCAGGTCTGAACCCGCGGATGGAGGCAAATGCGAATGGGATGATGACGAAAAAGTCGTAAATGATGGCGTACAATAGCGAGGTGTAGATCGAGATGACCAGCACTACTCGGTCAGTGAAAAGCCATTGGAAAGGCAGTTTCAAGGATCGAGAGATGGTGTGACCAAGCGACCGCCCGGCGCTACCAGCACGCGATGCACGAGACACTGCGGCTTTGTCGTCAGTCCCATCGCTGACATCCCGCGCTGCGTACTTGGCGTCGTGAAGTCTCTTGAGCCTCGGATGATCAGTCTCGGGCACAAAAAGGATACTGATCACCGTAACGACGGCAACGAATATAGCCTGGTGTCGAAGGTTCCACTGCCATCCCGCGCGCTCGTTGACGAAGGCACCCACAAGTCCACCTAGAGCGGGACCAGCGAATGCCGAGAAGCCGTAGCAGGTGAAGAAGGGCGCGTATTTTGGCGGTGTAGTCATGTCGCTGTAGGATGCCGGGACATTGTTGAGTGCGGACGCTCCCGCAATGCTGCTGAGCAGTCGGAAGACAAGAATCGTTGCTAGATTGTCGGAATCGGATATGACGAAGCAGCCGGCACTGAACAGAATCCAAGAAACGACGTATACGGGCCTCTTTCCCTGGGACTGGGCCAAAGGTCCGTGCAAGAGGGGACCTAACGCAAATCTTTTATTATAGTAGTTTGGGAAGTGTTGTGTCAGTAGCTGCTATGATTCTATTCGGTCATACTATCTGCGATATTCTTACCCAAGAACGTAGAGCGAGAGGCCGAGCGTAATGACTTCGGCGCCAGTGTTGAAGCGACGCTGCAGTGAGGTGGCCGACAGCGCAAACGATGTGGAAAGGTAAGTGTAGGAGAGGACCATTGAGCCGAGGATCAGAGTCACCCTCGTCTTTTTACGTGTGCTCCATTCTCTCGGATTTTCCACTGGTGGAACGACCGACGATGTCGAGTCGGTATTGGGACCCATTGTCCAAGCGTCGAGGCTGCGCAGCTTGAACGGAAGTCGAACGGAAGGCTGACGAAAGCAGGACGAGGTGTAGACCCCTGGTTTCCGGACGATTGAGGATAGAATTCGCAGTTGGTACCCCTAAGAGCTATCCTGTATACGAATGTTGCTTCTCCGACTAGCTAGTGCTGCGTTCGATGTGTGCTGAGAGCGGTTGCTTGTTTGGTCTGAGGGCCGCGAATGCAGCTTGTACCGACCAATGCGATTGAGAAAGCAGCTCCTCGGTCAGCGGTATGTTGACGTCGAGATTTATAACGAGGGGGCCCTCATGTGCGAAGAGACAAGCACAACATCGATGGCGACGGTAAGCAACATCGACTTGAAGAAGAGCAAGAGAGCATGATAAGAGAAGGACGACGACGACGCAACAGCTCGAATTGCGGGTTTACACCGGAGTCAAATCTCATCGCGGCATTACCGTCTGATGATAGCCGGTGACACGTAACTTATTGCCGCTCAAAACGTTTCGCATCGGCAATAACAGACACGCCTGCTCAACACAGAGAGGCTCGTGACCGTTCCATGACTCTACGACGCCCATGGCCTGCTGCGTTCTCCTCTGCCCTAGCAAAGCAGTCGCGGAAGTGCACATTGCTATTGAATTCTGGCATCGAGCTCGTGATACACAGAAGCAGACCGCTCGACTGTCATTGAATGTCAATGGTTTGCAGATCAGAGTGGGCCACTGCAGGTACGCTAGCCTCGAGATCGGCAAAAGATGGCGTTGTCGGACTCCGCGCTCTTCGGTCCCTGCCGCAAATTCATGTTGTCTTGTCGCGCCCATGCAGCGATTCGAGCCAACTCCAAATTTCGTGAGAGCTGGGATGCGGCCTAACAGCCTCACCCTCGGACTTATTAGCCGACACGAACCAACACGGCGGTTAGCATCCGTCAGGGTCCAGCAACAGCATCTCTCGATCTCGCCGCAGTCTATTTGGGCAGCCCTTGCTCTCGCCCACTCAACACCGTGCACCTCGACTCGGACGGCTTTTCAACCATGTCGGCTGGTTTGGCCGACTTTACGCCGTTTCACAGCCTGGCTGGCGGGCTGATGATGGCCACATCTCTGCACACGATGCTTTCCAAGCTAGGCCTGGTCCTCGGCATCTCGGGTTTCTTTCATTCGACCGTGTCGTCAACGTTCAAGGCAGTGAAGGGCTCTTCCCGCGACGAGACAGCCTCTAAGGCAACATCGAGCTCCATATTTCCTCTGGTGGCCCCATACTTCACTGCTGGCATTTTCCTTGGGGGCGCCGTCCTGGGCATGTTACGCTCGCGCGTCGAAGCAGGGCTCCGTGTCTCGATCCTCGATGATATCAGCAGCAGCAAAACTACCTCCTTGGTGTCCATGGCTGCATTTGGGCTGCTCGTCGGACTTGGCACAAAGCTGGGTAATGGGTGCACATCCGGTCATTTCCTCTGCGGGCTCTCCCGTTTCTCCCTCAGATCGCTCGTAGCTACTGCCACCTTCTTTGGCGTTGCTGTGCTCACTCACGTTTCGATGGCTTCCGCGTCTTCTATCGCGACATCAACCTTCCAGTCAAAACTCTCCAGCCATCTCCCCGCTTCGTTTCCGCAGCCAGACTTCCTGACGCTTTTGGCTCTCCAGACCCCGGCACTCATCTACATGAACGCTGCCCACCTCTTTGGTGCTACCGACGCTTCTTCGAGTTCGGAGACGAGGAAAAGAAAACAAGTTCTAGCAGCAAAGGTGATGGCTTTGGCCGTGGGCACCCATTTCAGCTTCGCCTTGGCGATCAGCGGCATGATGAGGCCATCAAAAGTGCTCGGGTTCCTCTCCCTTTCGCCTGCGCTCGTTTCATCCGCCGCCTGGGATCCTTCACTCGCCATGGTAGCCATTGGCGGCATCATTCCGGCCTCGATCGCATACCTTCGAAAAGTCAGGCCAAAGCAGGACGAGCTCCGTCGACGATCCTCGCGGCTAGAAACCAAGGACAAACCCGCGGCAAAGGACGTCCACCTGCGGCCCGAGCTGTCCGTTGCTGCGCCCGAGTGGGGGACGCCAACAAACCCATTCAAGATCGATGCTAAGCTCATCATCGGCTCTGTCCTCTTTGGTTTTGGATGGGGAGCTACGGGCTTGTGCCCCGGCCCTGCCCTTGCATCTCTATCTTCCCTCGGTGCTCAGTCTATCTCACAAGGCATCTCATCGGGCGTCGCAGAGCTTGTTGCATTTGTCGCAGCAATGGCAGCAGGTGGCCAAATGGCCGCCTCGCTATGACCAAGTCAGCCTGTGATGCGCTTCACAGAGCATCAGGATCAATCAGAACCTGTTCTGGGTGAAATACAAGCACTTCAAATCAAGCTTGTCGGCGAGGGGCCTCCCACCGATTGAGTCGACGACTACGACTGCAGAAAGCAGTTGTTCCAATTGCCGCCAGCCTGCGCAAAGTTCTGACTGGTCACAAAGTCGTCAAGCTTGCACATCCCCGCTGCAGCGTGTTTCCTACCTTGTGCGTGCACACTGCACTCTTTCAGCCCTGAAAGCGGGAGCACGGCATCATTCAAGATGACGCGCACGTACTTGTCCGGACTGCGCTTGCACGTGAGTCGTTCGACCTCCATGCGTCCCCCCATGGGTACAATGTGAGCCGAATTCCACCGCCGGTCCTTGTGCGGGAAACGTCTGGGATCAAGCTCTTCCTTGAGTAGCCCCATGACGGCGATCGCTGAGGCGAGCTGTGTGTCGTGCGTAAAGTCGAGGTAGACCGGCAGGCCCAAGGGAAACGTCTGCCTGTTGGCGTCGAGCGTAGCGTTGGTGGTCGTGTGGTCCTTGACAGGCTTGTCGGTCAATCGAGCAAGAAGCTCGTTGACCCACCCAACGCTCCATGCTCGACCAAGCGGACCGCCGTACCCTGCATTCTCGTACTGCTGTAGGTCTTGACCGTACGAGTAGAGCTCCCACTCGCGCAGCGTGAAAATGGCGCAGAACGGCGACAAGTGGCCCAAGAAGGCCGACTGGAAGGGGCAAGCGTTTTGCATCGCTTGCACGTCCGATGTGGTCAGATTGAGATCTGGAAGAGCACGTTGCAGCCTCTTGACCACCTCGGGCAGCCAGATCTTGTTCCAGGTAGCGAAAGCATCGTCCGAAGATGTGTCATTGCTAGAGTAGGGGCACGTTCCAACGGCAAGCGAGTCATTGAATGTTGTTAGACTGTCCGGAAGAGTCAATAGCGGAGCTGTCAAGCGTTGACGCCAGTCCAGTCCCAAGAAGCCCTCCGAGAATGCCCAGCTTGTCACGTTGACTCTGCTTTGATCTGTGGTCCTAATGAACACTGGCAAAGAATGGTTGATGGGTGCATTGTACCAGTCATCCTTGCCCACCAAATGTCCGTACCTCTTCTTGAAAGCGTATCCGCTAGCATGCGCGTCCTGCTCTCCATAAGCGGTGAGTAGCTCCGGTGTGACCGCTTGGTAATCTTGCTCCAATGTCGATAAGAATTCGAGCTCGGGATGGTGCTGACCATCCCCAATGCGAAACTTGGACATGGCATCGGCTTCGCTGCTGTCATTGACTAGCTTCGAAACCATGGTGGCGATGCCCGAGCCAACACCTTTAGAAGGACCTCGGAAGTCGTGCCGCATCAAGAGATTGATTTGTTCCACTTTGCAGCCAGGTAATGGCTCTCTGGCGGCACCATAGCGGCCGACATCGCCATCTGGCACGTAGAACGACCAAGCACCAAAGTTGGTAAGAACTTCTGGTTCGACCGGCTGACCGAACTGCGTGCTTGGCCAGAGTGTGGAGCCATAGCCCAGCGAACTGGCCAGAGCGAGCAAAGCCGGCGTCCATCGTCCCATCTCGATATGTTCAGTGGACGCGGAGCTTGACTGGGAGGATGCACGATCTGCTGTTTTCGCGAGGGAGGTAGAACACGGACAAGATCGACGTTGATGAGTTTGAGAAGCACCTCGATCCTTTAAAGCCAAAATTGGGTCGTGCCCACACTGGAGCACGGGGGCAATCCAGCACCCATTCAGTTCAGCAACAACATGGTGGGCAAGTAATATCAGCTTCGGATGTCGGCGCCGAGGCATCCGTATCAACCGTACGTTGCTCAAGATTTCGACGTTGATTGGGGCATAAACTTGTAACAAAGGTCGAGTGAGCGCCAGAACGAAAGATCAGATCCTGCATGCTCGAGACACGTTCTGCTCGTCCTTGCTTGTGACCACTGGTCCGTTGCATTGGAATCTGCTTTGCTGCGACACATTTCGGCACCATGAGGCTTCCTGCAGCAAGCACCAGAACGTGCCCTGGCTTTGCATCCTAATTCCGGCGGATTTGGAGCATCTGAAGAGAGTCGTAACCGAGGTTTCTTCCACTTGATGAGGTCGACAGTGTCAAGAAGGGCGACAGTGAAATGTCGCTGTGCCAAATTTTTACGCGTAGGAAGCTCTTGCTGAACTCGGATCAGGCATGGTGAAGTTACGCAGGCTCGACACGTCGGACCTGACTTTGCCGCTCAATTACGGACGCAGACTTCGCTGTGACTGCAGCAAGCGGTAGGATATGGTAATATCTATCAATGACGACTATTATGGGCGGATGAAGCCCAAAAGGCACACCCTAGACGCTCAAGACTGAGCAGAGATGTAAGTGAATTTGACAAGGATGGGGGTGTGGTCGGACAGGGGTTTCCCAGCAGCATCGGTGAACTCGTTACCTGCATACTGCCAATCGGTCGGCTTGAGCGTCACGTTCTTGCCGTCTTTGTAAAAGACCTTGTCGACCACCTCGCAGTTGGTGGTGGTGGGGATCGGATCAGCACAAAGCAATGCTGGGTCTGTCGAGGCTGGGGGCTTGCCACCTCGAACGAGCTCCACCCAGGTATCAGTGAGCTTAGTCTGGCTCAAGAACGACAGGAGGTTGTCTTTGGGACGAGTGTACCTGCTATTGGTATCGCCCATCACAATGACTGCGCGTCCAGCGACATCGGATCGACTGACGATGGCTTGGGCGACCTGATCGAAATTCGACGTGCGTGCGATCGAGTCGCCATCATCAGAGCCAGCATCCATGTGTAGATTGTACAGGTCTACCTCGCCTCCACTGGGCAGCTGGACTGTAACGACGGTGTACCCTTTGGGGGTCAGACAGTCGCCTTCGTTCAGGTTGCATTTATCCCACTTGACGCGGGAAAGATCCTTGAACGGAATCGTGCTGAGTGTGTTCAAGCCAGATCCAAATGGTACGCCTCCAGACGTGGGTGTGCGGTAAGGATGGGTGTCGTTGTTGTAGATGTAGGCGTGATAGTTGAAATCTTCCTGCACGTTGATCAGATCATAGTCATACTGAGAGAACTTCTTGCCGATTGTGATCGAGTTGGCTTGCTTGTCGCCTTCGCCGTTGCCGTTGACAACGGCCGGTAGCCCTGCTACATTCATTGTGAGAGCAGTCAGGCTGCCGGTCAAAGCGGGCGCTGCCGAGACCATCGTGGCCGATCTGGCGATAGAAAGCAACAGAAGCAGAGAAGCAGTTCGCATGATGTCGATGTCCATCGTTTGTTGTCGTGAGAGATGGGGTCTTGATGGCCGTATGAGCGCCGCAGACGATTCTACTGAATGCTTATAACCTTTCTCAAGCACCAGGTAATGCCTTCATCGTAGAGCTTTGTTTCGCCTTTGTGAATACCTCCGCAGTATCCGGACCACATCGTCCGGTGAGAACGTGGGTCATGCACGGAGATCGCCCTTGACCCTCCATCTCGTGCACATTCCCGTTTTGGGCGAATCGTCCCTCGGTCGGATCTTTGAGGACCGATGCAACGCCGCATGACGAGCCACTCGAACCTCGACTTCGGAACGAGGAGATGAGGTGCTACGGCGGCAAACTCTTGCCGAGAAAGCTGACACTACAGCTCGTATGTTGTTGATGTGGCGTAATACATGTGAGCATGTCGCAGGGGCGTGTGTGCGAGCACAGACGTCCGCTCGTCGAGCAACCTTGTTCGAACGTGATTGAGTGACTAGCATCTCTTCCCAATAAAGCTTAGCACGGTTCGGGGAACCGAGCTCGCTTGCTGAACCTCAACGTGCCTCGGACGCATGGGTCGATCCCCCATATTCACAACAGCAGGCAGACTTTGCAGATTGGCCAAGAACACCTTTTCAGCTGTCATGCTGTCGGAGCTGGCAATCGAGCGCCGGAGTGAGTTCAGTTTCATCACAGCTTGCTAACCGTGCATGTCGCACAGTATCATTTGGTTCAAGTAAGTATGCATGATGTTTGCATATCACATGGCTACACAATCAAAGTGCTTGTGTCAAGCGGACAGCACTGTGTGGTGTAGCAGTCACAAAAATAGAAGAATAGAGAAACGCGGGCGGCTCGCGAAGTCAGTGGAAGGAGTTCGGGATGCAAATCCGCGGAATTCAGCGCTTCGGAACGAGGTGGATTCGGGCGAGTCGAAATGGATACTCACCAAGAATTCGCAGAAAGCGTCTTGCTCCTCATCGTGCGCAGCCTGAGCTGCAGCCGAGCCTAATGCTGCACCCGAGGCGACGGTGCGTCGATACTTTGGCATCATGAATTGGAAGCTGATGAGACCTGCTTCGTCCATGCGCAGAGAAGTTTTGATGGAAGAACGCAAGACGGTCATGGTGCGTGAGAGCAGCGTGAAGTCATACCACTGTTCGTCGCTGCCAGGAAGTGCAACGAATTTTTCGATGACACCCGTCGGGTCGGTCGAGGAAATGCTGGCTGGAAATTCCATCTCTGACGATCCAGTGTCCGAGATGGCTCTGAACCTGAGCATGCTGGTGGAAGGTTTCCCGCTCGCGCCCGTCGATGTCTCGATGCGGTGGTGGCGATCGCGCGACGGTTCGAAATCAGGCGACGCTATCAGGATGGAAAGCTTTTTGCAGGTTGCGTCGATCTCGGCGAAGGCAGACTGCATGAGATCTGAGCCGACGATAATTTGAGACACCATGTTGTGCGGGTCGAAGACCATGTCTGTGAGGAAGCTCGGCTCGTAGGTGGATATTGAGACGCGTGTGAGCACGTTTGTCTCCTGCTCGAGCTCGAGAACGAGTGGATGGCCATGACCTTGATAGGTCAGCCTCATGCGCGTAGCTTTTGCCGTAGGAGAGAAGGCGTTACGATCGAGGACACGCTCGACCGATGTGCCTCGGTCAGCGCCGTACGGATCGACGGTACCGTCGCGCGTGCGTGGATACGCGCGTCCTGTTGACTGCGCGCCGCCGCCGGTATGGTCTGGACGAGAACCTGCATAGGCTGTGGAGCTGGAATGTGGGCGAGAAGGTCCCACGCCGCCAAAAATGTTCAAGCAAGAGATCCATGTCTGAAGATTGACTTCGAAAGATACGCTGTCCGGTTCATCTTGGCTTCTGTCGGATCCGTTTGCATGCGATCGCGGTCGTGTGTGTGAATCGTTGCGAGTCGCCTCTGGCTGGCTACTTTCGGGATCAGAAGAGGTAGCAGAGGAGGTGTTGTCGGCAGCAGATCCCTCCTGCTCGGATACCTTCTTGAGGCGCTTTCTTGGTCGTGAAGGGTTGTTCGATGGTGTGGAGGCTGGATTTCCGATGCGCGGCTTTTGGAAGGAGTACGAGTCGAACATATGCGAGTATAGGTAAGCGTGCGCCTGAAGGGTGCGGTTGAGCTCGGTGATGATCTCCAAACCTGAGCTCGAGGCGATGACGACTGCGTGTGTCTGAATGGCCACCGATTTGAGCAGGTTAGCGAGTCCCGTGACATCGGACAGTGTTGCCGTTAATGAAGCAGCCGAGGCGGCATCCGATGAGACCTCAATGGGCATGTTGAGGGCGACGCGCAAGAAAGTGAGATGTGACGCTCGAGTCGGCAGATGGTGAAGGAAGACAACGACTGCAAGGTGACACTGGCCGCAGACATACGATGTCACAGAAGGTCTGTGCCAGCAGCTTCGTTCGATGGCATCAGCGGAGTGCCCCAGAAAAGCGAATGTTGGTGTTGTTGCTATCGGAAATGGTAAGAGTGATGGATGGTCCAAGCGGTGGACCGACGACAACCTTGAACTCAGCCAACGTTTTGACACTTGCGAAGGATCGCAAGCCAGATTTGGTTGGACCCTGGACTCTCGAAGCCATTTTATCGCCAAATTAATTGACCTTCTTTTTGATGTCTTTTCCCGTCAAACCTTCGAGTACAAATTGTTGCTACCAAAAACACTCTCCCGCAGTCCTATGGTCGTTCACAGATCAGCATCACCGTGGTCGAGTCGAGACCAACTTTCCGAGTTCGATGGCCAGTCGGTTGGCAGTCATGCAAACATGGTCGTGTGTCATATTTGATCCTAAACGGCTTCTCACGAGCAGGCCACCAGGGCGACTGCGCCGCTCGCACAGGAGACTGCCTTTTTTTGTTTGTTTCACGACAAAGACCCTGCATGAATGCCAAGGTGACTACTGTAAATTCGGTCGGTCCACCACAGGAGAATTCTGAGCAGGGACCGTTCGATGCTCGGTCACTGTCAGCAGTCAAATTACGCTAAGCGAGCTGCCCCGAGCAGTCTGTGTTACGCTAAGACGTCCTTCTTCAATCGTATACTCGTTGTGTCAGTCGCGCTGCGTCCTGGGTCTAGCATGTGCGACCATCTTGCCTTCTTCTCTTTGCCATCGCTCTCCATTGATCTTCCAGGTCACCACACCGACAGCCGCCCGGTGTCTCTACCAGGTCTCGATTCTGCAGTTCCGACTTTTTGACAGCCCGCAAAGAGCTTGTCGAACACAGACTCGGGTTCAGCACCAAAGCCTCCTGCTCAGGCCTGCCCTTGGCCTCTGACGATCTTCAAGCCATCGCAAGTCTACCCATCGATGCTCGGCCATATGCTCAGAAGGCGCTCGTCTTGATTGCAGACGTAGCCGACCATGTCGAGCAGTCCAATATCTCAGCTCGCTGCCGACACTCTGGCCCACGCGAGCGAGCCCGCTGTTGCATCCACCGCAGCCGTAGCTCTGCTTCTCCTGTTTGTGCCCGCTGCAAGGAAGTTCGCTATCAACGTCGTCTGTCACATCTACGCCGCCATTGTCCATCGACCCTTCCGCGCCTCCACCACGGACTTTTTCTTTTCCTCCCACGAGGCGCCCTTGCCACCCACCCACTCGTTGTGGTACCTCGTCCAAGCGTCAACCACTCTCAAATGGCGAGCTCAGTCAAATCGACTTCGGCACGAAAAGGATATTCGTTGGGACGACAAGGATGCTGTCAAGCATGGCGATATGATCGAAGCCTGGGATCGCATCACAGAGTGGGATTCGCAATGCTTTCATCCTCACAAGCTCGAGCAGCTCCGTAAAGTCGGCGATCCACTGGCTGACGACGCCTTAGACCAACTTGAAAACACGTCTGCCGACTCTCAGAGTCACTCGAGCGACACGCTGCTCAAAATCTATCAGCAAACGCTGGCGCACGACGCTTCCAAAGATCAGCCATCAGCCTGTTCGGCCTTTTGGAGAGCAATAGACCGTAGACCTCCGCCTGGGTCAGGAGCCCTCGGGCTGGATTGGTACCGATCGTGCTACGGCCAAGATGCGGTGCGCGATCTTCCTCAGTGGCCGCGCTACCCTTCCACCAAGCAAAAGGAACCGATCGCGAACCTGCCGACCTGGACGCCGCAACAACACGCGGCTATTGATGCCCAAGATGATCCGGCGGAGCTTCAAGCCGAAGCCGAAGTGCTGCGAAGAGGACAGCAAGTCTTCTATCGCTACGCCGGTCCCATGCTCACCGTTTTGCTTCATTTCAGCCTGGCAGGTGGTTTCGCATCGCCAAGAATTACCCAAGTGCTCAAGCAGACCGCCTATCTGGTGCCCAACACCAGCGTCAGCCACGCAAATCAAGACGCATCGGGCAGCAGTTCGAGCCTTCCTACCGTGGAAGAGCTACGAACAACCTTCAAGGTCGACAAGGCGCGCGCCGATCGCACCTGGAGCCGTCTTCTGGAGACCACTCAGTTCATCTTGGACGTGGTCGAAAAAGTTGTCAGCCTGCGTCCTCCCAGCATTTCTGCTGCCTCGGACCCAACAGCAAGCAAGAGCGATTCGCGCCTTGCACCTCTTGAGCGAGGGGGCGAGGGCTGGCAGTCCGCTGTGCGCGTTCGTCTCCTCCACACCACCGTACGTCGTCGCATCATGAAGCTGGCCGAAAAGCATGGCAGCGACCCCTCGACTAGCCTCGACAATGGCTATGATGTCGACACGAACGGTATTCCGATCAATCAGGAAGATATGCTGGGTACGCTATGTGCCTTTTCTTCTGCGCCGCTCATGATGATGCAAAAGATTGGCTTGCAGCCTACTTCACAAGAGCGCAAGGACTACATTGCTCTGTGGCGCCACGTCGGCTTCTACATGGGCATCGAGCCTGCTCTTTTGCGTCGTGCGTTTGTCGACGCTCACGCAGCCGACCGCACCATGTTTTGCACCATCCTGCACCTCTTCAAACAGGTCGAGGTCCATACCAACCAATCTGGCGAGCATCGCACGACGCTGCAGCCAAGGATGCAGGGACCTACCATTCCCGTCTTGATTGCGTGCGCCGACCGCCCACCTTTCCACACTCCGCTTTCGGCCCACGTGGCCATCTCTCGCCGCCTGCTTGGCAAGTCTATGGCCGACTCACTCGCTCTACCAGCCTCGTCACCTTCACGCGAGGTGCTGACCGACGTACTCTTCGCGGGAATGAAAATGACCATTCTGTTCGGCCATTTGTATCCACGCAAATCGTGGGAGGAGCGCAAGCTACAACTCGCCCGACCGCTGCTGCGACGACTCATCGTGTTCAGCTTCGGCAACAAACGCACCAAGTTCGAGATGCCCGTCCCAACAACATCGGCATCGGCAGAAACACAGAGCACCGACAAGGGCAATATCGAGACTCAGTCTCACGCACATCCGGATGTGCCGGAGGACAAGCAGCTCATCACGCAGCTTGCACGCGAGTGGCGCCGGTTGATGAGGGAGATGTATGCCGTGCTTTTCCTTGTCGCCTTGCTTAGTCTCACTCCGGCTGTCTACCTCTCCCTGCGACTCTTTGGTCATTATTTTTCGTCGTAGACTCCATTTGAGATTCCCTCAATCTCATTGATTTCAGGATGGATGCTTGTGCCATGCTAAGGCAGTGATGAAGCCCTGTTCAGAGTTCGTAGGATGTTCTACGCAGCAATAGATTTGTCTCGTTTTATAATAAGATCGGGAAAGCCGATCCGCAAAGCGTGCTGAGCCAATTCGAAGCATCAAAGCGCGTTTCTCGGATCTCGGAGACAGAGTGCGTTTCCCTTTCTTTTTTTTTTGTGGGTAGAAGAAAAAGGTGGCACAGAACGCGATCCGAAGGGTTCGAAACCGCAAAAGAAAAATCCACACCAAACAAAAGCTCTTGGCTGAGCCTCAGCAGGATATTACGAGCTTGCACCATTCACACGTCCACAACCTTGCGCCATACAAGGAGCCATCACTCGGCTCGCCTGCTACTGAGCTCAGCTTCCGCCCACAGTCGCGCTTGACAGCAGCTTTGAAGCGTCCTCGGCCTTCGAACGACCATCCGAAGGTGTGGGAATGCAGTTCACGATTCAGTAAAGGCTTGCTCTTCCACCCCGTCTTTCATCTCGGACTAGCTGCTGCCCAAGATGACTTCGTCGCTTGCGGCTCAGTTGGCCAATGTACGCTCGCACAATGCAGAGCGACTCACCTCGTCAGCATCGCTGGTCAAGCACACATCGTATCTCTTTCCACCCAAAACAGCAGCACAGCAAGATCTCTTCACCGTTCATGCACTTGGTGCCAGCGGATGGACCGAGCTTTCAGCTGAAGATGCCTCTTTGCAGCGATGGTCGCAGTCATCGCTCCTCTTTGGAGACGAGAGTAGGGACATGGACCGCCTCATGCTGCCCAAAGAAGACAACGAAGCAATCAACGAGGCTGTCAACGAGTTTCTTCATCTTGCCTCGCCCTTCCTTCTCTCCAAAGGCGCGTCCAAGTGCCTCGAATGGCTCGTCCGTCGATTCCGCATCCATGAATTCAGCGTCGAACAGGTGCTCGCCGCCTTCCTTCCATACCACGACACCCAGCAGTTCGCTCGCATGCTCTCCATCTGCAAGCTTGACGGCAAGCCACACCTGCAGTTTCTCCTGTCTGTCAAGAAGACCGCAAGTCCTCTTCCCGCTGGTGTCTTGCACGCCGCCATCCTTGCACCCGCTACCACCACCGCCAGTCTCGACCTTCTTCGATGGATTGCAGGACTTGTCGCCAATGACGTGTCTTCTCGGCTCCAAGTAGCCCCGCATCGCGCCCTTGTCAACTTTTGGACTTCCACCTTGGTGCAGGTCTGCGCCGCCCGTTCTCGATTGGACGACAATCAGCAGGTCGCCGGGCTTTCCAAATCGAGTAGCAACTCGAAAAAAGCGGCAAAGACACGTGCTGCAGATGCTCAAGCCATCCTCACCGTTCTCCTCCCATCCGCAGTTAGAGCGGCAGGCACCACTTCGCTTGGTCAAGATGCTCAGATCGGAGGTCTCATGTTGCTTTGCACCATTGCGCAGTCCTTTTCACTCAGTAAGGAGGCTATCCAGGGTGTTCTGACCAGCTTGGCAAAGCTTCTGTCCGCCTCTCACGTCGTCCCTGCCGTCAACCGTGCCCTGATCGCTTGCGCTTTTGCCCTCTGCACCAGCTCGACTGCTGGCATCGACCCGCTCGCTCCTCAGTCGACCTCAGCGGAACGCCTCATCCCCGATAGCTTGGCGGCTCTGCTTGTGTCATCGACGGATGCAGGCAACTCGGTCGCCTCGCTCGCCAAGTTGTATGATGCGCGTGCCTTCTTGACCCACTTTATTGCGGCTCTCATTGCTCGTCTTTCGCACAGTCCGTCCGCTGATCTCCTCGGCGCGATTGTGCGAGGTCAGGTTGTGCAAGACGACCTGTGCCTTCGAGCCACCGAGCTGCTCCTTCGTCTTCGCCTCGGCGCCTCGGCCGGTTCTTCGCAGGCACCCGAAACGGCGTTCGAAGCCAACTTTTCCGTCGACGCCATCCACGAGGCACATCAGAATCGTCTGCGTGTCCTGCAAACTGTACGCAGCCGCAGATCGCACGTGTTTGACGCCGCCTTGCGCAACTGCACACGAAAGGATCAATCCGAAGCCTACATCGCTGCTATCTGGCAGACCGTCCAGGCAGTCCTGGCGCTCGAGTCTGGTGCTTCGCTGCAGGAAGCATCCAATGGCGGACTGGATGCGCAAGGTCGGTCCGACATTCTGTGGCTCTCGATCCACTCGGCCGAATCCTCTCAACGTTCCCTCGCCCTCACTCAGCTGTATCAGGATATCAGCAACGGCCGTGCTTCCGCTCAAGACACCATGGTCCGAGAGGCTCTCCATGCACGTATCCAAGACTCGTCTGCCGACGTTCTAGACGTTCTCTATTCGGAGCCTTCGGCTCTGCTCCATGCTTTTGACAAGCGCACGCTCCTGTCCATCGTCTCTGAGGCCCTTGGAGAGAACCAGATCCACACCGAACGATTCGAACAGCACGTCTCTTTCCTTCTCAACTCGTATCTGGGAAAGTACGCAGACGCTGAAGACGAGGTCCTTCGACGTGCTCTTTGGCCTCACTTGCTGCACAGCCCTTCTGGCCTTGCTATTGCGAGCTCCGCCGTCAAGCTGCTCTCTCAGAGCAGTAACGCCGAAGGCCTGCTCAGCTCCATCGCATCTTCTGCTGCCGAGTCCGATGACGCTGCCGGCGCGAATGATGCCATCGCCCGAGCCGTGGCTTCCTATATCACCATTGTTGCAGCTCCAGTCCGCCAAGACTGGGTGGACTTTCTCATCTCCACCGCGCAACCATCTCAGGACACTGCCACTTGCTCGCGGGACCTTGCTCTGTTATCCCTGATTCATTTGTCGGATAACATCGCCGGCGACAGTCTGGTTTCGCTTTCGGACGCTAGTCTTCGAACCGTGGTGCTACCCTCGCTCTCCGCGACCGGTGTACTTACCACAGAGAACAGCAAGCAGCTGTCCAGCCTCGCCTTGCAAGACACACTCGCTTCGTCGCAGCATGTAGGACAGCTCGAAACGCTCTTCGAGCAGGCTGGCACCGAACAAAGTGCAGCTCTCTTGGTCAGTCACCTCCTCATCCAGCTGGTTCGCCGAGCTGAAGTCCCTGCTTTGGATGCCTTCTTGACTTCGCAGGTTTCGTCAGAGGTGCAGCATGCCAAAGCACTTCTCGGAAGCCTGTACTCAGTCGTCAACGCCTCTCCGCTCCCTTTGTCTTTAGCGAGGCTGTTGCTGCAGATCATGCTGGACAAGCTCAGAGATTCCAGCCTACCCTTCCTTGCGTCCATCTGGACCAACACCTTGGCCTCGTACAGCCTCGCTATACGACTCTCAGCGCTTCGACATGCTGACGCCTATCTGCAAGCCCAGGTGCAAGCAATTCCTCAGCAACAGCCCAAGGATTTTCAAGTCGTCGTCCCTCTCCTGCTCACTGCCCTTGCCGATGCCGAGGCCTCTATCCGACTCGCCACAGTGTCCTGCTTCGAAAGCATCCTCGCCATTTGCAAGCATGCCGTAGGCCTGGTCAAAGCGTCGAAGAAGAAGGCCAAGGAACTCGACATCTTCGCGTACGAGTTGTTCCATGGCGCTGCCGCTTCGGATCCGATGCAATACATCGATCTTGCCTCGCTTGCCCCCTACCTTGAACAGCTCATCGAACGCAAGTCTTCGTTGCGAAACGATGCCACCTTGCTTCCTCAGCTGCACGCCGAACTCCTCCACATTGGACGACACGATGGACGCAAGGAAGTCGGTCACAAGCACGCCATGGTCTGCTTCATCGTTTCTCACATTCTTTGCATCGACTCCCTCCCTGCTCGGCTCGTGTTGTTGCAGTCGCTCTCCACCGTGAGCGATGCCGCCAAGCTCGAGATGTTGTTGCCGCTTATCCGCGAAGTTGTTGAGGCCAATGTCGCAGCCGCCACCAAAGGACTTCGCATCCCAGACGATCGCGAGCTGTATCTCGAGCTCCTTTTCGCATCGTACGACCAAAGCTGCCGTCACATTGTCGAAGAGGCCTCGACTGGCGCATGGTCTCTGTATTTGCACGCTTTGGAGGGCCGAGACGGCAGGCGACACGTTCAGAAAGCTGCTGTCCGCGCTCTCGACAAGGCTGGCCTCTTTGCTGCTCTTTCGCCCATCATGCGCAAGGAGTCCTACCTGCACTTGGCAAGCATCGTTGCCGATCCATCACTGCCAGCGTCTCCTGAGGTAGCTTCCGCCCTGCGCGAGCTGGAGATCGATTCCACCATTCTGATCGCTGTCTTGTTCGATCTGCGCGAGACCATCACCTCCAAGGCGCTCAGTGGCCCCGAGTCGAAGCGTGCGCGCACTTCGCTGAGTTCCGACGAGAGCATGAAGCGCAGCTGCGCCATCCTCGTTGCGGTGCTCGAGTCAGCAGTCGGAAGCAAGCTCGCGTGTATTCCCGCTCTGCTGTACGAGCTGTTTGAGGTGCTTCGCGTAGCTGTCGATCTGCACTCGGGTCTGCTTGCGACCAACGCTGAACAAATGATGCAGCTCGCCATGTCTTGCATCGAAAAATTGGTGGCTGTCTTGCCCAGATCGACCGCAGACATCCCTGCTGAAGTCGCCCAAGCCTTGCGAGTCGACACGATCGTCAGCGTCATCAAGGCATCCAACAACCCGCAGACATTCCAGCATGCGTTGCTGCTCCTGTCCAAGATCGCCAACATTGCGCCAGAGGCTGTGCTGCACAACGTCATGCCTATCTTCACCTTTGTCGGTGCAACAGTCCTGCAGCGCGACGACGCTTTCAGCTTCTCCGTCGTCGAGAAGGTCTTGCAGAGTATCGTTCCAGCCTTGGTCAGCTCCTTCAAGACGGGCGGAGCCGCTAAGCAGAGCAAGTTTGCGCTTCTGTGCGAAGCTAGGGCTTTCGTGCGCATCTTCACCGATGCTGCTGCGCACGTCCCGCGTCATCGAAGACAGACTTTCTTCCGCCTGCTCGTCGACATTCTGGGCGCCGACGACTTTGCAGCTGCTGTCGCCATGCTTCTTGTCGATCGATCGGCTCACAAGATTGTCAAGCAGCCCCGAAGCGATGCCGAGCAGACACTGCAGCTTCCTCTCTCCGTCGTCTCGCCTCACAGCGCAATGGTGCAAGTACGAGCGCTCCATCAAGTCTGGGAGGAAGTGCTGAGGATCTGGTTCAATCGTGACGAGACCGAATCGCTCAGCGAGCTCGTTTTCCTCGACCGTGCTGGTCGTCTCGACAAGGAACACGTCGATCACGAGTCGGAACCGCTTCGACAAATTCAGGCACTCATCATGCTGATCCGACAGGTTCTGCTCTCGAAAGCTTTCGCCGAGCAAATGAAGGGCGTCCCCGCAAGTCAAGTCGGTGCCGAGCTCGAGACCTTTATCAGACTTGCACTCGAGACAGCGGCGAGCACGCGTTCGAGCCAGCCTACGATCGCAGCGCTTGCACTCGAGGTGCTCGATGCTGCCATGCCTTTCGCACCGGTCGACAATGTTTTGACTGTCGTGTCGAGTTTGGTCGAAGGTCACGACGTCGCACGCAAGACCAGTGGATTCTCTTTGTTCGCCAGCCGCGTCGCTGCCATGGCTCCGACATCTGGTGACCGTGCCGCCGTTGCTGCTTATACGCCGACCATCGTCAAAGCGGCCATCGAAGTTGTACAAGCCTCTCTCGCCTCGTCGAAAGGCGGCAACGACGCCGAATCCCTGCGTCAAGCCGCTCTGGATGCTCTCAGGACGGTGTCCTCTTCAGCACAGCCTGCTGAACATGGTGCGCTAGCCTCGACGATTCCAACTTTGATCAAACTTGGCAAAGCCGGACTCGAGTCAGAGGGCGGAAACCGAGCGGTACCTTCGGCGGCACGGATCAGCATCTTCTCCATCACGAAGCGGCTCGCCACGAAGCTTGGTCCCCGCCTCATTCCGCACATCGCAGCTCTGGTGCCTTACTGCCTGTCCATCGTCTCGCGGAGTGCCTCAGTCTCTATTGTTTCCTCCGAAGACGAAGCCGAAATGGAAGTTGAATCGGAAGACGTCGGCCCTGCTGCAAGCGGTGCCAGCTCAAATATTGCGGTGCTTCGAACCGGCGCTTTGGACACGTTGACCGGTCTATTCGGCTCCGTGCCCACCTTCATGACCTCGTACGTATCTCAGATCATCCGCATGACGATCTCTCCCCAGCTCAAGGTAGCCATGTCCAGCCTCAGTGGCTCTTCCACCGCAAGCGAGCGATCGCTAAACTTGCTCGTGTCGACGCTGATCCGCAAGACGGCAACCAAGGAACTCTTCGAGTCTACGTTCAAGGTCTGGGACGAAGAGTTCGCTCTGTCAAAGGAGGACGCCACCGAACGCCTTGTCGGCATCTCCGAATTCCTCGGTCGAGCACTCCGCCAGAGCGATCGCGAAGCCATCGGCGCAACATACAAACTCGTCTACCGTTTCCTGCTCCGAGCTCTCGACCTGCGACGAACGGGACTTGTCGGCAACAGCAAACTCTCTCAAGCATCCATCGGCCGCATCGAGTCCAGCCTCATCTCGCTGCCGTTCATACGCATGGTGCTCAAGCTCAACGAGGCGTCTTTCCGTCCCTTGTTCATGCGCATGTTCGACTGGGCCGTCCTGGATCTGGTCGATGGCGACGACGCAGCTTCGACTTCGGAATCGGATGGCATTGTGGCGCGACAGATTGTGCTCTTCAAGACGTTCAACTCCCTATCCGAGACGCTGCGTAGTCTCGTGTCGTCGTACTATGCGGTGCTGCTGGATCAGGTCATCGAGCTTCTGACGACTTGGAGCAAGCTTCTCCCACGCGCCCCCATCGCACAGCAAAGTATGCAGCGCGAGCTCTGGAACGAGGTGATGCGGTCGATCCAGCTCTCGGCCAAGCATGACGAAGGTGTTTTCTGGAACCCGACACGTGTTGCCAAGATTACTGGTCCGATATTGGACCAGATGAACCTGCTCAGCACTGGTTCGAGTGCCAAACACGCCTTCATCCAGCCGGAAGAATTCGTAGATGCAGTGGCACCCGTTGTGGTGGGATTGCTCAAGAACGTCAACGACGAAGCGACGCTCAAGCTGTTCAATTCGAAGCTGCTGCAACGTGCTTCGGCCACCCGCGCGACCAACAGCAAATCGGTTCGTTCGGCAGCTACGCAGCTTCTGACGCACATGTGGGCCGCACAGAAGGATCACCTGTTGGCGTTGGTGCCCGAGACCATTGCACAGTTGTCCGAACTGCTCGAGGACGACGATGAGGATATTGTCGGTTACGCCAACGAGTTCAGGAGCGAGATTGAAGCAGCGCTGGGAGAGAGTCTGGAGTCGTACCTGACCTGAACGGGCGTCAATGGACGCTGTTGTGTGGGACCGGAGTGGAAAAGAAAATGATCAACTTCACAATCTTTCGGCAGGCTGTGTGTGATGTCATGAGCTGAAATGCATACAGTAGTCTGTGCAAGTGATCGATTGAAAGCCGACATTAGGAATCTATGAGTGATCAAAAAAGGGTTAAGATCGATCTACCAGAAGGACATCTCGCCTCGTGCGCTCGTCTCTCCACGTCCTCCACCAGCCTCGGACATCAAAGCATCAAACAATTCGGTGCACAGGTCGATGTTGTCGGCGGTAGCACCGCGCAAATCGGTCCCTCGCAAGCTGAAAGGTGTTTGACGCAGAGGCATGGGCGGACGACGCTGAGGCTGTTGTGGGGAAGCGTTGCTCGAAGGAGGGGAGGTGGTTCGGAGCCCCGCAGGGTGAAAGCGTTCTGATCGCAAGAGCTCTTCAATGGGGATGTTGAGCGGCGGCGCGTTGGTGACCGTGCGTATTGGTGGAGGGACATGCGACTCGGGGCTGCGATCGAACGGCTCTTCGTCGTCAGAGTCGTAGTCGTCAGACAGGGGTCCCACATCTTGTCTCTGCTGTCGCAATGGCGGACATGTCTCTCCCTCGTCGCCGCTGACCCTACCAGCTGAGACACTTTGACTCAATCCATCGCCAGAGCCCACCGAGCTGTCCGACCCGCGACCGTGACTCCTTCCGGACGAGTCGCGGCTGGTGTCAGCGTCTGTCGAGGATGCGTTCTGCGATCTGGATGATTCGGATCGACTCGCGTCACGCCGCACCCTGTTGTAGAACTCTGCCAAGAGATCCAGCTCATTTGCCGAAATGGAGTCGTAAAGAGCTGCCGCTCGTGTTCCCAATTGCGCAACCTTGGTGGATTGCTGAGATGCATCTGTGAAGAGCAGGTCGGCCTTGGAGCGTATGGGGCGGAAGATGAGCTTGCGATCCTCAATGGGGGCGATTTCCTCCATGATGCGGATGCAGGTCGCCAGCTCGGCGCGAATGATGATGCGTGCGATGTTGCCAGATCCGAGTAGAAGCATCAAGTGCGGCCGTGGCAGGATGGAAAGACCTGGTGCACCTGATCGTCTCTCCGGAACGTGGGGATGCGTGAGAACGAGATGTCTCAACGAAGAGAGAGTGACAAGGCGATTCAACAATCGCCCATCGAAACGAACAAGATGAAGATGTGATAGTGAGCGCTCGGCCGGAGGTGCTATGGTTGATGAAGGCGGCGTTTCGGTGGGCTGCCTTGTTCGATCTGTACGCGTCGAGATGCCTCCTAAAACCGACCGAAGACGAGGGTCGTTCTGCAACGCAGCAGCGATGAGATCACGGTGCCGCGTGACGATGCCGTCCAAGTCGTGCTCTTGCTCGACGTTGACGAGACTAAGCTCCTTCGGTCGACGCAAATGGTAGAGTCGTGACGGGAGACTGTCGACACGGCGACAGTCCACGAGCAGATGTGTCGCACTCGGACAAGCCGACAGGATTTCACCCACCGCCGTCTGCACAGTCGCAGAGCTGGATGATGCTGGTTCCGTGTCAACAGCTTGCGGCGGAAGTACCGATGTCGGTGCGAGAATGACGAGCGATCTGACCTGTGTGGCCAGATCGAGGCGCGAAGACACAGTACGTGCGAAAAATCGGATGCTCCGATCGGTCGGCAGGGTTACATATCGATAGAGGTACGGTTGGAAGAGGTTTCGATAGTGCTTTGCCAGCAAGCTGACGGTGACGGGGTGCCCAGTCTCGGCGGAAGGCGCTAGCTGTTGTGACGATAAGGACGGTGAAGCTGTGACTGTCTCGGAAGGCGAAAGGGAACGTGCTTTAGGACGGACGTCCTTTTCTGGCAGACCACTTTCTTGCAGCGATAAACGCAGAATCAATTCGACGATCTCAACGGGCAGATCGACCTTCATCGGCGAAGGACTGGGCGCAGAAGGCGCCATGCTACCGCACGGCGAAGCCTGACGTTTGCCAATCGTTGGAAGGCTTACGTCAAGCTCGGATTGGACAAAGGGTTGAATGTCGCCGCAGAGGGTTTGAGTGCGTATCGACAGCAAATCTGAATACCCTTGAAGGTCGACGATGCCCGGTAAGTCGGCGTTGCGGTTTGGGTGAAGAATTGCGGTCGATCGTGGTTGTGTCTGCTGTCTTGTTGCTCCGCACTGCCACCCTCAAGTTGCTGTTTGTGATGGAGACGGCGAGTGATCTCGATTGCGAGTCACAGTGTGAGGTGTCGGGATTGAGATTCGGTCGAATGATCGTAACAAGCCCTGCAGACATACGGCAACGGCGTCAAAGCGGGAACAGAGGTGGCAAGCGAAGCTGCCGCTAACGTCTGCGAAAACGTTCAGGATCTAGCAGCTTTCCGGCGTCCGTCGGTCCGCGGTAGCAGCTCTTATAGGCCAGGCCGTGCCGGGCTATCGGATGAAGCGATGGAGATAGTGTGCTGAGGGAGGAGAGGAGAAATCATGGGCCGTGTTCTTCTACGACGTTTTGCGATGCGAACGAAATGAGTGCCAAGCTAAGTCGTACACCCATGCAGCTCCTGGACAGCTTGTGCGCTTCAGAGTCAATGCAACACAGCAGTCCAGACGGAGCGGGCACCACTCTGTGCTCTATGATAAAGTCAGACGCGAAGCCTAGAACGGATGAAGGTGCACGGCGTTCGAACTTTTCCCGTCGGTGATAATAACGGGGATGTTAACCATGACGGAAACTCAAGCGAAAGCGCCGAGATCGTACTCCAGTTGGTCCCAACCGCTGTGCAGTGGTAGATGGCGGGGGGAAGGCAGCAAGGCAAAGCGGAGAGCCAGGCAGGCAAGGTACTCTCCCGCTCAGATTTTCGCTGAGCTAACACCGTATCCTGGAGACGGTTGCAGAGAGTGAGATTAAACTGAAGCGCACGAGCAGGTAGAGATCCATGGCCGAGAACGATGCAAGGTCCAAGCGAGAGAGTGCATGGCAAGAGCTGGGCGGAACTTTAACCGACCCAATGGAACGGTGCCTCGTGTGCCAAAATCAACGTCAGGAAGCCAGACCGCGCCAGCAGTGTCATGCCCTTCGAGATTGGTTCCAAGATCCGACGTCGGAGTCGAAACCTTCTTTCGAATCCACGCCGTGAACCATCTGGCGAAGTCAGCTTCCAAGCACGCAGAATTGGTGGAAGGAAGCGGCCCTGACCTCAAGTCAAAACCTCGAAAATCGTCGAACGCTTAATTCCGGCGGGAGAGCTGACGCAGAGAACAGCAGCCAAAGATCTCGCGAGGAGGGCCTACTCCCGGCAAGCAAGGTACAGGTAGAGTCTCGGTATCTAACGTCACATCGCTTGCGGAATGCATAACAGCGTGAAGACCTGGTCACTCTACTCATAGAGACAGGAGACTCAGCGTCTACCTGTGACCATAAGACCTTGCGGGGTAGATTTTGGTAGCCAGGACGCGGCACTTTTTGCCACGAGGCGTCGCATCAAAAGAGACTTCGGCTCCTTCCCAGTCCCGAAGCATTGTCTGGATTCGAAAAAGACGCTGCCGACGTCCGGCGATCTCCGAATCTTCTGGAAAACAACAGAGCTTTTCTCGGGCAAAGTTCGGAGATCGCCATCTTCCTCCCATCTCAATCGAAACGCTAGGCGGGCAGGAGAACGTGTTCCCGTGATTTCGTCCTACGAGCTCGACCAGATGACGAGCTCCGCTTTTCAGCACCTGCAATATCGTCCCGGCGGTGTCCAACGTTGGAGACAAAGTAAAAAGAAAAGAAAAAATGACCAGCCTGGGGCTCGAACCCAGAATCTCCTGATTAGCCGAATTATACACATTCGTAGTCAGACGCCTTACCATTGGGCCAACCGGCCATTTGTTTTACATAAATCTGCTTGCATATATGAATCACTTTGCAGCCAATTCTAGTTACATATGTTTTGGAGCTTCTCCCAAATATGTTGCCAAACCACGGCCGAAGCATAGCGGATCTTCCATCACATACGACATGACGGCGGTGGACAGACATTGGTCAACACGAACAGCTTTGACCATTATAGGATGATTGCAGGTGAACAAAGGGTGTTACAGTGTGTGCAGGCTGGACAGGACTCGGCTAGTCGTCAGCAGGCTCTGGTTCGCCCTTGAAATAGTTGCGATAGATAACGATCGACTGCCCCTTGCTGAGTTTGGGCGAGCAGCCTGTGGCCATTTTGTTTCCCATCCTATCCAGCTCGTACCGGATCGGCTTAAGCGCAGGCTTTGACTCGCACGCTCGGAGGCCGTACTGAGCGCCTTTCCCAACAAAGAGTGGGCGATACCACCGCACGCTCTTGCGACCGTCTGCTGGGGCGCGAGCGGAATTGGTCGAGCTCTTCGTGGGTGTCGAGTAGGGCGCAAGGTCGCCTTTGCCTTGACGATGGTTGCTCACATCGTCGATGATTGTGCACGCCTCTGGTTCGTGATCGTGGCGGTCAGGACTGGGAGGACGCTCGTACGGCCTCTGCACCTTGGTGATCTTGTATCTTGCCAGCGTCTTTTCGTTGTGCTTCTTGTTGACCGAGTCTGCCAGCTTGAGCTGATCGGTCAGAGAGAGTGGTACATCGATCTTGCGCGCGGCGATGATGTCATTGAGGCTCAGTGCACGTCCGCGCGACGGTGGCACGCGCGTCGCTGATGGCGCAAGAGGTCGACTTGCTGCTCGTGCCGATCGCAGCGGTCGCCCCGTCGTCAGCGCCGTCGAGCTGCTTGGCGTGTTTGCGGTAGCATTAACACCAGCGCTTGGAGCTTGTACAGCATCTACAGCCTCAGCATGCTTTGCTGCTAGAGCCTCGGCAGCAGTGAAAGCAGGGCCGGCGTTGAAAGCGGGCTCGATTGTGGCGGGAATCGGCGAGCTTCCGCTTGCGTTATCCTCACTATTGACAATCTCCTCCATTTCGGAGCTCGCAGACACACCTGTGCTCGAGGCACCTTTGGGCGTACGGTTCCGGGCTTTCTCTTGCATCGCCAGACAGCGCAACCGCTGCTGTTCGGGGTCGAGGACAACGGGAGGAGCCGATCGTGCCGACGACGGCGGCCACGGGGTAGTTGTAGACTTGATAGGACTGGAGGAACGGACGGCGATCGCGTCCGATGTCGGACTGATCATCCTCGCTGTCTTGACTTGATGAGTTTGAGCTGCAGGTCCAGGTTGCGTGTTGGCGTGCGCTTCTCGCAAGCCTCGGAGAGACGATGCTGATGCTTGTCTGCGAAGATCGGAGCTCTCAATAGGTTCCGTCGCATGTTTGGCCTGTGCTGTGGCGGAGATGCTGGGTGAAACACAATTTGCATCCGAGGCCGGTCTATCGACCTCGCTCGAATCCTCCACCACCTGAGTAGCTTGCAAGCCGTTGTCCTCGGACAGCGTCCAGGCCCCTGATACAGGCGAGGAATCTACAGGGCTCGACTCTGAAGGTGACGACGCGCCTTGCGTTCGTGGAGCTGAGGAGGCAGCCGGTGCGCGGTGAGTGCCTTGCTGCGAAGGCGCAAGTCGGGCGATGGCCATGGGGAGTGGCCTTGACGTGGCCTTTGCCGTGCTTGCCGAGGGGCCCGTGCTTGCGGGACGGGGAAGACGAGATCCGGGGCCTGAAGTAGACGCTGGCATGCCCGCTGCCTGTGCAGATCTTGGTCGTGGAAGTCCGCTGACCGGTCTTGCTTGCCTGGATGGCGAATTGGGCCTGGCTGCAAGAGCTGCTGAAGCGAGTCGTTGCCGAGAAGCCTTGGACGCGACAGAGGATCCCTGCATCGAAGGTACAGCCCTCGCTGCAGGCTGCGAGAGTGCGGCTCGAGGAGCAGATGAGGAGAAAGATGGTGGCAATGATGAGGATGGTGCTCGCGCCAAAGCTGCGGCAGGTAGGGTCGCGCCTTGGCTGCCGATTCTGCTGGTACCGCTGCTCACCGCTCGCGCCGCTTTGGACGCCACGCTGGCAACTCTCATTGTAGCAGGCGCAGTTCCTTCGCCCTGCTTAGTTGAGATCTGTCGGGCCGCAGCTGCTCCGTGCACTTGGACACGGCGAGCTGGTATTCGCTCGTGCTTAACGGCGAACTCAGTGTTCCTAGCCGAGCTGTTGGAGTAGACCCTGCGTGGCGAATAGGAGGGCTTCTCTGGCGAGACCTTGACACCAAAGTCGGCTTCGTGCTGATGGATGGGTACGCGACGGGCCGTTTGTCTGAAGACTGGAACTGGCGTCTCTGGCTTGGCGTTTGCTACGGTCGCCGGGGGTGTCGAGGGTGAAAGTGCTGCTGCATGACTGACGTGACGCATCGGCGACGTCGGTCTCTGAGACACCGGGGACGCTCGCTCGATCGACCTCGACTCTTCAACTGCGGTAGGCGCTTTGCTTGGGGAAGGCGTTCGGATCGCCAAAGAACTGACGTTGCCAAGCCAGCCTGCCTTGCTCGGCGTCTCGGACGCTTCCGGTATTGCGAACCTAACGGATGGCGTGGCGAGCGTCGCAGCCCCCTTGACGGGCGCATTTTCACGAGAGCTACTTGGAAGCGGGAAGAGTGGCTCGACGGGGCCGCTGTCATGCTTTTGAGGCGATGCAACGTGCTTCGCAGGACTCGCAGTTCGCATGCCGCGTGATGGTGATCCTGATGGTGCTACCGTGTGAGGTTCAAGAACGGCGCTGGATATGAAAGGCGATGGCAATATCGAGTGATGGGCCAATCGAATCGAAAGAGCCCTGTTTGCCGGAGTTTCTGGCACTCTTGCATTGATCGGCGAGAGATTCTGCAAGCAAGCAAAGCGAGAAAGACCGGTGCTCGGCGGAATGAGTAGAGCAGAAGCGGATTGCCGGAAGGGAGTCGAGTGCTGTTGGGGCGCGGTCTGTTGCTTAGCGACCGGCTGCTGGAAAGGTGTTGATAAACCAGACAGAAGCCCAACTGAGCCGACCTTTGTCGGAGAGGTAGAAAGCTGGAGCGCTCGAAGCGACAACCTGGGTGAGCGCCTAGGTGATCGCATAGGAGAGTGATACTCCTTGTTCTGGGCCATCGTAGCTCCAATGAGCGTTTCGACAGAGCGGACCGGGCTCTGTGTACGATGTGTCGAATTCATCTGTTCCTTCGAAGGACTGGTTTTCGCTGCCGGAGCGCTACTGAGACTGGTTTGAGCCGCTTGGAACGGGTTGACATCGTTCAGCTGCTTAGCCGCGAGCGCTCCTTGCGATCGTGAGGGAGAGTCCAGACTGTCTTTCTGAGGTGAGTGAGGCAAGTCACATTGTTCATTGTCTCTCTCGGTGAAATTTCGAGGTGCAGATTGACCAGGTGAGCCTGATCGTCCTGGACTAGGTACGCTTTCCTCTTCTACGAGCTGTTTGGCTTCGGTTGGCGTAGTGAGAGCGACGGGTGACGAAGTGCGAACATGACAATCGCTGCCACTGGGAGAGCTAGGAAAAGCGGGGTCCTTGATCGGTGAGGACAAGATGGTGTTGGTGGAGTTCCTAGATGTAGGGGTCGGCTGGGACCACGCCCAGCTGTTTGTACGTTGATCGTCGAAGAGCATAGTATCATCCGGGTTAAAGCTAATCGGTCGTCTTCTCGCAAGATCGAGACTGTCCTTGTGCTTGAGACGCTTTTCGAGGACGCGCTGCTCGTAGTGGATGCGCTTCTTCTTTTCCGCTGACGATGGTTTGCCGAAAAAGACCACGTCGGAAGCGTCCGACTCGTCCGAGGACGAAGCAAAGTCATCGCTGCGAGGATCCAATGCTCGTCGCAAGGGTGACCGGTTGCGCACGGGTGAGCTTCGAGTTTGCAGAGGCGAAGATCTGAGCGGAGAGCTGTTCGAGAGCGGCGAGCCGAAGCGTGGGCCGTTGAGATGGTTGCTGTTGGAAATGCCGTCGAGTGTTTTTGCAGATGTGGAAGGTAGACTGAGAGCGACCATGCTCGTGTTTTCCTTGTTCGCGTCTTGTCTCGGAGACGCAAGGGAAGCACCCGACAGTCGCAAGCTCCTGCGTGGACGACGTTGCGATGGGCTTGACGGTGTCAGATGAGCGTCGGAAGAGCCGATTCCTCCGAAGCCAGCCCCCGCCCGCGCTGGACTGAGGGAGATGGTGGGTGATGCCACTTGCATGCTCGGAGCTCCACGCACTTGGCCGACGACCTTTGGTGTAAGCTGCTGTCCAAATAATGATTGTTCGATGATCAAATCAGAGCTGTCAAAGACATGAGCACGAGTTGGCGTCGAGAACAAGGAGGTCTATCGGAAAAGCCCAGGTGCTTCAGGTTCGTTGTCTCGACCGAGACTGAGAACGCAGAAAGTGACAATGATGATGATGTTCTAGGTGCAAAGGTCGAGTTGTGGTATGAAGGTGTCAAAGTGAGCTTCGAGCAGCGTTGCATGTCAGCCGACTCGAGCCAAACAAAAAAGCAACTGAATGAACATGTTAGGACGAAGCTGTGGATAACCCCCACCAAGCCACAGAGTGATTCGCAGCATTCAGTGTGAGCCTCGCACGATTTGGAAGGCCGACTAGAGCTTGCTCTCGGTCTCAGCCGCCAAAGCAAGCGACACAGTCCTCCCTCCCATCGATTCAAGCGTCAGACTGCAGAAAGTCCAACACCAAGCTCAAGCTGCAACGCAATCACAACGTTTCCAAATAAAGAGTTGTTTCTGCCACGCGCTCCTCCAGCTTTCCTTGCCTGGGCAAAAACTCGCGTGTGCGCGTCACGTGCATAAGGCGCTTTCCAGACTGGCCCGATCGAAATCTCGATCTAGCCAGCCTCCACCTTCTCGCTGCCCAACATATTTTTTGGTCCTCTGCATTGTTCGGTTGCCTGATCGGCTGAGTGAGCTGAAGCTGAACAGTTGAACACATGACAGGCATCTGGAATCTGAATCACTCTGAAACGGCTCAGTCTTCAGCATCTTGGTCTGCATCCTCAACCACTCTGTGAGAAGCGCACTGGCACCATGCATTGTTCGCATCATCCTCACGGCGCGTCATGAAAGCCTGTCGACTCTTGTTGCAGCAGCCGTCCAGGCATTCTCTCAAGCCGTTTGCACAGGCTTCTCGGCAGCTTGCGAGCAACGACATCTTCTCGAGCAATCGTTACATCGACCAGGCTAGAAGGGCGGCAGACGACCGTCGTTCGTCACTCGATCCGGCATGGCTTCGTCGTCCGTCGCAAAACACAACGCTCGGTCTTGCGAATGCATCGCATTCATTCCCGGTCGACCAAGACAAGCACATGCTTCTTCGTTCGGAGTCGTCGAACGATGCCCAACAGTCCGGCAGGCCGCCGAGCCACAGGCGCGGCATTACCGACCACGAATACCAGACAAGAGTTGGCAAGGCGTGCAGAGTCATCATCGACAGTCTTCCTGACTTTATGCACAAGGGCGTAGTTGACATCCAAGACCTCGAAGCTGACGAAGCATCGACTTCATCCTCTCGTACGCCATCCGCATGGAGTGCGAGAAATCTGCTCCCAAGTCTGTCGCCATTTCTCGGCCAGAGTCTACTTCGCCGATCTGCTTGGTCGGATACAGGCAAGGACAAATCGAAAGACGACACAGCGGCGACGGCAAAAGATGGCCACGATTTCGACAGTCTCTACCACCCTTCTATCGCTTTCGAGTTCCGACCGCCGCTCCCACACCTTGGAATTGGCAAGTCAGACGACGTTCCCACCAGCGGAAAGCCGACCGCAAGCGCCGGTACATTCTCAGATACGAGCGGCAGCCAAGACGGAAGCGGCAGGTCACTCGACGTCTACGGCGAGCATGCTCGCGGTGGTCCTACCATCTGTTTCAACGGTCGCACCCTGTACGTGGCGAGCTCGCATCTGCTCCGACATGCCCTCTCAGCACTGTTCCACGACACTTCGATCCATCTCGAATCGGCTCGATTCGAAGGTCGCTCCAAAGCAGGAAGCTCATGGCCTGGCATCAGCTCGTATGTCAGGCGCAGCACGCAGAGCGACCTCAATTCCGACAACGTCCATGCCGATGCTTCGTGGAAAGACAAGCTTGTTGTCAGGCTGCGTTTCGAAGGCATCTCCCGTGTGACCTCACATCCGCACACGTATACGGCCATCTTCAAGTACGAATTTGAACGCAGCACAGGCATGATCGCCAAACACTTGGTCGACAACATCCAGCCTGTCCCTGGAAGCAAAGTATGGGCAGGCTTGAGCCATGCATGGGGTGCAATGAGCCCTGCAGCAGCCGGTGGAGGTACAGCTGCTTGCTCAGCGTCCAAAGCCGTTAGTCGCGGTACTCCCCGAGTTGTTGACCTGCCTCTCTCCTGACCCTCGCATTCGGAGCACGACACAGCTGTGTTTTTGTATTACTTCCTCGTTTCGTCTTTCATCCGCTCCTTCTCTCAGGTCGCTCATGTTGTCCTCGTCACCGATTATCACACCACCCCTCCAGTCAGAAACATGGCTGGTATCTGTCAGGTGTATTGGAAAACAGCTTCAACCTTGAGAAATTACGGATCTAACACAGCCCGCGAAATTTGCCTAAAGCACACACACGCGTTTCGACGCGCCGAGCTTGAAAGCGGAGAGCAACACTGCAAGGCAGCGGCCCAGCCCCAAATTTTGGCACTCTCTCTCCTGCAGCTCTGAGGTCGAAATCGTCGAGCTAACGCCATCGTCTCCTCTGCACCACCATCACTATCTCTCCACCTTCCTTCACGAGCGCATCCGCCAAGATGTTGACGTCACGACAGTCATCCTTCCCTCAACACCAGATGATGCAGCAACCGCCCCAGGGACAATTTGATGCTCAGTATCATCCACAGCAGCAGCAACACTTGCCGCAACCTTCACAGCATTTGATCTCGTCACTGCAGCATTGCGTGTCGTCGACAGCGAGCTGTGTCCAAACTGTGAGTTCTGGTCACATCTCTGGTGGTAGGGATCCGATGCTTGAAGATGCTTACTGACATTCTGCTGTCTTCCTGGCTTGTCCGTACACATTGCAGATGAAGGAAGCGATCGACACGCTTGACTTTGCGATCCAAGATCATCCACGATTGATGACCGTACTCAAATCGCAGCGAGTGAGTCCCTAGCGATGGCTCTTTTCACTTCTCAATTGCTTGAGCTGACGTCACCCCTCACCTCACTCCGTCTTTCGCTTTTCGCGCAGCACTTTGACCTGGTATCGCAACGAGACATCGAAAAAGCTCGCGAGCACGTCGCCACCGAAGTGCGCCCTCACGTAGAAGAACTCTGTCGACGAGCTACCGCCGAAATCGCACGTCAAGATCGACGCGCAGCCGCACTCAAGAACAGAAACGAGGCCCTCCAGCAGCGAATCCAAAACATGCGCTTGATCGATCTACACCAGGCCAAACTCAACCACACCGCTTCAGCAGGCGAGGAAAGGGAACACGAAGAGACCGAAGAACAACTGCAGATCAAGAGAGACATCGACGAGCACACGGCAAAGTTGGACAAGCTGCGAAGGAGGAAGGAAGCCTTGTTGGCCACGGCGGATAAGCTCGAGAGCGAGAATCAGGGTCAGATTTAGTGCCAGCCTAGCTGTTGCCTTTCCGTTTGGGTTGACTTGTATTTGTACCGGATGAACGGCTGTTTTACTGTTCTGCTCAAGAGTTTCAACTCGTCTTGGCTCTGTGTGGTGCGCGGTCCTTAGAAGACTCTTTCTCGGACGCTCAAGTCAGGCCCGCGCACGTCCACCACGCACCACGCATCTCTGTGGATGAAAGGACAGCCTGTCGTTCCGAAAGAGTTTACGTCTACGATCGCGAAAGAGCCGGAGCTCAAAGTTCCACTTTACCAGCCTTTTCCGCCTTGACACCCTGATTGACAGCCTTCAAGCGCTTCTCCAACCTCTCAAACACCGCTTCAGCCTCCGCGACCAACCTCTTGACAGATTCCGGATCGTCTCCATCCGCGTCCATGGTCGGCTTGAATCGATCCACATTCTGCTGGTAGAGCCTCTCCAGCACCTCTGCAACCGTCTTGGCAATGGCATCCGGTGTGGCATCGTTTCCGCCGGGAGGCGTGATGTACACGTTGGGCGCAAACACACGTTCGTAAACCGGCTGGCGATCGCCGCTGTGATGACGCGGAGACACTGGACCGTAGTAGCCTTGATCGCTGAAGTAGCCTCGGTTGTGACCACCAGCCTGCATCCGATCCAGGTGTTGCACCATGTTTGCCGAGGATGCCACGGACGATGACGATCGCCTCCACGTGTAGATGTTCGAAATGAGCAGGACGAAGATCAGCAGGCCAAAGCCTAGGGATTTGAGGCTATCGCCACCTTCGATGCCGACCATTTCGAGTGCGCCGCCGAGCAGATCACCGACCATGCCAAACGCGTCCATAATGGGAGCGGTGATGCTACCCAGCACTCCACCTGACGCACCTCCGCTCGCACTGCTACCGCCGTTGGAACCAGAACTGTTTCCGCCTGCCCCTTCGGTCGATGCACCGCCTGCGTCACCGGCTCCACCGCCGCCCTTTCGATTGTTGGGACCAGGTGTGGCGGCGCGCGCAATCTCCTCCACCGCTGCGGCATCGTCGCCCTCCTCCTTGAACTCGGACGTGTGGTCGGTCAAGTACTTTCGCACCGCCTCGTCGAGCTCCTTGTAGTACTGCTTTTGACCGTCGAGAGATGCCTTGTCGATGATGCTCTTGAGCATGCTCCTTCCGGTCCATTCGACTTGGCACGTCACGTAGACGTGCGAAACGTTGCCCGTACCTGACCATGTGATGCATGTCTTGGTCTTGACGCTAAAGCTGCCACCGCTCGGCACGTCGGGTGTGCGCGTGGTGGTGAGAGTCACGACGTAGTTGTCAAAATCGACGTGCAGATTCTCATCGGTCAGCATACATTTGGTCTGTTTCGGCCCGAAGCCTCCGGCGAGCGGCTTGATGTACGAGATGTTGCGCGAGAGCAGGTTACGGTTCTCTGCATTCGGGCTCCACTCTGAAATTTGCAGGTCCATGAGCTTCTGGTCGTCTGTCCAGAACTCCTTCATGAACGTGGACGTGAAGAGCAAATTATAGATCTTCTCCGGTACGGCGGGATAGGTGGTATCGAGCACAACCGAGGAGAAATGCTCCTTCTTCTCCTCGCATGGACATGTCGTCTTGCGATGTGCCGCACGCTTGCCGGTGGGTGCGGGTGAACGGCTCTGCGGGATGAGGGGCGTTCCGGATCTGGCGGCGGCCGCTGCAACGGCCGCAAGATTCTCGTCACGGACACCCGTCTTGGTCCCTTTGAGCTTGCGTTTCAGCCTGGCACGTTTCGATTGCTTGGATTCGCCTGCTGCTTTGCCCTGATGTTCGGAATCGCCTCCCTTCGAGTCGCCGCCGGCCCCTGCCGCCGCCGCCGACGAATCGCCGTCTTCCTCGATCTCGGAGTACTCATCCGACAGGTCGGCTTGGTCGGCCGCTGCGAGAGGGACGCCTGGATGCGACAGCTTCCAAATGTTGACGACGAGATCGTAGGTGGCATCGCGGGAAAGGAACGAGGTGAAGTTGTGCTTGGCATGAAGCGTGGCGATCTGGATGGCATTGGGAATCACGAAAGCAGTCATGCGCTTCTCGATCGAAATGATCTCGGAAAAGGGTAGAACAACGTTTGTGACCCAGCCAAAGATGTTGGCTTTGAAGCAGAGGTGATTCTCGGAGATGTACAGCCGACCTTGGATGAGAATCTCGCGCACCACAGCACAACCGTAGTCCTCGATGAGGTAGTCGTCTTCAGGTACCTGCGGAAAGAGCTGGTGAAACTCGTGATTGCGTTTGGAGCTGGCTACGGCAAAACCAGTGATCTGCGGGCCCATGTCTTCGGGCCAGGTGGTCTCGCCGTCAATATGTTGACCCCCGACATTGGCACCGCCTGCTGCCGGAGGATGGAGGCCTCCGGCGCCGGTAGGGTTTGGACCATCTGGAGCAAGAAGCGGTGTGACGGGCATACCAGGCACACCGCCGATAGAGGAGAGGAGGGCTGCCGAGGCTGCACCGAACCCGGCAGCTGCACCGAGGCCGCTGACGGAGGATCGATCGCTGAAGACTGAGCCATCGTGCGAGACGAAGCTGCTATCCCTCCGTTCTTGATGGGGTCGAAGCGGGTGAAGTGGATTACCGTCCTGATCCCTCTCGACGACGCTACCTGTGGAGGGATCTCTGTACATGCCGCCTTGAAAGACACCTGTATCCTTCGAGTCCTTCCTCTTCTTGTCAAGGTCGATGAGGGCGGATTGAGACTGCTGCAAAGCGGCAGCATGGCCGACCCCCATTCCGGCAATACCACTTGCAGCAAGCGCACCGGCGATGCCGGCGGAAGGGCCCGGCTTCTTGACCCGGCTCGCCTTGCTCATGGTGCTGCTGTCGCTGTTCTTGCGTAGACGCGAAAAGGCACCGTTGATGGAGCCTGCATCCGAGGGGCGACGAGGGCTGCCGTCTGAAGGAGCAGGAAGGTCGGTGGGCCTGAGCAAAGCGCTGCTGGAAGAGCTTTTGGCCATGCCTTGCAGCGAAGCACGATTGGGTGAGGTTGAGGGTTCCATGAGGGTGCTGGCGCGCTGGGGAGGGCCCTTGGACGGATCGAAAGGTTCTGAGCGCTGCATAGGGTCGTAGCCCTGGTCGACGATCTCTTCGAGCGAGTCGGATCGAGGCATTTCAGCGCGAATGGGCGCCGGGGTCACCAGGGTGGGCATGGTAGCCGAGGCGGTGAGCAAGGGCGATGCAGAGCTGGGACCGGAAAAGCGCTTTGCAGATGCGGGGGCTGAGCCGTTGGAAGCACTGACGAGGTTCGGATGGCCGTTGCCAAAAGCGTCCATGGAGAGGCTGCCATCGCCGGGACGATCGAGGGGAACGTGACGCGCTGTGATGGGCGTGGAGTTGGCAGGGTTGGTGTTGGGATGGTAGTTGTGGGAGTGGTGGGAATTTGACATGTGATCGTCCTCAAAGACGCTTCCGCTGTCGTCGCCATCGTGTTCGCCGTATTCCTGCGCGGTGGCCATGGCGCGTCTCATGAGTTCGTGACGATTTAGTGGCTCTGGCTTGGCGTGGCCATCGTCACTCTTGTCCACTTTGGAGCTGCGACGGGAGCTCTTGCCACCCGAAGCGGCCATGGCATTGGTGGGCTCGCTGCGCGCTTGAGAGTGATTGGCGGAGGATGGTCGAGCCATGGAGCGGCTCGATTGAGAGGCGGCAGCTGCGTTGGCGGATTCGGTTTTGGGATCCCAGCGAAGGGAATTATTGGAAACGGAGGATGGTTGAGTGGTTTTGAGCGTAGAGACGTTGGACTCGGCCGGGCTGCGGTTGGGTTGCTCTAGGCTGGATAGGTCGGTAACGTCGATGGCAGGAAGGTTGACTGGAACGGTGAAAGGTGAGACCGGGATTGAGCCGTTCTTACTCGGGAAGGCGGTACCGACGCTGTACGTATCGTCGGCTGTCAGATGGTCAGACTGGGAGGAAGCGAGGGTAGACAGAGATTTGGCGCGTTTGTGGTCGCTCGAGGATGCGCTGGATGAATGATTCAAGCTGTCTTTGACCTTGTCTTTGTTCGAGTTGCGAAAGATGTTTTTGAAGGACGACATCCGGTGCTACTTGCACGGAGCTGAGAACGAGACGAGTTGCCACGAAGACGAAGAGAAGAAGCAGCGATGAGACGTGGATCCAACGACGAGGTGTCGATGCGGACTGCAGACGGTGGTGTCGGTGGTGAACGCAAACGATGGCGTCAATGGTGGGCGGGGGAAGCCAGGCCAAGTGCTGTTCGGGAAGGTGGAGCTGCAGAAGTCCACAGCCGCCTCACGCCCGCGCCCGTCGGTCGGTGCATGCAACCGATTGAAGCGAACCCGTCCTGCTCGGTCGGTCCCTTTTTCATGAATCATGAATTTGTGTGTCTTGTGTGTGTGTGTGTGACTGACTGACTGACTTCAAGCCGTGTGCGTGTGCACGGTGACGCGTGAGAGGTTCCTGAAATTGTGCCTGCGAGCCACTGTCATGTGGAGCAAGCAGAGCGGTCACACAGCCCGTCATTTTATACACGCATCTTTACTTTCAAACCCCGAATGTTAGAGTGAGTCGAGTGAATGCAGAGTGGATTGCGAAGAGTAAGCAGTTCGCTGCCTCGTGCTCAATGTACCGAGACAGCCTGTGACGTTGTTCGGCTGTGGAATTGCTGCTCACGCACCGAAAGAGCCGGGTTTTCGGATCGTGTGGCCACGCCTGCACAGCCCTGATGCCACCAACGTGCTTGTTGCCCGTGGCAGGCTCGTCATTGTCGCTTTTCATCCGGCGCCACCTTCGTATTGTCTTGTGTTGGGTGCGCCGCATAAGCGCGCCTTGATCCGGCAGTCCGTGTGACTTGGTTCTTGTCGCAGTCGGCTCGGTATCGTTGGCGCTTCCCGTGCTGCCACCATCATCCTATCCTCCTTGTCGAAAAGACATCCGAGTGCGCCCGGCATGCTTTTCGACTCCAACCCTCTCGTAGTATCTACCAATGAAGCATGCCTGCACAAGTCGGACGTCAAGGTATGTTTCCATCTCGGCTTTGACTATGCCCCGCGAATTGCTACTAATTCTCTTCTACCTGCGCATGCTACCGTTATTTCGCGAGGCCACAGACGTTGAAACACGACGAGTGGCTCGGCGATAACGTCCTAGCCTTTCATGCCGAATGGCTGCAAGCGCTTGGCGGACAACTCGAACGCGCCAGTTCAGGGCCGCCCAATGTCAAGATGTTCCCTCCTTCGGTCGTAGAGGTGCTCTGCACACTCGAGAGCGCCTCCGCACCCGACACTGCTTCTGTGGTGCCGAAGCCGACGGAGCAGTTCTTGCTGCTGCCTGTTAGCGATCGCTACAGCCCGTCGAGTCCAGGCCATGCAGCAGCGGGAAGTCATTGGAGCCTCTTGCTTGTGGATGCTGCCTCTGGCGCCGCGATTCACCTCGACTCGCTCGGTGAATGTAACCGTAGTGCGGCCGCCGCGGTCCATTCCAGCATCCTCAGGCTCGTCCAGCCGAGAGGCATTCAGCACGGATCGTCACCGCCGACTCCATTCAAGGTGGATTGCTTGCAACAGCAGGAGAACGGCAGCGATTGCGGCATCTATGTCTTGCTCCTCTCTAGCCTCCTTCATCGACAACTCTGCACGCTGCAGGCCTCATCCTACGATCTGGCTGCCGTCGTCGAGACCGTCTGCGTCGATGCGACCCCGAGCCACGTGGGTCGCTTCCGCAAGCTGTACAAGGAGTGGCTAGAGGCCTGGGGCAAGGCGACACATCACGAAGAGCACGTCGATCCAAACCAAAAGGTCAAAGCACACTTCCTCAAGATTTTTTCGGAAATCGGTGTGGAGTAAGTGGGAGCGGCGTTTCCGCGGTCAGCAGTAGTAGACATGAATTAAATACATTTTACTAGATACAAAATTGCACAACTTGCTCTGCTGGACGTCCTCATGACCGACCACCTGAAATGCGACCAACGACCTGTCCGTCCGTTTCCGCTTTTCGAGCAGCGTTGATCTGAGCAGGCGAGTCCAGCATGGCCAGATCGACTGATCCCGTGCAGGCTGCACGCAAAGCAGCCATCAAGCGTGAGGCTCAACGCAATCGGGAGCGCAAACAACAGGCCAACCAGGCACGCACCCTGCGTCAGGATACAACCTCGCTCGAAAGAAAGGTCCAACGGCTCGAAACGAGCAGAACGGCTTTGTCGCCAGAGGAACAAGAAGAGCTCAAGAGGTTGCAGGACCAAGTTGCCAGCGTCAAGCGCATCAAGGAAGAATACATTCGCAAGCATCCGGATCAGCGCAACTTTGTACGCGGCTACGAGCAGCCCTCCGACAGCTTCAGCGAAAGCCGTCCAGGCTCTTCGAGTGCTTCCCAGACTCACAACGTGGCTCCGAGCATTGCAGTTGCCCCATCGCATACGACAGCTCAGGACCCACGGTGGAGCATCTACTACGATGCCGTCTTCAATCCATACGGCGCTCCGCCACCAGGCATGCCATATCTGGAAAAGCCGCATGCTCAGCTCGTACAAGAAGGCCTCCTAGATGCGGCTAAGCCTCCACCGCTTCCAGAAGAGACACAACAGCAAGGCTTGGGCGTGGACGACGACAGCGACGATTCAAGCGTCGATGAAGACCTCAAAGATATCATCATGCCATCCGGTCCACCTCCAATAAGACTCTTGCCAGAGGCTGCATCATCAGGGATCGATGCGGTTCACCTCAACAGGGGAGCCGGACGGGCACGAGGTCGTGGGCCACCGGGAAGGGGGAACGGCGGTCCGACGCGCGGCACAGGTGGCACAGGGCGAAGCTCGCGTCCCGCTCATCTTCAGCAAAGAGGTGGGCCGGTAGGCGGCCAGATTCCTCAATACCCGGCTAGTCTGCCTCCTCGTCCGCCATTTGATCCTTCCATTCGACCACCGGCACCCCATGCCACCGCCAGTGCTCTGCCAGTGCAGGCATGCGGCCCATCGAGGCCGCCGGGGCCCCCACCAGCGGTACCCGACGGCGTCATCATCTCTGCGGAACCGCAGCTACGCGATCTCAAAAAGGAAGCGACCGCTTTCGTCCCAGCCGCAATCCGCAAAAAGCGACAAGAAGAGAAAGCTAGGACGCAGCGCGGCCTTCCAGGCCGAATTGATGCAGCTCCCACATCCAGCGACATGACACACTCACCTTCGGCTTCCGCCAAGGACAGGACGGATCTGCTCAAGTCTCTTCAGGCGCACCTTCCTCCGACAAGCGTCGCAACGTCGACGGAAGGCAGCGGAAAAACAGCAGCCGACAAAGGCAAGAAGGACTACGACCGTTTCCTCGATGAAGTCGCCGATCTGCTCTGACAAGGGAGGTCGCGGTTGTCGCTCGTCGCCATACTGTGACAGCACATCTTGGAACTCTCCATACGGCGCATCAGCGGGAACCGAGTCAGAAGAAACTCACGAACGTTATGGCATCATGGACCCGTTTCATCTGCGGCAGCCATTCGCTTCATGTCTTTCATTGAGGAGGCCATCGTGGTGGGCTGATGAAACGAAGCTCGAGGGGCCACGCTTGCACATTGCACATCACGAGGCATAAAAGGTCGTGCAATTCTGCTGTCCATGTGGTTCCCATCACTTGACTCGACCACAGCCTTTTCCTAAAGCACCACCTTAGACCTTCCAATCGGAAAGAACGAACGAAGCAGGAGCCATGAGGATCGTGCCGACAAGCTGTATCTTGCTTATCCTTGCTTACACGGCAAGAAGCGCCATCGCTTCTTCAAAGCCCGCGTGTCCGAGAAGTAAGTATCCGCCGAGCAGATACGCGCTTTCGACCGACACAGTTTGCTTACGTCTGCTTCCAATTTCCGCTGCAACTACAGCCGCAACGCTCGAGTGCAGGGTGCAGGGTGACGAATCGCCAGAAGCGGCGCTGCGACAGGTGGACGAGCACGCCATCAGGTCCATGTACTGCGCTTTGGGATGTGACTCTGTTGTCAACAATCGCACTAGATCAGCCTTGGCACCGTACGTCAAGCCCAACTGTTGGGTGGAAAAGGAAGAGAATCGAGTCGAGTACAAAAAGTTCGAATCCAAGGACGACAAGGACGAGAAGAAAAGACGCTCGCCACGACGGGGGAGGCCAGACATAGCTGCACGAACAGAAACGAGGGACATCGACGCCTACACCATCGGCAGCGCAACGTTCCGTTTCTGCTGCACCGATACCAACCGCGAGGTGTACTCGGAAGCTGCCGCAAAAAGGATCGGGCTTGAGCTCTCCATCTGCGATCGGCTGTAAATCTCCTTGTAGCTTCTGCATTTTGAAGCGATGCGGCATCATGTCTGACAGCAATGTCGAGATGTCGCCATGATCACAGCCAAGGAGTGTGATGTTGTTCCGTGGAGCTTCTCCCGTCTCTGCTTCGGCTGTAGCGACAAATCCAAGCCGCTGGAGCGGCTGTCTTGCTCAGATCTGAGCTACCCAACGTACCGACTCCAATTCTTTTCTTTTCTTTTCTTTTTGAGACATCCGGGGTTGTTGAGTCGGAAAAAGGGTCATCGGCTAGCTTCTCTCGCTCTGGGGAAACTGAGCTGGCTGTGGTGGTCCACCGCGTTTCATGCAGGCCTCTCAGATCGATCATTTTGCACTTCCTAACCCAAGGCACGGACACCCAGCCGCTTGGATCGTGCGCGTTCCATGGTTCCCACAGAGCCAGCCATTTTAGGCGCCTGCGTGCAGAGCCAAATTTCGTGGCTTCGCAACATGGAAAAAGGTGCACGCCTCAAAAGTGTTGGGTTCGTGCTGTTCTGTTCCGCCAGCCACATCTTCCGTGACTAAGGCTGGAAGCCTCTTTGCCTCGTGTCTCGAAGGTGCCGTCACTTCTGACCTCTCCACCATCACCATCGTCAAAAACGTCCCTGGCTCTGGCTGAGAGACAGCAAGACTGCATCACCCCGTTGCGTTGCGAACCGAGCTCACTACTGCGGCATTCGCGAAACTCCTCCCATCGTCCACCGTCTTCCCACGTCTCTTCGAGGTGCTTTTGGGAGCGGTTATACCTATTCTGCACGACCATTAGACGTACCTCAGGAAGCTCGCTCGTCCAACTTGGACCCGTCTTTCTTTTGCGCATCCCTGAACGTGATTTGGTCTCAGGTCGAATTGCCAGCTGCATCGAGGCATAGCCAGTCTTCCCATCCGAATCCAGTCGCTCAATGACCGGCCCATCCGATCCTTCGGCAGCATCCTCACGAGATCCTGCGGTCAACCGAATTCTCGCATCCCCGCCGACACCTCATCACAGCGACCTTTCATCCACGAAGTCGACAGCGTCGGCACCGCATCCGCCGTCGATCGACACTGATCCTTCGCACCTTCCCAGCAACGATCCCCTGAAAAGGCATCCAGACACTGCCGTTGCCGAAGGGACTGCTGCTGAGATCGGATCCAAGCAAAGAGAGTATCAACGCAAAGCCAAACATCTCTCGCTCACCGCCAAACCTATTCCTTACGCTCGTCAAGGAGACTCGCCAAAGTTCCTTGCGGTCCTTAAAGACTTTGATCGCCTCCTCAAATCGCTGCCCATCCCTCTCCATCGAATTGTACCCAATATCGTCGCAAGGCTCATCTGCCGCATCTTCCGATCGCAGAACATCATGGCGTCCAACATCGCTTTCGACATCGCGCTCTTCTTTTGGCGCATCATCATCAATCTCTTCTTTCGCGAGATTCGTCCACGGTCGGCATGGCGCATTCCGCGTGAAGACCCAGTCATCTTTGTGGCTGCGCCCCACCACAACCAGTTTCTCGACCCGCTGCTGCTCGCATCCGAGGTACGACGCGCCTCGGGTCGAAGGGTCGCCTTCCTCATTGCAGAGAAGAGCATCAAGCGTCGCTTCGTCGGAGCTGCCGCCCGCATCATGCAATCCATCCCCGTTGCCAGAGCAGCCGATAGCGCCAAAGCGGGCAAAGGCTACATCTCGCTCCATCCCTCTGGCGATCCGCTCTTGCTCCAAGGGCACGGCACCGCATTCAAGTCGCAGCTGCAGCCCAAGGGTCAGATCATGCTTCCCAAAGCCTGCGGACATGCCACTGCCGAGGTGGTAGAGATCATCAGCGACACCGAGGTCAAGATCAAAAAAGAGTTCAAGGATGCTCGTGCGCTCGACATGCTGCGCGGCAAGACGCCTCAGCCAGAACCACCCAAGGCCGGCAACAAGTCATCCAAAAGCCCGAGCTCACGCGCATTGGAAAAGGTCGCTGCGGATCTCTTCGAAGATCAAGGTTGCAAGTACTCCTGCCTGCCCTTTGTCGATCAGACACAGATGTACGCAAAAGTCTACGACAAGCTCGCAGAGGGCGGATGCCTCGGCATCTTCCCCGAAGGTGGAAGCCACGACCGTACCGATCTGCTGCCCTTGAAAGCCGGTGTCGTCATCATGGCCCTCGGCGCCATGTCGGCCAACCGCGATCTCAACGTACGCATCGTCCCCGTCGGTCTCTCGTACTTCCATCCGCATAAGTTCCGCAGCCGCGCCGTTGTCGAATTCGGCGCGCCGATCGACGTCCCTCGTGAGCTCGTGGGTCAGTTCGACGAGGGCGGCGAGGGCAAGCGCAAGGCGGTGGGACAGATGATGGACATTGTCTACGACGGTCTCAAGGGCGTCACGCTGCGCGCGCCTGACTACGAGACGCTCATGGTGGTTCAAGCCGGTCGTCGCCTCTACCGCGCACCAGGTCAGTCGCTCAGCTTGGGACAGACGGTCGCCCTCAACCGCAAATTCATCATGGGCTACCTGCAATTCAAGGATGAGCCGCGCGTGGTCAAGCTCCGCGACGAGGTGTTGCGATACAACAAAAAGCTGCGCTACGCAGGTCTGCGTGATCACCAGGTCGAGCGAGCAACACGGGCAGGCTGGCGCAGCCTCGGTCTTTTGGCCTATCGCCTCGGTCTGCTTGGACTGTGGGGTGGCCTGGCGCTTCCCGGAGCGGTGCTCAACTCGCCCATCATCATCCTCGCCAAGATCATCAGCCACAAGAAGGCCAAGGAGGCCTTGGCAGCATCGCAGGTCAAGGTGGCCGGACGCGACGTGCTCGCCACGTGGAAGGTGCTGGTCTCGCTGGGTGTTGCACCCATCCTGTACACCTTCTACGCCGGGCTTGCCACGTATCTGGCCCACAAGCTTGAGCTCTCGCCCCGCACGCGCGCTCTCATGCCGCTATACACGCTCATCGTGCTGCCCACAATGTCGTACTCCGCGCTCAAGTTTGCCGAGGTGGGCATCGATATCTACAAGTCGCTACCTCCGCTCTTCATCTCTCTCATTCCCGGCAATCACAAGGTGATCGTTGACCTGCAGCAGACGCGAACCAAGATCAGCGCCGACATGCATGCACTCATCGACGAACTCGCGCCGCAGGTGTGGGACGACTTTGCCGAGAATCGCATCTTGCCGAGCGCTGCGGCGCCGCCTACGCCACAGCGAGAGGCGCTGGTTTGGAAGCAGAAGAAGTCGACGAGCGGTGCGACCAACGACGCACTTAGCCACCCGCTGCAATGGATGGACGAGCGCCTGTTTGGATGGGGCAAACGCCGTCGCTCGTCGACGCGCCGATCCATGACGGCCGAGGATATCAAGACTCTTCGCAGCTCGAGCCTCACGCGAGGATCTGTAGCGGACGATGGGTCTGCGATCGAGGAAGCAGACGAGGAGCGCGAAGCAGAGGAGGCGGACGCATCATTCGAGGACGGCTCGGAAGCGTCGAGCTTCACCGAGAGCGGAGACGAGGATGAAGGCGATTACGAAGCCGTGTTTTCTATGCTCAACCCGGCCAACTTGGTCAACGGCCTGCGCAGCGGCGTGCTTAGCCCGGGTACGCCTGGCTCGGGGGGTCGACGCAGTCGAACCCATTCGCGCTCGCGAAGCGGCAGCCGTGGAAGCCTCGGAGGTGGAGCCAGCGGCGAGACGTTTGCGGAGAAGCGCAACCGAAGCAATCAGGATCTGCGGGCGTTGATGAGGGAGGGAGGCGCCATGTCGCCGACGGCGACTCGATCGAGCGGCATTCTCGACGGTGCTGGTTCCAGGCAGACCAGCAGAACATCGGCGCTGCCCGCCAGCTTGGCGACGACGAGCATCTCCGGCAATGGCGCCGAGAGCGGCACCGCAGCTGCGACCACGCGCCGAAACCGCACGCACTCGCTCTCGGAAGATGTGCACGTGGCCGAGCTGAAGAACGCCGGGCCTGCGGCCAAGAAACTACCGTTCTCGGCTGCCTCGCAAGCATTCGAGATGCAGCATCAAGGGGACGCCAAGCAAGCCGGGTTCAAGCCCAAGTTGGAGAGCATGATGAGCGCGGAAAACACGCCTCCTGCTACGCCCAAGCACGAGGCGAAGAAGAATCTCACTTCGCCGTTGCAGGTGGGCAACGCAGCAAGCTCCGATGGCAAGGATAACAAGGCGCAGTCATCGTGATACTGATGATTCGTCAATGGGAAAGGATGGATTCACTGAGTCATGCTTCAGCTTGTCGCGTGCAGCGGATATGTGTGTGTGTTTGTGCGCTGAGCTGTCAACCAAGCTGACTTTGAGAAGATATCGGGGGGATCGGAAGACAGCATGACTGAATCGCGTTGATGGACGACACGACGGGAACGAGGCCAGTGTAGCGATGTGGCATTACGTCGATGTGCAGACTGTATCGAGACCTTTCGAGCCCCAATTTCTACTCGATGCTCGTTTACGCCACGTCGCATCGCACCGAGCGCGACACAAAACGCGAACCTGTTTGGCGGCTTGGAATTTCGACCCAAGAGCGAGCGAGCAGGCGGAGGCGAGCAAACAAAGGCTGGTTGTCTCTGGTTCGAGCTTTGTTGGCCGGATTTGAGCTTCCGTCAGCCGCCAAGCCGCAACTCGCTTGCGTCGCACAGCACACGCATCGCAAGCCTTGCTTGCATTCAGCGAACGCAGTCTTCCATTGGAACGGCACCCCCCATAACGCACGCCACCACGCGATGCACGAGTCCAAGTTAAGCTCTTCGCACCACCAAGCTCTTGGTGCATTCCACGTCTCCATGACTCTGTAGGGAGGATGAGCATCAGAGGAACGAGAAGTCAAGAAGGGTCAGTCGATCGTCAAAGGCGAACAAAGTTGCGAGGCGAGGAGGATCTGCAACGCACATGCGTAGAAATTCAAAGAGATCCGCGGGTTTCAACATGTGCTGCAAAGCAGGGTTCTGAATCTTCGCTTTCCTCGCAAACAGGGCACACGGTGAAGCAAAGTCTGTGATGCTGCACATACAGGCGGTCCTGGCACTAGTAGCATGGAACGGCAAAGGTGCCCCGGACAGGCCTCGATGGACGTCGACGGGGACCTTGCCAACCACGAAGACTCAACATCGTTCGGGGTGTACCTACACAACTGTAGTTGCAGCAAGGTGTCACGAAATCACATCTTGCTGCTTGTGCTGGGCCCCAGGGTGGACAAGTCAGCGAGGCCCTCTTTGTCACCGGCACCACCCTGCCCTACGGCCCAATTGTGCGCACAGGGGTCCCATAGCCTGCATCTGCGTCTCCCAGACGTGTTGGAAGGGATGGGAAGATTAGAAAGCTGGAGAGAAGCAATTGGAACTCCGACGGTGGTCCATCTTTGGATTATTGGATGGCTCTCGCTTGTGACAACGAACAAGGTCTCGAATTCAGCGATCCGCGGCGTGCTGCTGTCTTGCGTTGGGCGTACCGTCTGTCTGCAGTGTCAACGTTCGGCCTTTGGGCAGGTCGCGCCGATTTCTGCCCTTTTCCAGCTCTGACCGATAATTCTTACATGCTCGCGGACTGCTGACCGCCTGGAGTTCCTAAATTCGCGTCCATCCATCCGCTCGTCCGTTGCTTCGTCACACCGCAGCAGCGCTGCTCAAAGAACACGGTAATCGCCCTTTCCGGTCATTCGATCCATTTTTTTCCCTTGCTTGGATCTCGATTTCGGTCAACATATCACGTTGGCTGACTGGCTGCCTCGCCTATTCTCAGTCAACTCAATCGGAATCAGTCGTTTCGGCTGCGACCCTCGTTCGCCTTCATTCACTTCCTGACGGTCGGCCACTCTTGTCGCTCCGTGTGTCAGTCAGCCCGTCGGCGTGGCCGTCTGTATCGCTTCTGTTTCAAACCCTTTGCCTTGCCTCCGGCTTCGTAATCCCAACTCGCCTGCGGCGCATTCTCCGACATCTCACAGGCCAAGGCAGCAGCAGCAGCAGCAGCGTGCACTCTCCACAACAGATCGTGCAGCCATTGACTGCCCTTCTTCAAGTCAGCCAGCTACCTCCGACGTCCGACAGCACCTTTCGTCCTCTTCCTCTCGACCCCATCATCTCGCATCTGCTCGGTAGGCTCTCGTTTTCCATATCGCTACCGACTCTCCTTTTGGATCTTCACCTCTGCCACCCGCCTTTTTTGGATCTGAAGTCGCCGCCAATCGACCGCATATCGCACACCGTCGTTACCGCCGAAATCGTACCCCAACCACGGAACAGCATAAGACCGTCTCGTATCCGTCACGATCTCGTCCGTCTCTCGTCACCCAGCCTCCAGGAAAATAGGCATAGACTCCCAGGGCATTCGATCGACGCAACCCCTCTCGCATTCCGACCATACCTGGACAAGCTCTCTGAGTCAACCTAGCCCTCCATGCAGAGGTAAAGGATCCGCTTCGAGACACTCTGTGGAAAGCCGGTGCCCGTCGGACGATCATCTGGATACTCTGACCATCGCGTCAACGGCCCACGAGCTGCTTGCTCACTACGGCTCCGACTGACGACCACTTTGCAGTCGGGTCAGGCCTGGTCAACTCTGCGACAGCACCACACGCACCTGTCGCCTGTGCGCCTGCCAGGCACTTGACGAACCACGGCGCCAGCCGAACTTGTCTGACAGCATGTCGCACTCACACGCGACGATCGCTTCGCCTTCGCGCAACGCCTCATCCACCTCCTCACTCCGAGCTCCGTCCACAGTAGCCTTACTCAACGCGCGCAGATCCTTTCTCGACACATCCGCCCTCTCGCCTCAAGAATATCTCGTCTACCTATCCAGTTTCAGCAGCATCAAGCCTGCTCCCAGCGGCCAACCAGATCTGATCGACGAACAGGATGCTTTGCGCTACCTTCGCGAAGAGTGCGGCATGACCATGGCCGACGAGCTCGACATCCTACCTCTCTTCGAACGCACGCCGCTCGGTCTTGGCTCCGGCCACTTCTTCGCTATGCTCCGCTTGGTTTCGTGGGCGCAGCAAGGAAGATCCGCGTCCAAAGACCTCATTTTCACCCAGACAAAGCCCGCGCGCATCGCTCTGCCAAAGAAGATTTCGACACCGCAAAGCGCATCCGCAGCAACTTTTGGAAATCCGCAGCAGATCACCTCGCCAGGACCAAGGAGCTTCACAGCGGGTCCACCACCGCTCGTCACCGTGCCAGCCCCGTCCAAGATGGCTCCGCCAAAGCCCGAGACCAGCACGAAGCCTTTGCTGACCCCAGTGCGCGAAGAGGCGCCTTTCAACGCCGACGACGGACCCGAATCCTCCAAGCCACCGCCCGCGGTGCCCGCCAAACCGCAGATGCCAAAGTTGGTCGCGCCCAAACCGAAGGTAGCCAATCCGAACGTGCCTCTCAACCTGGAACAGCTCCAGCGAAAGCCGGTGCCCATCCTGCCATCTTCCAGCGCCAACCCTTTCCGCGATGGTGCCGCTTCAACTACCGGCTATGTCAGCGGATCTGGCTACGCCGTAGCTGTGGGTGCCACTCCCATCGCGCCGGCCAATATCTCGACACCGTCCGATGCACTTCGCGGCTTCGACCCAGCACCCAACCCTTTTAAGCAGAGCAAGCCTCGACTGGTGAGACCGACGCCGGTGCGCGCCTCTTCCCCAGCATCCAACCCTTTCCGCAATGGCACGCCTGCGATGGCAGCTCAGACTCAGTTCCCCAAAGTCGTTTTCGACTCGGCCGACGATGCCGCATCCTCGCAGGCCAGCAGCTCGCGCTCACGGCAGCAACACACCCACCAGCCCGATCGACTTGGTGCAGGGTCACCGCCGCTACCTCCGCGCCCTGGCGACCGCAACCCACCCCCCTTGCCTCCCCGACACATCAGTCCGCTCATCCAAGCCGGTCTCAACGCCCGAAGCGAGGTGCGCAGGGCGCAAGAATCGTTGCCTCCCAAGACGTTCACCGTACTGCAATCATCGTCGGCTAAACACGGTGCGCCGGCGCCTGTCAAGCCGCGCCTGTTGAACGGACAGACAGCGCCGCCAGAGGTCGCCGCCGTCTCGTCGCACGTCAAGAGGCGGTCGGTGTCCGGCACAAAGTCGCTGCTGGGCGGCGGCAGTGTTGTTGGCGCAGCCTTGCAGCGTCGTGATTCGCAACAGTCCACCTCGGACGCGGGACGCAACGATGGCGAGGCGGGTGTAAACGCCCGGCGTGCATCCAGCCAACTGCACCGCGGCATCGTTGGCGGCAGCGAGGTGGGTGCCGGAAGCTCCATGGTCTCGCATGGGGCCTTGCATCACCAGCAGCAAAGCACGGTACCCACAGTAGCGCCCAAAGCAATCTATGCCAAGAAGGCAGGCTCAGCCAGCGGCGAAGACTCCTCGACAGTATCCAAGGTGAAGCCTACCCTCCCGTCATGGTTGAAGGAGCAGGAAGAGCTGCAGCGCGAAGCACTCGCATCTGGTTCGGAACCGCCTCCGCCTCCTCCAATCCAGCCCACAGAAGGTGGAGTTCGCGGTCGTGCGTCCCGAACGGTCGTCGACGAGCTGACTGACTCCGCCGAAGCCATGTCGGACGAAGTTGCCGCCGCCACCGCAGCATCGATTGAACGCCACAATCCTTTCTTCCCGCCACATCGCCGAGACGAAGGACGCAGCCCCAACCCTGCCGCATCGGATGCATTCGAAGATAGCCAAGTCAGCAGCAGTCGTCCGCTTGGACGCTCCAATACCGTCACTGGCGCCGGTGGAGCGCGTCCTGTGCCGCCGCGTCGTCCTCGCGTAGCCACAGCCGAGAACGATAGCACCATGGCCGACGACGGCGGTTCCCAAGTCTCGTCCAACGCACAGTGGGGCCATTCGCTAGCCTCTGGAGTACACGCTGGATTCAAACCCAACAAGGAACCCAAGAACAGCGGAGGACTGCGCCTGGTTCCGCCTTCCAAGCAAGCCAGGATGCTCAACATGACCACCGCCGAGCAGCTCGAGCAAGAAGGAATCCGACCCGCGAATGACCTGCGCAAAGTGAGCTCGGCGACGAACGAGGACACCCCTTCCACAGGTGGTGTCGTCGCCGCCAGCGAGAACTCCTCGGCTAACGGACCCATGAGCCCCACCACCCCTTCTGGCAACTATCCCTCCCACCAGATCCAGCCATCTGGTTTCATGCGACGCCAAGGGTCTCTCGGCTCCACAATTCGTGAGAAGGTCTCCGACATGTTGCGTCTTCAGGATCAACCACCCAAAGGCCAACGTCAGGTCGACTTTTTGACGCAGGACATCAACAACTTCGTCAACAAGAACGAGTGGCTTGCACGCAAACGTGACTCGTTCGTCCGATCTACCGGCGGTGGACGCGAGCGACTCATCTCCAACTCTCATGTCGAATCCGATGACGAAGATCAGAGGCTGGAACAGGACGAGGAGGACGATGCGCATCCGGACACGGATACGAACACAGCACCCGGTAACGACTCGACCGACTCCGCTCGCCGACGTCGACAGCACGATCGCGATCCCTTCTCATCGCCACCACCGGTCACACACCACAACGAGCACAACCCGCACCTGCACCAACCGCCGCCCCAGCACCCATCGGCTGCTGCAGCAGCAGCAATGACGGGAGGAATACGTCGAAGCGGATCGCTCAACCCAAAGCGGTCCAGCTCGTACAACTACCCGCAGCATCAATCCGGAGCACCTACGAATCCCAGTGCTCACCCTCCCCACCTTGCAGAGGCTGGAGACAAAAGTCGTCGGTGGTCCTCCTTCCACCAACCGCACAACTCGTTCAGCCAGCTGCAGATGCATTCGCATTCCTTCCTGAACAACAGCAAGACGGATGGAACCGCGAGCCACGGTTTGAGGGGCTCGGCAGTGGACGAGGAAGATGCGGACGACGAAGTGTTCGTCAGCGTCGCTCAGAGGATCAAGGCTGCCGAACAGACCGGCGCCGCGGGCTACGCACAGCTTTGAATCACACTTCTTTTTGTGTTGGCACAGCAAATTCAGTCTTTTCCCGTTTTCACAGCCCTCTTCCATCGTCAGTCGCCCCCGGACTGTCTTCGAATCCGTAACGAGTGCATCGGAACAGAATGCCTGCGAGTCCCCAAAGTGAGAGCCAACGTGAGGATCCGGCACAAACGATGCGGACACACCAGTCAGCCACCAGCAGGTGAGCAGCAAGCCGAGAAAAATGCACATGAGTTGCGAAGAGAGAAGGGCAAATGAAAAACAAAGTTTGTAAGTTATGTACGACTCGCAAGAAAGTTGTGGGATGTGTCGGCATTCGAATGCTATGATGTCGTAAAAGTTGATGGAGAGACCTTGTTCACGCCGACATGGTTCAGGGCTTTCCGCGGCTGTCTTCCTTCCTGACGCCATTCGCACCAGGCGCAATCGATGAAGACGCCGAGGGTGCAGAGCCTACGACAGCCATCGAATGGTGTGACATGGACTGTCGTTGCGCCATCGACAACCTCGCCATGACGCCAGGCGGCGGCGGAGGTGGGTGACTTCCGTCCCTCCTCGCAAGCTGCACGCCAGCCCCCTTGATGCCCATCCGCTTGTTGTATCTGTCAATCTCCCACTGCGCCAGTCCATCCGGACCAGACCAGTTGGCAGATGACGTGCGTGGGCGACGGATGCGGTTGGCAGTACGTTCGCCAGGCAGGATCTTCTCGAGCTCAACGGGACCTTGCGGAATACCAAAGATCTCGTCTGCGTCCACCGTGGACTGCGCGAGCAAAGCAGCATCCAGCGCGTCACCTTGAGTCCACAAGGGCATGGCGGCTCGCTTTTGGATGGTCTCTTCGTCCTCCGAGTCGGAATATTCGGATGCAATGTCGGGCAACGGCTCGTCCGGATCTTCCTGAGCCGGATCGTCGTACTCTTCGAAACGTCCTCCGGCGGCATTCTGCGTCTGAAATTGCAGTTGGGCCGCGCGATGCAAGTCTTGCTCTCGCAGAGCTGCTGCGTTGGCGGCAGCTTGAGCTTGTGCTGCATTTGATGCAGCTTGCTGCTGCTGCTGCTGTTGCAACTGAAGCTGTTTCTGCTTCTGCATCTGCATCTGCAGCTGCTGCTGCTTGGCTTGCTGGAATGGATTGGAAGAAGAAAAGTTGGCATTGGCCATGGTTTTGGCTGCCGTTTGCGGCGCCGGAGCAACTATCTTGCCGTTGCTGGCCATCAAAGAGGCTGCAGCAGCTCCATTGCCGGCGGTTGCACCTACGCCGGGGATGCGTGGCGCTGCTCCGAATCCTGCCGCTGCTGCCGCCGCGCCTGGTTTCATGGCCAGCTTGATCTGCTGCGGTGGCTGAACACCTGCTTGTGGCTGAGCACGCTGTTGCTGTTGTTGCACCTGTGCCTGCGTCGGAGCGCCAGGCCGTATCGACGACTGGCTGATGGTGCGCACCATCTTGGGAGCGCCGATCTGCGAGGTTGCCACTGACGTACCGGGACGAGCGTTGGGGGGGACTTGCTGCTGCTGCTGTTTCGCGGGAATCTGAGAGCTGGCTGCTGCAGCCTCCTTGTCGTTTGTCACGCGTCGCTTCTTGTTGCTATCCTCGCTTTGTTGTTGCTGCTGCTGCTGCTGCTGCTGTTGTTGGACTGTGCCCTGCATATAGCGGCTCTTGACACCGGCATAGCTACCGTTGAGGGCGCTCGCAGGGCGCGAGGGCGGTCCGCTGCTGACAGCGCTGACAGCGCTGACAGCGCTCGTCCTAGAGCTTGCTGAGCTGCTTTGCAGACTGCCTGACGTTGCAGAACCACCGACGACGATGTTGCCCAAGAGGGCGGCCGGGATAGCAGCTGGTGCGCCGTTGGAAGAGGCCATGCTGGCATCTTCGAGGCCAGATCGGCCGATGCGGTCATTCTGATCGCGCGCACGCTTGCGGTTCTCCTTTTCGAGCTCCTCTTCGGCGACGGCTTTGGCACGCTCTTCCTTCTTGGCCATCAGCATTCGTCGACGCTCTTCCTTTTCCTTTGCTTTGCGCTCCTCCTCCTCGACCTGCTTCTTGCGCAGCATCTCGGCGCGAGCGATGCTTGTGAGCTTGCCGTTAGCAAGCGCCGATGCGTTCGCGCTCGAGGGGGTCGAGTTGACCTGCGGTGGTTTGCCTGAAGGCGGAGGGCTTGCAAGCAGGGCACCTGGGATGGCCGGAGCCGGCGCAGGCGCTGCTGCTACGGCCTTTTGGTCGGCAATGCTGGCGCTAGTGGCGCTGCTGGGTAGATTGGCACGCGGCTGGAAGGTGCTCGATGCTGAGATCTTTGTCTGAGCGGCTGCAGTAGAAGTGTTGGTCGTGGTGGAGGCATGGAGCCCGAGGAAGCCCTTGATCTTTTCACCAATGCCCCAGGCCCTCGAGGGAGATGCAGAGGGCGCTGGCACACCGGACTGCTGTGCTGCGCGCGCTGATGCCTGTGACTTCATCTTCGACGGGGACGCGGCATTGGCAGCAGCTCGGAGACTGCTCGCCTTGGTAGGCGATGTTGGACCTGCCTTCGCAAGCGCCTTCGCGGCCACCTTTTTCGGGGAAAGAGAAGCCGTCTTGGCGGTGCTTGCCGCTTTGTTCGCAGCAGCCGATACCACAGCGACTGGGAGTGGCTCCTTTCTGGCGGCCGTCTCGGTCGCGATCTTGCCAGATGTCGAAGGGTTCGTCGTCACGGTTGATGTTGCTGGAGCTGGCACACTGGATAGCTCGGGCGTATTCTCCCTCGAGCGAGCGTCGAAGAACTGGCTCTCTGCTGCTTCCATCTTGGAGGTGGTCTGGGTCGTCGAAGTTGCGGAGACGACGCGTTGGGTCTCCACCACTTGCTTCGTGACAGGCTCGACGACCTCCTCCGCTGGAGTCTGCGGCAAGGATTTGTTCGTGTCGCGCTGTGCTTGCGATTGTACTTGGAACGATGGCGCAAACGGCAGGCGACTTCCTTGCCAGTTCTTGGGAGGTGAGTGAGCAGGAGTAGTGCTGCCGCCCATGGTAGAAGACAGAGTGGGTAGCTTAGTGTTGTGCTTGGGGCTGCCGAAAAGCGCAGCAAGACTTCGAGGCTGCGTTGTAGGGCTTCGTGGCTCCTGCGACCGGTTCGACTGGAACAGGGTTGCGCTATCTTTGGGCTTGGGCCCTGGCGAAGCCGACCTCTCTGCTTTCTGCTCGCTTGCCTTCATCTGCTCTGCTAGCTTGCGGGGAGACTTACGAACACTGCCGGTGCGAGGCGGAGGCCTCATCGGCGAAGTGGCGGCGGCTCGAGAAGGAGAGCGTGCGGGCGATCGTGGGATCGCAGAAGCTTTGATAGTCGACTCGCCACTCTTGGTACCTGCGGCGATCTTTTCGGTCGATTCGGAGCCGGAGTCTGAGGATCTCGAGTCCGAAAGCCTCGAGGTGTCAGACGGAGCGTGAGTCCTTTGCGATGTCAGCACCTCTGCATCGGTGGCGGCATTGGAAGAGTCGGGGACGACGAGCGGCGCCATGGTGGCTGCCTCGGTGCTCGGCGACGTTACGGAAGACGCCGATTGCGCAGCTGAGCTGGCGCTCGCGCCGCTTCCAGTGCTGCGAGCAACGTGAGCCAAGTTGTTTCGGAACTGTTCGAGCTTAGACGCGGGCCCGGTAGCCGGGGTCTTCTTTGCTGCCAACATTTTAGCGGACGATGGCGTCTTGGCGGACATCATCGCTGCAGCGAGCTTGGACATCTTTTGCGGAGGTACGGTTGAACTCGAAGCGGTGTCTACTGTGGCTTGAAGGGCTACATCGCTCTTGCGCTTCTTGGAGCTCGGTGCCGGTGCCGCATTGGCGAAGGTGTTGGCCTGCGTGTTGGCTGCGGTCTTTTTGTGCATAGCAGCAAAGGCGGCACCGGCGACGAGGCCCGCTTCGTCTTCATCCGAGTCCGAGTCAGAGTCATCGCCGCTCTCGAGAGCTTCCTGATCGGCGATCTGTTTGCGCAGACTCTTGTTGAGGAAGCTGGAGCGGAAACCGGGACCGGCGGGAGTCGAAGCAGGATGAATGGTGGTGGTTGCGTTGCTCGCGCGCGCATCCCTAGCGACGGCAGGCAAGCTCTTCTTTGCGCCGTAGGAGGCGAGCGTTCGCTTGATGGGTTTGTCGACGATGCCGTCCTTCTGCTGTTGCAGCTTGCTAGTGAGGAGGGCAGACGCCGCTTGACGGGCACTTTCGAGTTTGGGGTCGACGAGTGTGCCCGAGACCGTGTTATCGTGGGACCGCGCTGTGTCGGTCGTGTCAGCGTGAAAGGAGACCGTGTTGCCTTCGCTGCGAGTGCTCTGTGAAATGCTAGTGGACGTCACCGTAGCCTCAGAATTGTCGACTTGGGCAGCTTTGGACTTGCCAGCCGCCACTTGTTTTGCGGTCTCGACGTCGGAATCGCCATCCGAATCGTCCTCGTCGGAATCTAGGATAGAAACGGCGTTGTCGCATGATTCCGCCGCCTGAGTAGTCTGGGCATGCTCGTCACGAGCACGAATCTTGAGAGGCGAAGCTTGCGGTGGAGGTGGCGTAGAGGCCCTCGGCATGGTCTCGTCTGGTGAGCGGTCTGCTTGAAGCGACGCTTCCGTGACCATGCTGTCATCCTCCGCGGCCCTATCTTTGTGCGTCGTCTTCCTGCCTATTGCGATACTTGTCTGCACAGCTTTCTTGGCTCCGTTCTTTTGTGTATTGATATCCGCGAGCACCTTCCGACTTGGCCTGGAAAGAGGAGAGGAAGATCTGTCGTCGACGCCTCGAACGCCTTTTGCTTTTGCCTTGCCACGGCCCTTCTGCGGCTCGACAGTAGAAGCAGTACGTGTTCTTGAGGCTCGTGTCGGTAGCGGTGCGTTCTCCTTGTCGAATACATCGGCCGCATCGACGAATGGGTCGTTTGAGACGTTCAGTGCGCCACGAGACCGGCCCGCCGTACTCGTAGCATCACGAGCGCGTACACGAGTACGGGTGGGAGATTTGAGCAATTCTCCGGCCAGCTTGGATGGTGATGCGACGGTGCGCGATGTGCTTCTGTATGTAAACAAATAGGCAGTAATGAGCTCAGAGGTCAGGATGTTTTGCTTTCACGAGGTCTGGTGGCGGCTTCGATGTGCAATAGAGAGCAAGCAAACACTCACGCATACTTGGCAAAGATATCGTTGGCGTGTAGAAGGCTGTCTGCGATAAAGTCGATACCTTGCTCTTGAAGGTTCTTGTAGAAGAGGGACATGTCGCAGCATTTGCGCATGTTGTTGACATGTCCAAGAAGATGCGCTTCGGGCGTCATTGGCGAGCTCGAGCTACTGCTGCAGCCCAAGCCGCTTGCCGAATCGTCGAGTGCCGGGACACGGCGTGAAGCCGATCGAGCTGTCGGCATGGTCGTTGTATAGTCGAGGAGAGCTTAGCAGAAGAAAGATACGTGCTAGTGCCGATTAAGTGGATGCAGATTGTCAGAGAGCTTTGCTGAATTGACTGAGCAGGTGGATGTAGTCGATGGGATGAATGTCGTGCGTCAATCTGTCGTGTACTTGAGGCGAAGCGTAACGCGTTGCGCGGTCGTGAGCAAAGCGGTCTACAAGGCAAAGGCTTGTCTAAGACTCTGAAGCTCAGCTCGAGGAACGGCCAAGTCGACTGAGCGCCGAACAGGAGAGCCGATGGCCAAGAGGATCAGTGTTGGGTGTGATCCGAAGAGTGATGGTCGAGATGAATGCAGCACAATGTGGAATTGGTCAAAAACCACAAGCGGTAGCGCAGAATACGCGGAGTTGCCGACTTGACTCTAAACAGCACACAACCGGCTCAGTCCCTCGATCCTTCCAAAGAACACACTGCAGTACATCCTCGCTCCACGTTCACATCGGCTCACGCGCCCTTTCTCACGCTCGTCAATTGGACCAGCTTCGTACTTTCTATCAAGTCTGTGCTCCTGAGTGGCAGGCTTGCGAACGCTTTTGTGTCGCAAGCACTTAGTGCACATCATAGACCACAGAGAGGAGCGCTTTTGACTGTTCTGTCTGAGCTGCCAGCCGAGCCAGTCTCGGACAGCTTGCAACACACGCACAGAAAGCTGCACGGCTAGCGCGCTGCGTACATTTCGCGACTCAGAGCCTTCACGTGATTTCCACCACTATTGTTTTTTCGTCTCATTTTTGTCTTTTCGGTTGTCGTGCAGAATGGTCTAACAATTTCGGATTGTCCTCATGCTTGCGGGCAAGGAATCGACTGACTTGAACCGGCTGTACACACAGGCTTTTGCACAGACGTACAGGCTCTGAGATGGTTGTGCAAAGATTGGAATCAGAAGCCTCGTCCGAGATCCTCCTTGAAGCAGAGAGTGGTTCCATGCCGCGACTCGCCCACCTTCCACTCGTCCAGCTCTCGCTGATGCTCTTCTTGAGAATGGTACGGCAGCACGGCGATCTCGCAGACCCTTTCGAAAAGATGGTCGATGACGGCGTTGAGTCGCACACCAGTCTGCGCGAAGTCAGGTTGCGCGTTGACCTCCAGAAGCCAAACATTGAGCTCTTCGCCTTTGTCGGCACTTTGCCCTGAATCGTGACCGACCAAGAGGTCGACGCCGAAAACCTCGAATGCGTTGGGCCACATCTGCCAGTGGATGCTCCCTGCCTTTGCCGCTGCTTCGAAAGCAGCACCAATTACACCGGAGGCTTTGCGTCGCACATCTTGGATGGTCTCTGCTGAAAGTGTCTCATCATCACATGGCTGCTCTGCGTCCACTCGCTTGATCGTGGAGCCTGCAAGATCAGACCACAAAAAGACGTTCTCTTCCTTGGGCCGAGCATCGTTGCCCACAGCCAAGGAACCGTCGTCCTGCAAGCACGTGTTGGTCAGGTGACAACGAAGGTCGCGCACTGTATCGTTCGTCGGCGCTTGATAGTCTAGCGGAGCAAAGAGTGCCAGCATGTCGTCGTGCAAGTAGACCGCGAGCCCAGCCACGCAGAGAACATAGGCGCGAAGATGAAACTTTCTGGCGCTCGATCCCGTCGCATCGCTGTCTACGCGAAGTTTCTGCGACAAGGACGCAGCAAGAGCGTTTTGACCTTGTTGGGAGCTGACAGGATTTATCAGGAGCGGTGATGCTAGATATTCTTGGATCACAAAGTGTCGCAGTTGGCTTGCCATGACCGAAGTGTCCTTGCCCCCATAGCCGCTCTGCTCCTCTTCTGAGCAGCTGGCACCGTCCTCTTCGTCGTCCGAGTCGGGTTCGAACTCCTCGAATATCGTCTGCAGCTGCTCCAGCGTGCTAAAGATGCGGATTCCGTTCCCTCGATCAGCCATGCCGGGCTTCAAGATGAACCACTTGACATCAGCGAGTCGCTCTTGCTGGACCGCGGCCTCGTTTGCCTCGAGCAGCTCGGCCAAGTCGTACAGGTCGTCCATCAGCAGCTCATCCAGTTCGTCGGCGAACTGAATCTCGAGATGCCATGTTTGTGGTGTGCATGTCCGGAAACGGTTCGAGGCAGCGCCTGGTGGAAGCTTGACGGCATACGTGTTGAGCGCAGATGCCAGGTAGTGCTTGCGAATGAGCGCTTTCCTGATAACGTAGCTTGAGCACTGAGGCTGCTTTCCCTTGGCGGATGAAGAAGGGCCGGGAAGTAGATCCTCAAAGGGAAGCAGGTCGTAATCGACAAGGTAGAGATCTTTATCTGAGGGAGCCGTTTCTGTGGCACCGTCACCTTGCTCCACCTGCCAGCCTCGCGACGAAAGCACCTGGCGTGCTGCCCGGAGAGCGGCAGCCTGTGTATAGTCGGCGCCAGGGAATGAGACAAGAGCAGTCTTGCCGGAAGTGGAACCGGGTGAATCAGTCTTCGCAGCCATGACGGAGACGATGTTGAAACGGCCGTCAAAGCTCTATACGCCGATGATGATGACAGGCAGCAACATGAACGAATGGTCTTGGAAGATTTGGGGAAACCCCTAAAAACTTTCCGAAAGCACATTCGAGATCTGTCACAGACGGCGGCACGCTACAGTCTGTGGAGCACAACTGACAGCCAGCCTGCAGCAGGAGTGAGGTGACGTGCTCTAGCCAATTCAGAGCTGGTCGGTGTCGCTTCCGCTGAAAAACGCCTGTGTCCGTGCTCTGGGGCTGCATCGAGCTCATTTGGACCCTGAATCAGCCGTGACTACATGCAGCTGACATTAGCCGCTTGCTCTCAGACAATTGCCTTCTTCTCGTCCCTCTTCCACCTCGCCATCGTATCGCCCTTTTGCCAAGATGAGCCGCGAAGCCATCTTGCTCGAAACGATCGAGATCGAAGAGATCCCGCTGCATGTTCATCTCAACCAGACGAGCCAAGCTTTACAACCTGCGGCTATCGAGGAGGACCAAGATGACGCGCGGTCGCTGCTATACCTATTTGACGACAATGACTTTGAACGAGCTGCTGCCTTCTTGGCCATCGAGGAAGCGCGCCAACAGGCTGAGGCTCGAGCTCACGCGGCGGCTGAGGCTCTGATCGAGGCCGAGACCCAGAGGCAGAGAACCCAGACGCTGGCAGGTCGGCTCAGACAGCTGATGGACGAGGATGACGAGCTTATCGACATGCTCGGTCGACGGCTTCTTGCTACCCGTGGCTACCAGGTCTCTGATCTCTGGAATCCGCAACACTACCATCACCATCATCATCAGCACCTGCGGGCCAGTCCTAGCCGCGGCGAGGACGTAGCACGTGCAGCTCGGTCTACCGATGTCTACGCGGCCTGGAGTGACCTCGCTGACCAGACTGGGCTCACATTGAATCATCGGCCCAGCCCTTTCATCCACGCTGCTCCGGTCTTCCTACGCGGACACGCACCTTACCAGCCTCGTGCTCGGAAAAGCTCAAAACGCGTTCCGCTAGGAAGTGTGGGCCCTTCGTCAGCAACCACAGCCAAAATCCCAGCTCGCACTCAGACCAGAGTCGCGGTCCATCCGCTTACAGGTATTCCCATGCTGTTCTTTGAAGAGACCTCAGACACGAAAGAAACAGGGACGCCTCCAAGTAGCCAACCTACCACGGCCTCGCTAGACGATCAAGCCGAAGGTGATTTCGACGCCTGGCCCATTGACGATGAATCCGATCTCGACTGGCTCGGTCGCGAATTGTTGCATCGTCAAGGCGGCGCTGATGTCTGGATTCTCGGGACTGACGATGGGATCGGATTCACCGAGCCTACGTCCACCGCTGCTGCCGCGCCTACAACTAGCTCAACCACTGATAGATGCACAAGCACGAATGCGTCCGAGTCGATCGGTCCGATTCTTCCCGTTCACGTCGAAGAGGCCGACAGCGATCACGATACACCAAACGTCGCGAGCGAGCCGGCTCTGAGCAGTCCATCGCATCGTGTCGCTGCTGCGCTAGCGCAAGCAGCGCTGCGAAGCACGCAAAGCCAGCAGCCGGCGTCGCCTTCGTCGCAAAAGACGGGACAGACGAGAAAGCAGCGTTCAGCCACCATCATGTCGGAATCCGAGGAGGAGGAGCTCGAGACCGTCGGACGGCCTGTGGTCGAGGAGGAGCAGGAGCAGAACAAAGCCGAAGCGAGCAGCCTTGATGATCGTCCGCGAAAGACGGTCAAGGTGATGGATGTACGCTAGTTCACTCTGATATCGCAATTCTAATGGAGTGATGCCAATGATGTTGTCTGCTGTGCCATACAATGCGTGCTTGAGCTTACTCTTCTGATGGTGTGCCTTCGCTTCCTGTATGTGCAGAACAAGGGCTCGAGTCTATTGTCAGTTTGCGTGCGATATCATCTGAGCAGCAATGTTTCCATGGACTGACCTTCGCCATCATCAGCAACGTCATCGTCATTGGCAATATCGCCCGCGCTGATCTGCATCTCAGCCTGACCTCTCTTCAATCTTGCGACCAGGTCTTGGCCGAGCTGCGATCGTGATTTGGTGCCATAGGAGAGGAGGTCTGCTGGCAAGTCGCCGTCTTTGTTGGGAATTGTTGGGTCTGCACCTGCTTCCAATAGCTCGTTGACTGGTTGAACAGGGGAGGAAGGTCAGCTTTGCCTTGTACACATCCACGTGAGTGAAAGGTCGGACTTACCGATCCAGTTCCTGATCTCTTCCACCTCCTTTGCCGCTTCACCGTCTGGAATATCGACGTTGACAGCAGCATGCAGCGGTGTATCGGCGTTGGTGCGATCCTGATAGTCGACATCGATTTCCAGGTTGAGGATCTCAGGTAGGACTTGTGTCGACTGTTGGGCAGCAGCGTAGTGGAGAGCATTGCGCCCTACTCCATCGCTGTGGTTGGCATCAAAGGCGCCGGAGGAGATGATCTCTTGCAGCAGATCAAGATCGTCCGTCCTCGCTGCGTGGAGAAGTCTCTTGTCTGTTTGCGCATGCACAAAGGGGAGTGGTCAGTGAATACAGCTGCGGCGATAAGTGATAAGTGGAGGAGGACCAAGTGAAATGCTTACTCTGGACGTCGATCTGGTGGACGGCGTCGTCGTTTTCTTGATGGTCCGACATATTTGCGCTCTGTTGCCAATTCAGATATGTTGCTGCTGTGCAATAGTTTTTTGGTGGTGATTGGATGTCTGAGGATGAGAAGATTGCACGACGGTGTTGGGTGTTGGCTGTCATGCACGCCCGCACACGCCTTCCGAGCTGCAGAGTGTTGGACTGAGTGGTCTCAATTTCGATCGCCCGATCTGCTCACTGCCAGTCGACTATCGGTTGGATTGTTTCGGGTTGCGGAGGCTGAGGAATTTCTCGTGTGGCTCTCCAGCTGAGGCGCAAAAAAAAGTTTTTGGAAGAATTGTGGATTTCTCCACACGACTTTCTGCTCGACCCTTCGCTTCAACCTGGTCGCCATATACCTTGCCCCTACTTCCCTTCTACACCATAACACAGAGCGTCGAGGAGACTCGCATTGCGATCAATCGACGGATAGATAGGCACTGGAATCCGATATGCCTGGCATCAAAAGGAAGGCGGAGGCAACTACCTCAACGCCATCCACATCCAAACATGCAGCTAGTCCCTCGGCAAGATCGACACCAGCATCAGCATCGCGCAAGAGCAAACATGCTACGACGTATATGGACGACAGTGACAACAACGACGACTTTGATGATGAGGAGGACTTGTTAGATGCTGCGCTGCATGGTACTGGATCGGCTGCTCTGCCGGATGCAGAGGATGACGACGATGATGATGATGATGACGACGACGACGAGGAAGAGGACGACGACGAAGAGGAGGACAGCGACGATGACGATGATGATGTAGAATCAGAAGCAGCATCTCAGGATGAGATCGAGCTCGCGTCGGATCAGGACGACGATGGTGACGACAATGACGAAGATGACGAGGAAGAGGACGATTTCGATCGAATCGAGCGATCCGAAGTTGAATTCATGTCGGACGAGGACATGGATGGAGGCTTTGAAGATCTTGAGGGCGCAGAAAATGATGGACCTAATGCCGATGCATCGCAATTCGATGAATCTTCTGCGTCAGGATCTTATTCCCGCAAGCCTACCAAAAGCGCACTCTACGCTATCCCAACACTCGCCGAAGTCCAAGGTCTCAAGGAAACTGGCGAACTCTTCAAGAACAACGTCTTCAAGCTCAAGGTTGACGAAATGCTTCCAGAGGTGAGGCCTGCCTTCAACAAGGCGAGCGCTCTCGAAACCGTTCTCCGCAGGCTGCACCAGCTCTTCCAAGCTCTTTCACCCATCGAGCCCCTACCTGTCGGCGAGGCGATCAAAAGCTTCCAGAAGCGCACCTCTGGATCCAAGGTTCGCATCCCGTTCCCAGACCCAGCGCCCAAGACCGACGCCAACTACAAGCTAGGATTTGAGAAGCCGTCACAAATGCATCTCGTAGGCAGCTGGCCCCTTAAGTCAACGGCAAAGCGACCCGAGGGCGTCGATGTCGACATTGCCGCTGTAATGCCGTCGAGCCTCTTCCAGCCAAAGGACTACGTCAACTTTCGATACTTCCACAAGAAAGCGTTCTACCTCGCCGCACTCGCACATGCTATACAGACAGCAGAGGACGAACATGATATCCACCTCGGCGTCACGGCTTCCTTCGGCCTCGTAGATGCGGATCCAAGACGCCCCGTGTTGGTGCTCAGGCCCATCCACGACAAGTCCGAGACCGACTTCTCCAAGCTCAAATGCACCATCCGCGTTCATCCTTCTGTCGAGATCGACACATTCAAGCCGATCCATCTCGGGCCGCTGCGAAGCAATGTGCGTGTGGCGTCTGCTAACGGCGAGGCTTCGACCGATGCTTTGTCAACTACCACTGCTACACCGCGCTACAACGCAGCCATCCTCGCGGACAGCCTCCACCTGCCGCATCTCGTTTACCTTCACAGCATTGTCCAGGCATGCCCCGCGTTTGCCGACGCATGCCTCTTGCTCAAGACCTGGGCTTTCCAACGCGGCTTCGGGTCTGGAGGCCGGCTCAACCCCAAACACGTTCACGACGCCGATCAAGATCGACGCAGGCTCGTTGCTGGCACCGGATCATTTCGCTTCATCCTCACCATGATCCTCGCGCATCTCTTGCAGGGAGAGGAAAAGAAGACCGGCTGGACGAAACGCGATACCACCAACGCCGGCCGCAGCAAGCTCGCCAACAGCTTCTCGAGCTACCAGCTCTTCCGTGGTGTCATGGATTGGCTGGCAAAGCACGATTTCAAAGCTAGTCCCGTATTCATGAAGTCGATGCCCGAAGCTGGTCTTGCCAGTCGATCGGACAAGATGCCGCGCCAGGAATTCAGCCAGGTCTTCGAACGCGTCTTTGTCGACCCCAGCGGCATGCTCAATCTGTTCGCGTTCATCCCAACTGGATCGATTGACCTGCTCCAGTACGAGGCGAGGAGGACGTTCGAGATGCTCAACGATCCAAGCTCGGATCACTTTGACGCGCTCTTCTTGCAAGACCGCAACGCTGCTCCGTTTACTTTCGACGAAGTGGCGCGCATCAATCTTCCCTTGTCCGCAGCGAAGGCGTCGGCGAAGGCAGAAAGCAATGGCAACGGCACCGGCATCTCGGCTTCCACATCAATCCAGCGCGCCGATTTCGGCACCTCTTTCCAAGCTACCATGACCCAGGTCAGCTCCACAGCTTCGCGTGCTCTCGAAGGCCGAGCCAAGCTCGTCGCGCTCTTGCACCGCGCTACAGGCGGACTGGCTTCGACATGGAGACTGGACGGAACCCGACCTTCCGCTTCAAACGATGCCGAGATCGGTCTCGTGCTCGACGGCGAGCAAGCGTGGAGGATGGTCGAACACGGCCCCTCGAGTCAAGAGACGGAAAAGGCAGAGCAGTTCCGTGCGTTCTGGGGCAAAATGTCCGAACTGCGTCGATTCAAAGACGGCAGAGTGCTCGAAAGTGTCGTTTGGCCGGTGACGACGCAAGCCTCTCGATGGGCCATTCCACGTCGGATCCTCTCGTATGCGCTGTTCCGCCACCACTCAATTCACGAGTCGCAGATCCAGTTCGTCTCGTCCCACTTCGAATCGCTGCTGGACATCGACACAACCCTCGCGCGAAGCGCACACCTCGTCAGCACAGAAGAAAAAGGCTTTACGCTTGTGCAATCAGCCTTCGACCAGCTATCCAAAGATCTCCGCGCCCTCGAGTCTCTCCCACTCTCCATCATCTCCATCTCTCCTGCTTCCCCCGGCCTGCGCGGTACGAGCGCCTTTGTCCCCGCTCCCCTCAACATCGACTTGCTCGGCGATCGCATCCCCGACTCTGCATCCTACCTCCCCGTCCACGACATCATCCTCACCTTCGAAGGTTCCGGCAAGTGGCCAAACGAGCTCTCCGCCATCCAAGCCATGAAAGCGGCGTTTTTCGAACGCATGTGCGCCGAGATCACCAACAAGCTGCCCGGAACGACATGTCGTGTCGCGTTCGACCCTAACGCATCCAGCAAGATGGAGGACCAGTGTTGGTTGGAGCTCATCCTGGCTTCTGGGTTTGCGTTCCGAGCGCGGGTGATGCACAACCGAGAAAAGCTGCTGTTGGAACGGATCCTGGCGGATCGGTTCGAATCTGCGGGCGCGAAGCGTCGAGCTCGCAAGATCTTGCTCGAATGGCAGGGCCGGTTCGAGACGTCGACGCTGCATCACTCGTACATTGCGTCGATGGGTCATCGATTCGCGTCGTTTGGCGGTGCGGTGAGGTTGACAAAGAGATGGCTGGCCAGTCAGATGCTTTCGTCCGCTGCTGTGCCGGAGGAGCTGATCGAGTTGGTTTGCGCAGCAGCCTATCTGTCGCCGGAGGAAGGTGCGCCGGCGTCTGCGGTAGCGGGACTCTTGAGGATCCTGCGACTGCTGGCCAACTGGAGGTGGAAAGAGGAGCCCTTGATGGTGTCCATCCAAGCGGTGATCGATTCTGCTTCCACCAAGGACATCTACACCTTCCCCACAGAGAAACGAACCGAAGTGGAAGCGAACTTCACCGCTGCACGAGGCAGCGACCCTTCGATGGCGCACCGCGCGTGGTTCGTTGCAACCGAGACCGACACCGAAGGATTCGCATTCGGTCGCAAGGGTCCTGTAGGAGGCGTAGCCGACGGCATCAAGAAGCTCGCCCGCAGCGCCGTTCGCGTGCTCGAAGAGGCCACCTCTCTCACCGAAGATCAGGTGCTGGCGCTCTTCACGCCTTCGCTCGAGCACTACGACTTCCTCATTCACCTGGATCCCGCCGTCTTGCCTCGATACAGCGAAAACGTCCGTGCCGACCCAACAGTGTGGGGAGCAAAACGTACGAAATACGCCAACGACGCCGCTGCCACCATCCAGTCGAACGGAACGCTGTTGGGCCCCGGACCGAAGCCAGGGTTTGATTCGGCGGAAGCGTTCCTGATGCTGCTGAGGGAGCTGTACAGCGATTCTTTCAGATTGTACCACGATCAGCACGGTGGAAGTGTTGTCGGTGGACTGTTCAACCCTTCGCTCGATCGCGAGCGTGACTTCAAGGTCGGGCTGGGATTCTCGTCTCAGCCGAGCAACGCGGGCAGCAAGACGCAGGTGAAGCTCAACAAGCCGGCGATCGTAGCCGAGATCGAACGCTTGGGTCAAGGTCTCGTGCAGAAGGTCGAGCTACGAGGCGCCTAAGGCAGAGTAAGGCTGCTTATCATCTCTGTCGCTCCAGGAATTCAGCACTTCTTGCAGACGACCATATCTGATTCTCTCTATTTTGCGTGCGATCATTGAGAGAGACCACCACCTTGAGTATGAGCAGCCCGAGATGCAGAAGTGAAGTAGGCGCACAAAAGGCGGCGTGGTGTGTGTGTTTCGGGAAGCTCGACGACAAGGTGCCGACCAAGATCGATGCATGCTGTTTCGGACTAACATGCTTGCGGACAAAGTGGAAACCTCCACCTGCCAAAAAAAGGTTGATGATTGCGCGCAGTCGACCCTGCATACGACGCACAGACGATACACGTGTTCCTTGCCCACCATCATTAGCATCTTTCGTAGCTTGTAGTCTTCCTGTCCGGACCAACACCAAAGATCCTTCCGCGGCTCTGAAGTAGACAACAATCTCTGCTGTTCCTTCTCTCAGAGCTACAAATTACCACAATGTCCGACCTTCTCGATCCAGCAGCATTGCTCCAAGTTCTGCAACAGCAGCTTCTCCCCACCTCCTCTTCCTCTTCCACGCCACTCCTGCGACATCCGGCAGACGCACTTGCCGCCATCATCCACACCATCCTCACACGACTCGACTTCCGTCTCACCGGTCTCTCCGAAGACGACCGCCTCCCCCCTTCTACCACCGACTCCTCGTCTACTTCCACCAACCGTCTTCCGTCAGAATGGAACTCCAAAGGACCCGATCACTACTGCTTTCGATACAAGCATCACCAATCCTCGCTCGATTACCTGATCAGGATCGTCAAGCTCGGCAACAAGGCGGTGATCCACGGCGTGGCGTTGCAGGGGACCAAGACGAGTACGATGGAGGTGGTGCTGAGCGATTATCTGTCGACGAGCTTTTGGCCGTGGCCTCGTCCAGAAGGGGCGGAAACCGAGCCTTTGGTGAATGGGTACATTGGCAGTTCGAGGATCAAAGATTTCACGACGGCTTTCAAAGGTCAGATCCTGCAGCATTTGGTACCCGGGTTGAGGAAGGATGGGTATGTCGAAGAGAGCTCAAGTGCAAGTGCAAGTGGCGCGGGAGGGGGAACTTCGACTCAGCCGAGTGGACCGAACCGACCGTCGGGAGGAGCCACACAACCAAGACCACCTTTCGCCGGCGATGAAGACGATCCATCCCTTCCGTCCAACTACCAACCACCGTTCAGGAACCCGCTCATTATCGGCGATCGAGACTTGGACCCGCTAGGAGGATCGCCACTTGCCCTGCCACCAAGGTTCGGCGGCGGTGGTGGAGGAGGCGGGTTCGCACCACCACCCCTCTTCCCCGGCGGCGGTGATACCGGAGGCGGGATGTTCGTAGGTCCCAACCACCCCATGTTCCGCAACCGCTTCCCACCGCAAGGTACCGGACCGCCACAGGGAGCCGTTCCGCCGGGCGCAAGGTTCGATCCTATCTATCCGGGTGGTGGTGGACCAGAGGGAAGCCACCCCGATGTGGGGGGCGCGAGACCGCAGAACTTCGGTGGTGAGCCGGACTGGGACGAACTGGCTCCGCCCAGAGGGGAGAATCCGTTAGGCGGCAGGGGTGGATTAGGTGGTAACAGGGGCGGCCGCGGTGGTCGTGGTGGAGGTGGACTCCCCGATACCAGCGGCTGGTATGCCTGAGTGTGACTGCTTGAAGACCTGTCACACGTGCTGCTCACTGGATCTTGTTTCACAATCGCATCACAGTACAATGGCCGAGATCACACGGCTCGTAACATCAGAGAAAAAAAGACCAAATCAATCCAATTCGCATGTGCACCTACTCCTTACTCGCCGCCTTCTGCGCCAGCGTGATCTTATCTCCCAAACTCAACGCAATCCCCTGCGTCTTGCTGCGAATCCTCACGTGACCCTGGATCGTCTTGCCATCCGGTAGCAGCTCTATGCTCAGATTGGCCAGCGCGTCCTCCCCAAACAGACTCCTGGCGTACATGTTCGCCGACAGGAACCCGCATTCTCCCGCCAAGCTAGCCTCCGGTGTGAGACACGACATGTTCGTGCTCTTCATGATGTGAGCCAGGTACTCGCGCAGGTCGGTGATCGAGGTGTTGACGTTGACCTTGTTTTCCCACTCGAACTCGGTCCACATGGCGCGGAACTGCGCCTCGTTGCAGTAGGCCGGTGCAATGTAGTCCATAATGTCGATGTGGATGTCGTTGAGCACAACGCATTTGGCATCTCCGGCGGATTGCGTTCCTGTACCAGCAGCGCCTTCGTAGATGATGTTGCCAAAGATGACGCCGGTCTCGGTGCTGGATACCTTGATGGTGGCTTTGATCGACTGGTACGAGTAGGGTGCGAGAGTGTAGTTGGACGGACGCTCGACCAGCTTGAGATCGCCGAGGGTGGCAAACTCGATCGAGAGGTTCTGCAGCGTCTCCGCCGTCTGGTTGACGACGAGCACATCGAGCATGATGTCAAACTGATGTACGTTGACGTAGGCCTCAGCGTACACGGGATCCGAGAAGCCGGTGAGCTGGACCACGCGCGCCAGCTTGCTGATGAAGTCGTCCTTGGCAGCCTCAGCAGTGCCAGTCGCCTGCGTCAGTTCGCGCTCGTACTCCTCGGCCGCATCGTCCGCCGCCTTCTTGGAGAATTGTCGGAAGGAGAGCAGATCGTCCGGCTGCACCTTGACCACCTTGGTCTCCTTGGCAAGCTTTTCCGCCGCTTTGGCCTGCTCGTGCTCCACCATCTTGGTGTAGGCCTGCTTTGTATCGTGCAAGAACACCTGCTTGGCTTCCTTGCTCTCTGGCTGGGCGTCCTCGATGGACGAGGCGAGCGTCTCGACGCACGCCATGATGCGCTCGGTGGAGTCTTCGTCGATGGGCGAGGCGGCGAACTTGGACTGGCCTACACGCACGATGCTGGTCATCATGAGCATCGACTCGGCGCGGAGACTATTCTTGGCCGCGGCGTCGGACGAGAGCTCGGCGAAACGGAGCACGAGCTTGGTGAGCGTAGACGCGAGGACGGCGCCCGTGTAAAAGTCGCCGAGAAGCAGCAACGACCTTAGCGGCGGCTTGGATGCACTCTTGACCGCTTCGAGACGGGCAGCCTGGTTGGCCTCGGAGCTGAAGGCGGTCTCTGTCGCGTAGGTGCCGTCGGCTCGCACACGGTTGGCCGCCGAAGTGGCAGGCTTGGCCGTTGCCAATGCTGAAGATGAAGATGCGGCGTCCGCTTCCTCCTTGGCGCCATCCACCTCTGCGGCGGAAGAGTCGAGCAGACGCTCCTCTGCCGCGAGGATGGGCACCTCGCCGACCACCTTGCGGATCTGCTGCATGGCCTCCTTGACGTCCTCGATGCTAGCGCAGTATTCGCCGACGATCCAGAGCGCGCCGCGGAAGACTTTGCCGGACTTGATGTCCGTGAAGGTGCGCAGCAGCTTGTCGACGATCGAGGAACGCAAGTCGGGGAACTTTTCGACCACTTCTCGAACAAAGGCGATGACGTCGACAGCGGAAGGGTTGTTGGAGTCGCCGAGGAACTCCATGAGCACGTGTACGACGTTGCTGGCGACCTCGGAGAATTTGATGGCGCAGGTGTGGATGGATTGGATGAGAAGCTGGCGGTACTCGAGGTTCTTGTCCTGCGACTGCGCCGAGTCGACGGTCTTCATGAGCTCCTTCTTGAGCAGCAGCACGACCTCTTCGATGTTGCGGCTCGACACCATGTCGAGCGCGATGCGAAGAGCCTTGCGTCTGACGTCCATATCGGGGCTGCTGAGAACACGCAAGAGATCCATGACGAGGGGGTCGATGACGTGTTCGTGCTTTGTGCGTAGCGCATCGAGACGGTCGAGGACGATGAGCTTGACGTTGTTGTCGCTCTCCTTGACGATGAGCTCGATGAGCGCGCTGGCCGTGGCTTTGACAGCAGCCGCGTTCTGTGTGAGCGTCGTAAGCGTGGTGGCGGCCTCGTACTTGACCGAGTGGCTGGGAGCAGAGAGAAGCTCCGAGACAGCACGAATGTAGCGGGGGCGGTTGGGCGACTCGCCACGGCAGTCTTTGCGAATGAGCTCGATGATGGCGAGCTGCATGAGCTCGTCCTGCGACGCTACTTGGTCGCCAAGACCGAGGAAGTATTGGACGGCGCGATCGGGAGCGGTGTGACAGAGGAGCACGAATGCGTTCCGCTTGCACGTGGTGTCGGCTTCGGCGGCGAGGAATGTCTCCATAAGCTCGGGAGCATCCACAATGAGGTTTTCATTCTGTTGGTATATCGTGTAGACGCAAAAGACAGCGTTTTTGCGGACGTAGCTGTGACGGTGCTCGAGGCACTGGCGGATCGTGGGGATGAGCGGTTCTAGCAGCTCGGGTTCCTTGACTTTCTGCAAGAAGCGCAAGGTAGAGCCTCGAATGTACTCATTGGGGTGCTGCAGGTCGTTTCGGATGGCATTGCAGACGAGGATCATCTCCTGCTTGAGGTTGCCCTTTTCATCCAGCTTGGGGCAGACCTCCCAGTAGAAATGAAGCATCTTTTTGAGCTGCTTGTTACGGCTGGGCAAGACATATTGGATGATGGGCATGAGTAAGTTGGGCTGCGGAGAGCCATTGAGCGTCGAGACAATGATGCGTCGAAGGGTCTCGAGCTTGACCTCATCGGATCCACGCTGGAGGTTGTTGCGCAGATCCTGCGTCGAAAGCTCGACTCCGTCACTGCTGGGATCGGAAGCAACGACGGTATACGCGATGGCCTCGGACGACGACATGATGTGGGAACGTCAACCCAAGCCGAGCCGCTTGGTGGTGGGTGTCGTGTTCGGGGAAGGGTGTGTCGTTTGCCTACAGCGAGCTGTCGAGATGTGTGTATGGGGTTGATAAGGCGGCTGTGATGCGATGGTGATTGAGAATGATGACGATGAGCTGCGGAGAGAGCAATGCGACGTGTTGGACTCAGGCGGCGTGGCAGCTTTGCTCGACTGTCAATCTTCCAGCTCAACACACACTCTCTTGCCGCTCGGATCACTCTACGTCTCTCTTCTTGAGCCACAGCGCGTTGCTTTCCTCTCCTTACTTTTGGCGGCGTGTCACTCGCACGAAAATATTTTGCGGTCAGTACGATTGTTAGAGTGTTAGAGTAGTGCCAGGCTGGCGGTGCGCGCGTCGTCTTTGCAGATCAACCCAAACGTCGCTGTCCAGACTCTTACTACAGTTCACTGGATCAATGTCCGGTCCCGGCATCGTTTGAAGAATCTCTCTGTCATTCTCATGCGATTGCTACAACACGATCAAGCTTCAAACACCACTAAGCGAGCCGTCTCCGTCGAAGCCGTCCGAATCCATGCTTCTGCCAATTTCCTTCCGGCTTCTGTAGGCTGACTGAAAGCGACCGACCTCGCTCGGCTTCCGTACGTCTTGACGAGACCGTTCAGATCGAATCCATAGACGCTGTTGTCTGCCGCTGCATCCAGCAAAGCACTTGCCATACCCGTGCGTCTCCAGCTCGGAATGACATGAATCCGAAATACTCCCACCGGTGGTGTTTTGGAAGCCGGCAGAGCATCAGAGACAAAGATGGCGTCGCCGGCGTCGTTCCACACTGTGCATGGCAGCTTGGGAGCCTCGCCGTCATTGACGACGATTTCGTCGTTCTCCTTGTTGCTGACTGAGGGCAGCACCTCTCGAGCTTGACCTGCAGGTACGCGACCCACAACAGCTGCTCCAGCGGCTCGACCTGCACAAACCGCGACCAGCACTTTGCATCCCTCGATCTCGGACACGTTGACTGCAGCTGCACCCAACGCATCGTCCACCGTCTGCAGCAGCTCGTTGATCCTCCTCGAGGCGACCGCGTCCTTGAGCGTCGACATGTCGTAGCATCGAATCGTGACTGGCTCCATCTGGCTGTTCTCGCCCGTCGCACTGCTCTGCTTGAAGAGCAACACCGACTTGCCTCGCGGCACACGTCGTGACAGCGTCGTTTGCGACACTACCTCTCCCGAGATCGCCAAAGCTTTCGCGCTCCAGTCGAGACCCTTGACCGTGCGTTCGTGGTGTCGGGCATGCAGCGAACAGTCTTCTGCCGAAGAAGTGTCGTACTGCATATCGCATTCGGTGCACCGAATCCGGATCCGCTGTCCCAAGTCCAGGATGAGCTGCTCTGGTTGGCGCGCAGCTGCTCCTGAAGACGCCGTCTTGGGTTGTGGCCTGCGCGGCAGCGGTTTGGCCTGACGCGTCGAAGGGAAGAGCGGAGTGTGCACCGAGGACAAGATCGGACTGCTTGGCGCTTTCTGCTTCGCTTCGTCCTCATCGTCCCTGCGACTGGGCGAAGAAAAGTTCTGCGACTCACAGTCTTCCGTCATGGCCCGACGGCCACGACCTGCGTAAGTGGTGATCTTTTTCGCCGCCGTTCGGAGTGGAGCGGCGGGCTCGTCTTGTTCCTTCTCCACCGTCATCTTGCTGTCTTGATCGACGGCTGTCCATCGAATCAAGCAAGTTGAGCATCGGCACAGAGAAGGGAGGCAAGCACACAAGAGAGGTCAGAGCTTGAACGCTTCGAGATTATGTGGGTACGGCAACTTTGAGTGATTGGCAAGGCAAAAGGGAGCACTACGTACAGGTCGAGGTGGGAGCTGGAGGGGCGCTATTGGATGACTTGGGTGCGGTGACGGCGGAGGATGACCCATCGTCCAGCGCAGCTACTTGAGAGCGGATGATGTCGAGCTGCGAGAGCGTCGTCAGCGCCTTGGCTTCAGCACTTCGGTCGCTGGACGCAGGCGCCTGCTCTCCGGCCAGCTTGAAGAGGTGCACAAAGTCGCTGAGCAAGGCCAGCGGGATCGCGCTCTTGTTCTTCTCGGCCTGACTCGCCTTGGTCGCGTCGGCGAACTGCTTCGAGACGGCTGCCGCTCGATCGCAGATCTCGTGCGGCACTCCTGCCAGCGCTGCTACTTGTGTGCCGTAAGACGACTCGGCAATGCCATCCACGAGACGGTACCTGTTGTTGTCATTTGGATCAAAGTTGAGTTAGAAAGTCAGGAACATACTCAACGAACCTCGGTGTGTACCATCAGCCCAAGTGTGTGAGCCGATACTTACGTGAAGACTACCTCGCGCTTGGCGTCGTCGACCAGGACCTGCATGTGCTTGTTACTGACGCGCGAGTACGAGTTGAAGTCGTAGGCGAGATTGGTGTAATGCGTCAGGAAGAAGGCCAGGCAGCGTGTGCGGCTGACGAGATGGTGGAGGACAGCAAATGCGATGGCCTGGCCATCGAACGTGCTGGTGCCTCGACCCAGCTCATCCATGATGACCAGCGAGCGGGGCGTGCATTCGTTGATGATGCGCGACGCCTCGAGCATCTCAACCATGAATGTACTGTTGTTGCGGAAGATCTGATCGTTGGCACCCATTCGCGAGGCGATGCGGTCCACGGGCGAGAGACGTGCGCTCGACGCTGGCACACGACAGCCTAGCTGGGCAAGGATGACGCCGGTAGCGCTTGTGCGCGCTGTGGTACTCTTACCCGCCATGTTTCCACCTGTCAGGATGATCAGCTCATCGTTCTTGCCGCCGAGTCGAATGTCGTTTGGAATAAACTCGACGTTGTCGCCTGCGATGCAGGGGTGGCGCAGCTCTTCGAACTCGACCAGCGCCGTCTCGCTATCGACCAGATCAGGTCGGCACGAAGGCTCTCCCATGGCGTACGATGCTTTGGCCAGCGAGAGCAGGCAGTCGATCTCTGCGATCGTCTTGATGGCTCGAAGGAACACGTCGCTCTGCTCGGAAAAGCTGGAGAAGAGGGTCCGATGGAACTGCTTGAGCGCAGCGAGGCGGGTCTCTCGCGCCTCCTTGATATCTTGCACGAGATCACGCACCTTGGGCGAGTACCAGCGGTTGCGATCCTTGGTGCCGCTGAGTTTGGTCCAGTTGCTCGGCACTTTGATGGCAACGGGCACCTCGATCTGGAAGATGTCCTTGGAGCCGAGATGCTTCCAGGCACACTTGGCCGAAGCGAGCTTGAGCTGTTTGCGATACGTCTCGATCTCGTGCTCGAGCTGCGCCTCTACCTCGGCGATGGCCGCCTCTGCGCGGTCGAAGGGTTCGAAAGCGCCCTCGATCGGCGTGAAGGAGCCGTCTTCGGTAATCTTGAAGCTCGATTGCAGCTCGCGGGCAATCGTGGACACCGACGGGACCGACTGCAGAAGCGTGTCCACGACGTTGGTGGCGAAACCTTCGCATTGGTTGCGAAGCTGCTTGATGGCCTTCTCGAAGCGCGCCAGGGACTTGAGCACCGTGGTAAAATCGCGCGGTCGGCAGTTGCCGGCGCGTACTCGCGGAATGATGCGTTCAATGTCCGGCAGAGCTTTGCCAAACGTCTCGAACTCGTCGGCAAAGGAGGAACTCTGGAGCAGATCCTCGACAGCATCTTGACGGGCTCTGATCGCGTCGGAGCTTGCCAGCGGAGCGACGAGCCAGATCTTGAAAAGACGTTTTCCGAACGGCGTGACGCAGCGGTTGAGCAGACGATGGAGCGTGCCCTCGTCTGTTCCCTCGTCGTTCTGCAGGACGTTGAGATGCGTAAGCGACTGGGCGTCAAGGACAAGACACTTGTCCTGTCGAAGCGGGTCAAAAATGTTAAAGTTGCGGCTCGAGCAGAGGTCGCGGTCGAGATTGAGCTGAGCCAGGTAGCAGAGCATGCCGCCGAGAGCCGACATGGCGGAAGGGCGCTCCACCATGGAGGCGATCCCCTCCGGCAGAAGGGATGGGTCGACAGGATCGAGCGAGTCCAGACGGGCCTCGGCATCCACGTCGGGATTGAAGAGGGCGTTTAGCTTGCGCAGAGTAGTCTCTTGCTCCAAGAACTCGACGCCGGGCTTGAGCATGGTGATCTGAGCGGCGCTCGGAACCGTGCAGCGAAGGACCCTCAGCGTCGGCGCGGTGAGGCCGCCCTTTTCGTGAAGCACCTCCTTGAGTCGCAGCGAACGCAGCAGGGTCTCGAGCCTGGTCCTCGACTCGTCGTCTTCAAATTCGGTCAAGTTGAATTCGGCGGTAGCCGCATCGAGCGTGCATACGCCAAAAATGGGACCGTTGCGGCCGGCTGTGGCGGACTCTTTGATAGAGACGCAGTAGCTGTTGAGGTCGTCGGGCAACGATGCGGCATCGACGATGGTGCCGCTGGTCAAGACATGTCTGAGTTCGCGGTTGACGATCTCAGATCCACCACCGCGCGAGCGTTCGCCGACGCGCATGCCCTTGGCCACGGCGGTCTCGGTCTGATCGACGCGACCGACCTTGTATCCGAGAGCAAGGAACTTGGCCGCAAAGATGTCGAACGAAGCTTCAGGGACGCCGACCATCTTCATCTTGACCCGGTCGGTGAGCTTGAGATCGAACTCGCGGTGACCGATAAGCGCATCCTCCTCGTAGAGCTCGTAGAACTTGCCCTTTTGGAAGAAGAGTACCGTGTCCCAGTGATTCTGCTTGATCTCCCAGAATTGTCTCTCGAAAGGTGTGAAATCCTTCCAGGCTGACTTGGGGATGTAAACGGTGCGTGAGTCGTACTCTGCATCGCCGGGGCGGTTGCCGTCTTTGTCGCGCAAATCGAGAAGGAAGCTGTAGGCCTCTTCGTTGTCCGCCTTCTTGCGTTTCTCTTCGATCAGGCGACGCTCCGCTTTGGTGAGGTGAGAGAGGGACGCCGATGGTCCGCTGCGAGCTGTGTTGCTGCTGCCGCCGCCTTGCAGGGAGGACCTGGGCGATGAGCTGCTGCCCAATTTGAAAGCGTTGAGGGCCATGTTGGAGCCCGTGGCGCGCGGTGGAACAGTGGCAGCAGAGGTCGAGGCGCCTGCACCCTTCCTGCTGCCTGCTTTGGCTTTGGCGGGTTTCGATGGCTCGTCATCAGAGTCTGCCTCACCACCGTACTCGCTGTCTGGATTGTCGTCGACCTCCGAAGCGCTGGCTGCGTCCATGGGGAGATCTTCTTCATCTTCGTGATCGTCCGGAACGATAAAATCGTCCTCGTCGCGGGTTTTGCGAGCTCGCTTGGCCGAGCTGCGCTTGCGGATGCCGGAGGTTCTGGGAAGGTCATCCTCGCTGTCGGAATCTACTGCCGCGCCGCCTTCAGAGTCGGACTCGGCGTATGTGACGGGCCGCTTGGCTGCAGCGCGACGACGGAAGAGTGGTTGTTCGGTATCTTCAGCATCGTCGACGTCCATGGGATCCATGTCGTCCCCTTGGCTGCTGGGCGGAGGCGTGAGATCGTCAGAGTCGGAGGATTTGTTCGCTACCAAAGCAGCTTGTGGAGCGGTCACGAGGCTGTCGGTCGACAGTGAGCTTGAGCGGTGCAGTGTAGGAGAAGACGATGGCGGACGGCTTGCTTCGCCCTGGCGCGTATCGTCATGGGATGATGGTCGAGATGCTCGAGTGCTGGATCTGGACTCGCTTGGCGGCGGTGTGTCGAGGGGCTGAGATGTGTTGGGTTTGGCTGCTTTGACCGCTTTCGGTGACCCCGGTGCATCCTTATCTGAGCCCTTTTGCTGAGATCTCTGCACGGGAGGATTCTGAGCGGGCGATGATTTGGCCGGTGTCGGAGCAACCTTGGAGAAGAAGCCAAGCAGCGTCGACTGCTTGGAGCTGGGTGCCGCCTTACTCGGCATCTCCGATGAGTGTGAGAGATTCGGAGCTGTTCCGAATGGCTGGATACGGAGCGATAGTAAGGGGAAAAATCGCGATGGCGTTTGCAAAGCCAGATGCGCGAGCGTAAGAATGACGAGTCGTTCGGCAGGGTATCCTGAGATTGACGAGGAAGGTACGGAAGTGCGACTGTGCTGGTAGACGATGATATGAGTATGAATATGAATATGCTATACGGATGCCGTGGTGGATACAGAGACACTGCGGATACGCCGATGGAAGGAGAAGGACGTGGATCAGGAGTAACGGACGTTCCGAAGCAGGCAGGAAGAGACCCTTTGGCTACTTGAAGTGTCGGCTCAGCTTGCTTTCGCGCGTGCACGGTGTTGCTCTCTTCGCACTCTGCGCGACGCGCGACGCGGCCGCCAATCTCACTCGAAAAAATAAATATTAATGATTTTCACACAAAAAAAGCCTTACCTACTGTGAACTATTTTCTAACACTCGATATGGTCTTGATTATATTTGGACGCCTACCATGAACCCTTGGCTTTCGAGGAAGACCGTTCTCCAGCGACGCACGCAAGCCTGGTGCATCAAGGTGGCGAGAGACCCTCCGAAAACCTTTCCAGCTTTGCATGCGAGGAGTGCTAGCTCGGTTCTAGCTCGTTCTGCCGGTGCTGTTGAGCCAGGCGGGATGGCTGAGATCCTTGAGGAAGCGTCGCTGAGGGGGCCTTTCGATTGGCGGTGACAACTGCGCTTCGTCGACGAGTTCAGCAAGCGGCCGTGAGCTCGAATCCAGCTCGTGGTTGCCTGTCATACTGGCTGAAGAAACATCTCGCCCTCGCTCATTGACGTCTGTTGGCAGATGGGAGTGGGCGCGGGCTCGTAGCTCGTCAATCGACCTATGGCTCGCTCCCGGGACCTCTCGCGTATCTGCTCCACGGCGAGGGATGCTCCCGCTGGCAAATCCACCTTTCCTACCAGGAGGAAGCTGCAGCGCACCTTCAACGCCGAATACTCGATCAAACTCGGCGTCTTGCTCGATCAGCCGGCTGAAGAGATCCTGAGTCACTGTGGCATCGTCGTGCGGTTCGAAGCTCGCCTTGCGTTTTTGTGAGAGGGCGCTAGACTCGCTCGACGGCATCGGACAGGGCTGCAAGTTCCTGCCCATGGAGCTTTGCGATTTATCCTGGACGCCACGGCGCTGGTAATCGTACTGGTCCACCTTGCCTGTGAGTTCTTGATCTCTGGCGCGTTGACAACACACATGGCGACAGTCGCCCTTGCATTTGTGCTTGCATCTGAGAGTGTGATGGAGGAGGTTGAGATTTCGCAGCCATATTTCGGTTGTCAGCATCGCCAATCTTCCGCGTGTCAGTCAGATCTGAGTGCAGTATCGCTACGCACCTTTTTTGCATCGCGTCCTCGTCGGATTCAGGCCCTCTCGACATCGCTGTGACTCCCTGACTTTCCCCGGTATCGCCGCTCGCAAAAGATTCCGATGCTGCTGCTTCTGTCTGAATGATCCCAGCAGCATGCTCGTTCATTCCCCCGCGCTGAAGCTCGGCGCGCACGATACGAGTCCTATGGGATCCGCTCGTCATGTCCGTTATGGGTAGCAAGTTGGCCTGCATCAATGTGCCGGCTATCTCGTCACAAGCGGCGTACGTGAGGATGCGCGTCCGGGGATTCTCGAGATGAACGTGCATCGTGAAGCGCTTCTCCGAGTCGAACCGCCAAATGGGCATGCGGCGGAAGTCGACGAATCCGCCATCCGATGTGAGTGTGAGCACGCAAACGCTCAACGCCATCTTCGACCTCTTGCTTTTCAGCATGCACGTCGCGCGGTTTTCGATTCGGATCGTCACGTCAAGCACGGCCTTGATGCTGGAAGGTGGCAGCTGGCTTGTCGACGCTGAAGGATCTTCGATCCTATTGTGAGGTAGATGTAGAGTTGAGATTTTCGAAGGCGAAGACGATCTCTGCATCACTTCGAGACCGATCCGTGGCACCGACTGCGCCGCTGCGATCACTTTGCCGCCGAAAGGAGGGTTGCGGTTCAGTATCATCTCGATCTTGGCCGGGGTCGTGCTGGCCAGGCTCTGCCAAGTCGTGATGCCCGCGTTTGCGAGAGCCTTGACGGAGCGATCGCCGATCTGATCGATTTGTCGAAGCATGGCTGGCGAGCCGTCCCACGCCTCGGCAGCGATGGAACGTGCAAGATCCAGCGAGGCTCTGCACGCAGTGCCATCCCGGCGATGAATGGCAATATCGACGATCGCCCTAGCAATACGGGTCGCGTGCGGCATGATCCGCTTGATGTCCATCTGAGGGCTTGCTTCTCCGACTGCAGGCTGCGAAATCTGTGACAGATTGATCGCGGACAGTTGTGCTTGAATCAGAAGGGAAATCTTGTCCGCAACGCTCGCAATCTGACGCGGCGGAAAGCGGATCTCTGGATGCGTGCGGAGCGAGTTGTAGACCGCCTTTTCGCCCGGCCGCATCCTTTGATCCCCGAACTCTTCGGCTTGCGAAAGCGCCTCCAGGATTGCCCTCGTGTTGGCACCCGTCGGAATCTCCATGAGAGCCAGCATCGTCTTGTGACGGATGAAGAATCGCGACATGATGACGCCATACTCTGTGCACTCGATTTCGTCCGTACCTCCAGACCGAGAAATGAGCGAGGCTTTCTCGAGAGCTGTCACTGTCCTGGCGACGAGATGTTTCAGGATCTCCTCGACACTATCGAGTCCGATTCCCTCCTCCTGGCTCAGATAGTAGGTCGGATTCTTCTGGAGTCGCGTCCACATGAAGCTTTGACGGATCCAATCTTCGATCTGCGCTTCCGTGGTTCTGCAGCGCAAGCCGATCTCAGCATTGACATGCTCGATCAGGCAGGGGGCCAAGCTGGACTCGATGTCACGGCTGCCACTGACCAGATCTCGATAGTGCGCCTGCATCGTATCCTCACACATGATGACGGCAACGCCGCTGCGATCGAATTGCGGTCGCCCAGCACGGCCCATCATCTGGATGATATCTAGCTCCGAAATTTCGCACCAGCGTCCATCGTACTGTTTGGTCCCTCGGACGATGACGCAGTACGCCGGGAGGTTGATGCCGGTCGCCAGGGTGGTCGTACAGCATAGGACCGCGATCTTGTCTGTTAGGAATGCCTGTTCCACCTTTCGACGGTCGCTGATGCTCAAACCGGCGTGGTGGAAGGCAATTCCCAGAGGAATGAGGGTAGTGAGATCGGGATCGTCAACCGTCGCCACCTCCACGCCGCGTCGACCGCCAGCCCCGCCGCCCAAGAGCGTGGAGCCTCCACCGGCCTCGCGCGCTTTCTTGCAGGCCTCGGCTATCGTGTTGGCAGCCTGAAGCGTGGAACGACGCGTAGCACAGAACACCAGGCACGGCCTGCCAGCTGCATGCGCTTCGATCAGATCATACAATTTGTGGTTGAGGTAGGCCTGGAAGGCGAACTCGTCCCTGGCCTTCGGATAGCCATACACGTGCTTCTGCAGCGGGCATGGACGGTATTCGTCATCGAATTGAAAGACCTCGGCGGCAGGTTTGCCAAGCACATCAGTGTTGAGTGTCGAAGCGGATAGGTTGGGTCCGATCCAAGCCGCTACATCGGCGAGGTTGGGCACCGTGGCCGAAACAGCGACGAAGCGCACCTGACAGCCTCTGCTCCTGGTTCGAGTCACCACGACCTCCAAACGGGCCCCTCGTTGCGCCTCGTTGAGGATGTGCACTTCGTCGATGAGCAGTAGGCGGATGGTTGAAAGGATGCCCGAGTTCTCATCCCATTTGCGGGTAAGGCTATCCCATTTCTCCGGCGTCGTGACGATCAGACGGCTTTTACGAGCGACGTGCAGGCCATGAGCAGAATCGCCAGTGAGCTCGGTGACACCGCATCCGACCGGGCCAAAGCGGGTCGACCAATCGCGCGTCCGCTCCGAGCACAAGGCCTTGGTCGGTGCCAGATAGACGGCGCGCACATTTTCGGGCTCCTTGGTAAGCATGCGTACCAGCGCTAGCTCGAAAACGACGGTCTTGCCTGACCCAGTAGGGGCCGAAAGCACAATGTTTTCGGAGGACTCGTACACCTGTCGTGGCCATCATTTGCGAACATAAATTGCAGGCATACCAGCATGCACTTTCAGAGTTAGCTCTGCTGCATCTGGGACTGAAAGCTGTGGTGCGTTCCTCTCCAGAGGTCGGCGAAATCATTATGGATGGTCGCATCGATCCTCTTACCTTTGGAAAACAGAGCGATTGTACCGCATTGAACAAGGGAAAAGAAAAAAGAGGGCGGTAGAGGGCGGCTGAGACGTCGACGGTGAAACAGTGTGTACCAAGTAGGAGGGGACAATGTCACGCGAACGTCAGCTTCACCTGCCGCTTTGGTCACGACATCCAACTCGACTTACGCAACGTCGTCACGGGGACAAGCTGTACTCTTCGTCCAGGCATGGGCTCAGCGTGCACCGTAGTGCTTTGCTCTGAACGAGGATCTGCATTCCTATCGAAGGACCTCGCTGCCGAATCGATCCTTTGACTATGAGCGCCATCATCCCTCGCTGGAAAGGAAGGCTGACGACCTGCTCTCACTGCTGGAAGCGATGGCGGGGCGACGAGACCCTGCTGTTCTGCGCGGTGAAAGTCGAAATGCTGCCCAAGGGACGATGTATCGTAAAGCTGAGCCGGCTGCTGCGGAAAAGCTTCCTCTTGGCGGTAGCTGCTGGGTGCATGGTACGTGCCATCGCAAAGTTCATAGGGCGTGAAGCACCCGTGGCTTCTGTCGATGCTGATAACTGGGTCAAGAGACTCTCTCGGCTCATCGCTTTGCGCATCTCTGACGTGATCGTATCCGTAGTACCGCCTCAAGAGCTCAAAAGAAAGCTCTTCCTCCATGCTCACTGTTGCCTCCTCAAGGTCGTCGACGAGCGAAGGGATCAGAAGGTCATTGAAGGAAAGCGCATAGAGAGACGGTCGAAAAGGAAGGGGTCCTCGATGACTCTAGCCTTAAGAGGCAGTGGCACTGGAATGACGCTTGATAACTGCGCCCGTAGAGCCCCTCTGACTCCAGAGGTAAGATGAGGAGCAAAGCTGACCTTACTCGACGGAGCCAAAGCCCTTTCGGTCCACCTTCCTTCTCAACGTTCGGCACCTTCCGAGACGCCGGATGCTGAGCTGGGCTCTGCCACTTTGGCACCGAGTCAGCAACGCCATGAGAGCGCCTCTGTCGCATTTTGTTTCGTCGGATGCCTCCGACGAGCTTGTCATATCGGTTCCGTACCTTCTCGGCGGAGCCGAAGTCTTCGCCATACCAGTGACGCGGGGAGACACGCATTGCTCTGCCCTGCGAGGACGGCAGTGTCAGATAACAGAACACAGTCTCTGCGAGCGAGTTGCTTTGGCGGCTTTCGACAGGAGTTTGCCTCAGCTTTGAACGCGCGGCGAGGCGGTGTCGAAAATGCAGCCATATATCAAATTTAACTGCTGCAAAATGGCTGGCTTCGGTGAGGCGAATTCGCCGTGCGCCCGGCCCGCTTCCTCGGGCTTTTCGAGGCTTGCGGAACGCAGAGCAGCGATAGGATCACGACACGGTCTATAGCAGGTCAATACTCCTGTCGCGATCGACAGTCGGAAAGCAGAGAGGAAGCGTCCAGAGCACCACTTACCGGCTCGGATCATGACAGTTCGAGGGCGGAAAAGAACGAAGACGGCGGGAATCCGACATCATCAGCGAATTTCACTCGAGGGGTGGGAACCAGGCCATTGGGCGACCACGAGCATCGGTGCGCGAAGAGAGTGAGCTTAGCACACGATGCGGTCTTGTTGATCTTGCAACACCTTCTCAAGGATGCGAAGCCCTGGCTGTCTCGTGTACGTCGACGACGATGAGCGTTGCGATATTCGGGAGCGGACACGCTGCAAGCCATCTTTGCTCGGATCTCGAGATTCCAGGGTCCTGGCTGACTGCATCAACTCTCTCACTCGAAAGTCCGTGCTACAATAGCGAGATCACGACTCAGCTAAGTCACGCCGTAGCTCGTCGGTGCTTGCTCTTGCTCTTCCTTCTAGTGAATAGCTCTCGTGGCCTCTCTGTTCTTCTCTTGTGATACGTTACAGTGTACTTGTTGGATGACAGGAATGTTCAGGGGCTTTGGAGCCCTTCGCGGTGTATGGCCTCTGCCATTCCAGAAATATATTTATTAATGAAATTTGAATCATGATCAAGACTACATAAAACTATACAGTAAAGACAAAAATGCCATTCCTGCCTGCTGCTGGTACAGTAGGCTGGTTCTCACCCGTGTCCTTGGACCCGTCTCGCTCTCGCGTTGAGACATGGCGAGTCGTGTCACGCTTTGTGCTCTACTTGACTGACCTTGAGCGTCCATTTTTTAGAGTGGCAGCCTGCAGCATCGGTCCACATTGGCGAGTTCCGTGCAGCTGCCGGTGACCATTGGCTCGTCGGTCCACTCTCTGGTTCTAGGTTACAGCCTCACTCTGCTCGCTGTCTTTGGATCCGTACCACCAATTCGCGTTCTGAGGAGGCCGTTGTCTCGAAAGCGATCGGCTCGACCCATCTTCGCATCGTCTGCTTGATTACCTGTCGGCACGTTTACCGACGCCTGGACTCTCTAGTGGGTCCCAACGGTGCCCCCACCATCGCAGGTTGATAGCGCCGCAACAGCTCTGGCCTTGGACTCCGGGGACGACTCGCTTCGCTACTCTTCGGCACGCCTTTACGAGTCCTGCTATTTCCCTGCAGCCCGGGCCAAGTCAAACCTCAGGCACAGTGACGCTCACCATGTCCTATTAGGCGGTCGCTTCGACTCGACTTTTGGAACGCGTACAGGTACATCTTGTATGGCATGCGCACGTCCACGCCTCTTGCGCATGCAAACGGACATGACACATACGACGGCTTCAAGCAATCTGTACATCACTGCTGCATCTCGTCTCGTATCTCGCGACAGGAAGAGGGACAGAGGCCCGGCGTAGTTCTCGACTCGTCCCTCCTCTTCTAGGATGTTTTCCCGTTCGAGATCGTCCGACGCCAAGAGCCTGCGCGCATCCCCAAACAGCACGAATGGTCTTGCAACGAGCGCCGAAGCATCGCCGGCGAGGAATCCGACGAATCCAACGGACCGCACCTCGACGACCCGTGCGAGCAGCACCGCGCCCATGCACATCCAAACATCGGACTTGCCGACCATCACCACGTCGAACGGTACGCCCCTCTCTTCGTCCACTTGCACCGCGGACCCTACTGGATCCTCGCAGCCCGACACTCCCGTGCAAGCCCCTCCCTTCGCGTTGCTACCGAGTCTTCCGCACGTGTCGACAGCCGAACCATTCGATATGTCGAACACCAGCTTCTCGGTGACGTCGCTCGACAGCTTTGGTGCCATCTCGGTGGCAGGATCCACCATTGCGGCCGAAGACGGCAGTCAGAACGGCTCGCGTTTCGGCATGAGCCCTCCCTCCTCCAGGCTCGTCGCGCCCAGAAACGAGCTCTCGTCCGCGTCCATCCGCAGTCAGAGGAACTGGGACCAATTCGAGGGGAAACCTGTCTCGCCGCTACCGAGTCCAGCCGTGCACTCGGACCACGAGCAAGCGCGAGATATGTTCGACGTTCCCATCGCATCCAGCTCGAGGCACGCTACCAGCAACGGGATCGGCACGTCGCTAGAACGGCCTGCCACCGTTCGAAACTCGTCCAACGACTCCGTGCCGAGCACGACCGAATCTGGTAGCATGGCATCTCCACAAGGAGCAGCTCGGAGTCAAGGATCGAGTCGTAACTGGTCCTTCTTCAACTCGACCTCTTCAGGCCCGTCAATTGCTCGCGCACCCAGCATCAAGACGTCTCAAGCTGCTCTGCGAGCGGAGCAGCACGTCAGCAGCGACCCTTCGGCTCCACAAACACCGCTCAGCAGTACAGCGTCAAGGAACACTGCCAGCGTCAGCCTCCCTGCCCATGACCACGGTGTCAGGCTACCCTCTGTCGATCTTTCCAACAGATTCCGGTTGCCTTCAAGATTGCCCTCCCTTTCGTCGGATGCGGCAGCCATGGGTGGCGCAGGCTCTTCCAATGCGAGATCTTCCTCGGCGCTCTACACGCAACCGCAGCAATCAGGCTATCCACGACACTCGCGCATCAGCAGCGGCGACTCCAACTTGTCCATGGACGCAGGTCTCTATTCGCCGCTCTCCGCCGTCGACGCCCACGCACCGGGCGAATTCATCGGTTTCAGCTCGACCTCGCAAGTCTCTTTATCAGGCATGTCGGACGCGCCCAGCGCCACGCTTGAAGGCCTGCCGCCCAATGTACCGTGGGCGCCTTACAGCCCGCGCAGAGTTCGCACTCAAAGTCAACTTCTGCTCGATGACGACCGCAGCGCGCAGTCGTCGCCCGCGTCGGCCGTGCAAGGCCGGATCGAACACAAAGGCTGGAGGGACGCCGCCGACGCATCCATCGACTTTATCGGCGCTCTACCATCCAACGTCGCGCACCGGTCGAGTCCCGCGCCATCACGCTCCGAGCTCCATACTGTCCCGGGTCCGTCAATACCAAGTGCAAACGTTGCAGTCAGCGCACGAGACGCATCGTCAGCGTCGGATCCTGCCAGAGTCCTCGGCCAGCGGAAACACCGCCAAGGCCCGTCCGAGTCCGCGACGGGAAGCAGCGTCTCGCCGACGCCGCCCGCCCGCGAGCAGTCGAGTCCACCTGCCATCGCCGAAGCGCGAGAAGAGGAGGAGGACGGCGATCGCATCGGACCGTATCGCATCGAAAAGACGCTCGGCGTCGGCGCTTTCAGCCGTGTAGCCCTCGGACGTTTGATACGCGGATTCGGTGGCGGCAAGCCCGACAAGATGATCGCGACGCTCCCCGCGCTGCGTCAGAGAGCTCTCCAAAGGACGGAGGCGTCGCGCGAGACGGACGAGCTGGTTGCGCTCAAGATGCTGGATCGCGAACCGTGCAACAACAACGAGCGTCTCAAGGTCAGCTGGGTGCGAGAGGTCGAGGTGCTCAAGCACATTTCGCATCCCAACCTCGTGCGCTTCATCTCCTCCTTCAGCACACCCGTACACCACACGCTCGTGCTGGAGCAGATCGCAGGCGGCGAGCTCTTTGATGCCATCATGTCGCACTTTGACCAGTTCTCCCAGCGCGAATGGCTCGTACGCGTCATCTACACGGAGCTGGCCAATGCCGTCGGATGGATGCATCACGTCAACCTCGTACACCGCGACATCAAGCTTGAGAACATCCTCATGACCGTCGACCTCTTTGCAGCGATGGCCAGCGCCTCGAAAAGTTTGTCGCCGTCCGAGCCCTTGCGCCCGCATCACCTTCCCAAGGGCCCGCTAGTCAAGCTGACCGACTTTGGCCTGTCGAGATTCGTCGATCCATCCAATCCGCTGCTGGAGACACGGTGCGGGTCGGAAGAGTACGCAGCTCCGGAACTGATCATCGGCAAAAAGTACGACGGGCGCAAGACGGATGCATGGGCGCTCGGCGTGGTGTTGTACGCGCTGATCACGGGCTCGCTTCCGTTCATGGAGGATGTGAGCGTCGGCGTCAATGGAGCCCGGGAAGGATTCGGCGAGCAGCGCGATCCCAAGCAGCGAAAACGGCATTTGCTTCGTATCGCCAAGGGAGATCTGCGATGGCCAGCTCCCGCCAACGACGCATGTGCAGACCAGCCGGATCCAGCCGTGTGTCCAGCCAGCGTACGCTTGGTGACACCCATGGCCAAGGCGATGGTGGCGCGTCTGCTTCGACGCGACTCGTCCAAGCGTGCCACACCCTGGGAGACGTGGGACGAGCCGTGGCTGTTGGGCGGCAGCTTTGGCTACGCGGCGCAGCCCGGCAGCACCGCAGGCGGCCGACAGATACCCAACGAAAGCTCGGCAGCCGGACAGTCGCTTGCACTGCATCCCGACCCGCGCTCGCAGCAGGGTCAGCATTGGTTGGAGACGAACGCAGCGGTGCGTCAGGACGACGTGGCGCCCGTAGCACGCGACGATTGACTCGTCCCTTTTCCCCATCTGCCTATGGCCTCGTGATTGCACAGCATCCCTTACCTCCGCGCATGCGTGCGTGCACATGCTTCTGTACCGCTACCATACATGCTTCTGTCCTCTCTTAACTGTTTCGTCGCAATGCATTCATTCGAGGTATCCTCTCATTTAAACGTTGCCGCCGATGCATATCTTGCCCCCCACGAAGTCGCCGGACAAAACCGAAACCGAGCTTTGCAATGCTGATGGTATATACTGTTATCAATTTTAGTTGAATCCAACAAGTCCCAGTTAGTACAATGGTTAGTATAGGGCACTCTCACTGCTCAGATCAGGGTTCGATTCCCTGGCCGGGAACTTTTTTTATCCGTTTTTTGGTCCTTATTTTTTGGGTTCCCTTTTTCGTGAGTTTTAGGATGAGACCTACACTCGAGAGCTCGAACACCTCTTGCGAGACGACGAATATGCGTGCTATGTGAGCTTGTCGTACTTCTTGAAGTCTTCGACGTCGCGGCACGAGTCTAATCCCCATGGCGCCATGCTGCCGGATCAGCGATGAAACGGAGGCGGGTGCAGCGGACATGACCCGAGCACGAGCCGAAGTGGAAAGATCCGCGAGATGGCTTAGCAGCTGGACTATCGGCTCACCTGGGACTGACATGATGACCACGACGATGGAACTGCTGGCATCGCTGGTGGACTTAGAACAACTGCATTGCAGAGTGACAGACAGCACTTGTGGAAACATCATGCGAGACGCCGATCCGTGAAAGGTGCGCCAAGTTGCACACAGTTCAACGACCCTAAACAAAGGTTCGCAGCGCTCTCGACGCGTTTCACGGATCGCCTCAGAACTCGGACACCCGATGGAGAGAGCGTTCCAGTCTAGAGCAGAGCCGGCTATTCGTATCGCCTGCTCCTTCCGAATGGTGTTACTTTCCAAAGATGAAGCCGGAAACGTCCGCGACCCCGTGCCCTGCAGCTCAGCCGCTCGCACCTCTCCGCTTCGACTGCCCACGCGCCTTGACACGATTCCTAGCCGGCTGTTTTCAGCTGCTTTGCCGTCCTCCGTCTCCCCGCAAACAGAGTGTGGACCACCCTTGCGCCTCTGAGCCTCTGTCGGAAGAGCTGCGAGCATCCGATGCCCTGCATGACGCCGCCATCAGGCGTCTGAACCCTACCGACACCTTAAGCTGACGCTGACCCGAACATACAGCAGGCATGTCGAGATGCATCGTTTGACGTCAGTGACCAATTCCCTGTACAGACCGAGGATGATGGTTTCGGCCTGCTGCCGCTGTCGACCCGACCTTGCCCGCCAACTACGCGTCGAAACGCGGACGGAATCGGTACTGAACAGCCTCCCGATCTTAGACCGATCGAACAAGCGCCTGAGCACAGTTTCCGTCTTACTGCTGTGAGGCCTTCCCTCGACAGAGCGGCCTTGCTCGTCCGCTCCAGCCGACGCGGTGACTCGCCCGCGCCTCTCAAGACTCCATCTGGCAAGAGATGACTCGCTGGAGCCCACGACAAGGCATCTCGCAGAAACAAGTGAGTCTTTTTTGATTATCGATCGATCTACAAGCAAGGTTCTTCGCGCTCTGGAGGAAGAGAGAAAAAAAAGTGTTGGACTCGAAGAAGAAGAGGCATCGCAAGCGGGAAATCGATCTTTATCGAAGTAATTAGAAAACTTAGCTCTACGCATTATTTAGCCCCGGAATTGGCACGCGTAGAGTTAAAGGTCTCGCAGTAGCGTGGAGGTGTGCTGGTGCTGCTACCCTGCCTTCTTCCCGCGCTGTGTTTTCAGATTCAAGGTCAGTGCAGCGTCGATTTTGGCCATTCTGGGCTGCGCTTTGACCTGCGCGAACATCTCTGGTGGGAGATGCGAATGAATTGTGGCCCATCGAAGCTCTCGCTTCCTCCGGCGCAGAGAGATATAGACTACCTCGGCAAGCCCGTCTCCATCCTTCGTTGCGATCCATCATCTCATCTAAGCTCCCGCTTTTCCCTCTCTCCACCCCGCACACATTTGAAGTCTATTTCAAAATGGCTATCCAGAAGATCCAGGCTCGCATGGTCCTCGACTCGCGTGGTAACCCCACCGTCGAGGTCGACCTCACCACCGACAAGGGCCTCTTCCGCGCCGCTGTCCCCTCGGGTGCCTCGACCGGTATCCACGAGGCTGTCGAGCTTCGTGACGGTGACAAGTCCAGCTGGATGGGCAAGGGTGTCTCCAAGGCCATCGACAACGTCAACAACATCATCGCTCCTGAGCTCATCAAGTCGGGCATCGCCGTCACCTCGCAGAAGGAGGTCGACGAGTTCCTCATCAAGCTCGACGGCACCCCCAACAAGGGCAAGCTCGGCGCCAACGCCATCCTCGGTGTCTCGATCGCCGTCGCCAAGGCTGGTGCCGGCGAGCAGGGCGTCCCTCTGTACAAGTACCTCGCCGAGCTTAGCGGCGTCAAGGCTCCCTACGTCCTCCCCGCTCCTGCCATGAACGTCATCAACGGCGGTTCGCACGCCGGCAACGCTCTCGCTTTCCAGGAGTTCATGATTGTCCCCACCGGCGCCAAGAGCTTCACCGAGTCGGTCAAGATCGGCACCGAGGTCTACCACAACCTCAAGAAGGTCATCAACACCAAGTACGGCATCGACGCCACCAACGTCGGTGACGAGGGTGGATTCGCCCCCAACGTCGCCTCGGCCGACGAGGCGCTCGAGATCCTCACCGAGGCCATCAAGAAGGCCGGCTACGAGGGCCAGGTCCACATCTCGCTCGACGTCGCCTCGTCCGAGTTCTACAAGGACGGCAAGTACGACCTCGACTTCAAGAACCCCAACTCGGACTCGTCCAAGTGGCTCACGGGCAAGGAGCTCGCCGACGTCTACCTCGGCTTCATCAAGAAGTACCCCATCACCTCGATCGAGGACCCCTTCGACCAGGACGACTGGGAGGCCTGGTCGCACCTCCGCGCCAACGCCGGCATCACCATCATCGGCGACGACTTGACCGTCACCAACCCGCTCCGCATCAAGACTGCCATCGAGAAGAAGGCGTGCAACGGTCTCTTGCTCAAGATCAACCAGATCGGCACCATCTCCGAGTCGATCCAGGCTGCTCAGCTCTCGCAGTCGGACAACTGGTCCGTCATGGTCTCGCACCGATCCGGTGAGACCGAGGACGTCACCATCTCGGACCTTGTTGTTGGTCTCGGTGTCGGAATCATCAAGACGGGCGCTCCCTGTCGTTCGGAGCGAACGGCCAAGTACAACCAGCTGCTGCGTATCGAGTCGCTCGAGCCCTCGGCGGTGTACGCCGGTATCGACGGCTTCACCCAGGGTGAGACCGCTCCTAAGGTCATCACCAACAAGTCGGCCTAAGCGGTGGTCTGACGTAGCTAGAGGAGATGCTCTTTTGTGGTGTTTCCCGAGGCACGTACATGAGCTGTAGATCTGTTGTTACAAAAAATGATATCACGTTTGAAGACAAGATGCAGCGGATGAGATGTGTGCGTGCCGAGAGTTTCGACATGGACATGGGCGGCACAGCTGCATCACACAGGCGTGCACGAGATTCAATTTGACTCTGGCTGTTTGATCATGTTTTGCGATTGTTTCGACTATTGGCAGCCACATCCCTTTTGAGCTGAGATACAGGTACAGCGGTGGTGAAAGGCGAGCGCGACGGTGATGGCCGCTCAGTCGATGAGGTATTTGCGTTTGAAGAAGCCTCTGAGGTGGAAGACTTGCCAAACGCCGAGTGCGATGAGCGCTAGCAATGTGACGATGGCAAAGTTGGTGACTCGCATGTTTGTTGACACTGTGTCCACGAACGAGGAAAGCGAAACTTTGTCAGTGATCGTCTCACCATCAGAATCTTGCAGTGAAGCTGAGTAGAAAACTTACGATTCGTATCGGCCATCCTCAACTCTCTCTTTTTCAAATACTCCATCTCGTTGACGATCTCGTTGGCTACCGCTTCCAGTTTCCTCAATTCGGTCTCCAATCCACTCAAGCTCTCCTGGTTGGCGATGGCATTGTAATCCACGGCATCTGCACCGATATCCACATCCAGATCGATCGTCACCACCGGCACTTGACCGCTGCTTCCGCTTCGACCTGTCTGGGTGTTCTTGAAGCACACTCCCAGATCTGCGTGCGAGTGCGTGTTGATGGCGAGCCGCGTCTCTCCTTTGATGGACTTCTTGGAGAGGTAGACGTTGTTGTGCTTGGAACCGTCGACCACCTCGATGTCGACACGTTGGTTGGTGAAGTCGAACGGCTCTTTAGCGATCACCGAGGCAGTGACGATGACGAGCGAGTCGGAAAGGGCGTAATTCCAGATGCATTTGGTGTGTGGATGTGTCGCCGCGGACAGATCGAATTTGATGGCGGAAGAGAGGGTGGTGAGGACGGAGAAGATGAGCAGGAGGAGGGATGCTGCGCTGGACGTGCGTCTGGGCATCATCGTGATTGTGCTACGTCTGCAGGCAGACGATACGAGTGATGGTGACGATTTCAGTGTCTTTTCAGGAGCTGGATCGAAGTCGGGGCCCGGAAGGGTGTCTTGCGAAACTCCAGCTCGGACCAAGGCGTGTGACCGGATCGATGATAGGGACGTGTGACTCGCGCTGATCACCTTTGCTTGTGTCGCTGCTGCTGCCGTTGCTGCTCGGTGCTTTTATATCGCTTTCGGAACGATCTAAGTGGTGAGCTGTGAGCACCTCGTGCGGTTGCCAGGGATCAGGAGGATGGTAATGACGAGCAAATACGAGTACAGAGTTGCAAGTTGATTGGAGGTCAGTGCTTTGCTGGAAGGTTTGTACAGTTCGTGCATGTCTCACCGAGCCCAGCACTCTAACACATTCATTTCGAAATGCGCGTTCTCGTGCGATTGGAACACCGCCTAGAAGAAGCAATTTCGAGCAGCGGAGAAATCTCAAAAAAAAGTTGCATTTCTCCTCATCATCGACATCATCAGCGACACCTCTCACTCACACGATACCACAAACCCTTTCATCCATCCTCATACCTCTATCTTTCCACCTGCTCGATTCCGCTCAAACGATCGCCCATCATGCATCTCATGTTCACAGAAGATAAGGTAAGCTTTCCATCCTTCCCGACCTGTTCGTGAAGCCAACCTCATTTCACTGACCAAAGCACATCCATGACCTTCCTCAAACGCAAACAGGATGGCAAGCGAATCTACACGCTCAAGAAGAAGACCATCGAGGGCATCATCACCAAGTCAGCTCACCCTGCACGATTCTCCCCCGATGACAAATTCTCACGTCACCGCGTGACCATCAAGAAGCGCTTCGGCATCCTCCCTACTCAATTGCCTGCCAAGCCCATGTAAAGGTCTGCCGCACACTATCCTCGACCCCAAAATTGCTGTCTATCGCAGCACCTCGAACCCATGGCTTCTCTTCCTTCTGCATCTCGCATATACCCGTCAGACACACAGCTCAACCAGAACCCATTCGACATAGGTTACCTGTGCAGCTGACATCGGGTCCGGAATGGCTTGCTTCCCGACATAACCCTCTGCAGCACAGACAGTAAGCTCTTCACATGCGCTTCAGAGCCGAGGTCGCCGCGCCACACCCTGCCCTGGCAACCTCCCCGCAACACAACCCTCTGACCTCCCACACACTCCCAATGTAGCACTATCATTCCTTTGCCTTTTCATGCAATTCGTCTTCTTCTCAAAAGCATAACACATTCTCACACTTTTGTTTCGATCAAGGTCCACCTTCGACCAACTTGTCGCATTGCACTGCATCCGTTCATCCGAACCGCGCCAATCGACGGCGACGCATCTCCTCAGCGCTCACCTCTTCCGCTTCCGACTCTTCGTCTTCGTCATCGTCTGCATCACCTGCACCAGGGCCACCACCGCTACTCGCGTTGGCGTTGCTTGAGCTGCCTTGCTCTTCCACCGGCTCACCTCTCGCCAACCGTTCCTGTCTCTCCTGCTCCTCTCGCGCCTTTCGCTTCGCCTCTTCCCGCATCTTGGTGATTCGATCCACGTCGTCGGGAATTGCTGTTTGCTGCTCTTCCGACCGCCTGGTCGCATTGCGATAGTTTGGATTCTCTGCCGTAAAGCGAGCAGCTGCTTCAGTATCGCCCAAACTAGCAGCTAGCGCCGCTTGCAGCTCCGCATCCTCATCGTCGTAATGCCTGTCCTGCCGAGGTCCGATGACCGCGCTCGCTTCGGGTGCGCCTGGTACGCTGAAGGGGTCGATGAGGTCGTCGTCGCTAGCAATCTCGTCGTCATCGTCCACGATCTCTTCCACGTCTTCGTTGTTGAGGTTGGCTGCAGCCATCGCTGGGCTGAGAAACGGCGAGCGATGCGACAGACTTGAAGGATGCAATTCCTCGACATCGCTTGAGAGGGTGTCGTCGCCGCGCGAGTCATCCAGGTCGATCGCGTCATCGCGCGACAGGCCAGTCTGTCGTTCTTGAGCCCGTCGCTTTCTGCGGCCTACAGGTCGTGACGAGGTGGAAGAGGATGAGGAAGATGTAGCAACAGGGCCCTGGAAGGAACCGCCGGCCCCGGAAGGCCGACTTGAGGAGCTTGACAGGCTTGCTTCCATCGCTCTGCGCAGATCGTCGTCGACAGGGTCAGGAAAGCCGGCCCGGTGTCGACGTCGTGAGGGTGCGATCGCATCAATGTCGGCGTCGGTCTCGCCCATGAAGCTGTTCCCCCCTGCAGTATCTTCGGCGCTCCCACCGCGGACCTGACGAACGCGAGATCGGCTCGGTGTGTCGGGAGCAGTAGCAGAAGAGGTGTGTTGTAGAAGGCTGGCGCTCAGAGCCGCCTGGAGCTCCGCATCGTCTTCGTCGCCGCCAAGCCCGAAGCTTGGAGCCGGGCTACGGAACTCGCTCGCGTTGGATACTGGCGCCATCGGCGGCGTCTGGCTGGTCGCTGCTGGCTGAAGGCCAAGGCTCGCCGAATTGGAGCTGTTGCTTGCCGAAGGAGCCCCCGGTGGTGGCAAGTGATCCGCAATCTGATCTGCATCCGACTCACGCAAGCCCTGCCCAGCGCTTCCCTCCGAAGCCTGCACGACAAACACCGAGTATCCCTCCGACTCGGCTGTATGAAGCAATGTGCCGAGATAATTGTTGCCGATCCACTGCGGCTCGGCGAGGAAAGAGTTGAGATTGTACCAGAACTTGCTCGTGGTGCCAAAGGAACGGATGGTGAACCAATGACTGTTCAGATTGAGCACAAAGGCCGCCTCTCGCTCCGGTGCATCGTGCCGCGCTCTCATCTCGGCGGAGCGCCAGCTGGATATCGAGATGCCCCACACCTGAAGCGCCCTTTCCAGCACCGACACGCTGAAGAATCCCGTGTCGTCCATATTGAGGCTCGATCGATCGCGTGCGGCAATGTCGGCTTGGCTCAGCCCCAGCTCGGATGCTTCGAGTTGATCGAGCTCGGTGGCGATCTGCGAGAGCTGTGAAGGGTCGTAGTATTGGCCTTGGAGAAGCGCGTTGAGCGCGTGTTGTGCGCACAGCATGCTTCCGGCTTCTTGACGCTCATGGTGGATGTAGGCTATGAGCTGCTGCTGCGGCGACGAGGACGACATTTTGCCTGCTTGGTGTGACCTCCGGACAAAGAATCGGATGCCTGTCGATCTTTCCTGTCTCCAGCCGGGTCAGTTCCGAGAATGTGATGACTGGAAGGAAGGAAGAAGGGCAAGAGGCTTGCTCAGCCACTGGCAGCTGGCTTGCGCGTCGTTGGCTGATTCCGAAACTGTCACACCTACAATCATGCTTCTCGTTGGTGTGGAGGCCAATTCGCACCGCACGCCGGTGCAGCGTGTTTTTTCGCGTGCCACAAAAAGGCGTGAGACCCTATTCGGGATCACCGTTGATAAACCTCGGATATCGCGACTCTGATCAACTGTCTCAAAATCGCAGCGCAAAAGCCATTAATCACACTCTCTCGCGACCAGCTCTTTCTACAATCACATCGCAACCCGCGCTTCACGGACCGTCGCTCGTCGGCTTTTGCGATACAACCGCCTTAGTATCAACCCATCGATCTCTCGAGTTCAAAGAGCAGTAGCAACCTAATCTTGGAAAACAAGCTCAGATCGTGCGGATTCCCCTCCGATCGACGGAACGCCATAACGGTACAAGTTGTCAGCCATGTCAGTCACGCCCGCTGCAACGAACGGACGTCGCAGTAGAAGGAGCTTGACACTGCTTGCAGCTTCGCTTCTGCTGCTCATCCAAGGCACAGATACGGCAGCCGCTGCCAAGCAAACACTGGCGCCGTTCGACTGCAGCAACGTCGCCGTATCCTCCAAGCAGTCATTCGATCTGTCTAAGATCGCCTATCCCATCCGCACTTCGAATCAGGAATCAACGCCGCCATCGGAAACCAAGACGTCCATCGACATTGACCTCTGCAAGCCGCTCGAGGCAGATTCAAACCGAGACGAAAAAGACCAGTGCCCGCGTGGAACGAGAATATGCATCACCATCGAGACCATCAAGGACGACAAGACCATCGTCACACAGGCAATTCCAGTGGCCTACTCGGGCGAATCTGGAGGCAGCAAGATCGAGGCCAAAGTGGAATGGGGCGAAGAGCTGGAAGGAGGAGAGAAGAGCATCGAGCTCCAGTTTCCAGGAGCCACCTATGCTGGACGAGAGCAAAAAGCAGAGCTTGAGCTAGTTTGCGATACTAAGGCGGAAGCTGATTCGCATCCGACGGCGAGGAGCTACGACCGTGCTGACGGAAAGCTCAAGCTTCGCTGGCCAACCGAATTCGCATGCTCGTCCGCAGCGTCCAAGCCAGGAAGTGGAAGTCCGTCCAAGGGCGGCTCAGATAGCGACGGCGGCAACGACAACGACAGCAGCGGAGCGACTTCATCGGGCGGGTGGGGCTTCTTCAGCTGGCTCTTCTTTTTGCTATTCGTCGGCTTTGCCGCGTACATGGGGGTCGGTATGTACAGCAACTACAACAATTATGGCGCTAGCGGATGGGACCTCGTTCCGCACAAGGACTTCTGGAGGGAGTCGCCGTACATTGCTCGCGATGCGGCAACGCATGTCTGGCGAACGATGTCAGGTAATCGTGGAGGAGGAGGAGGGTTTGGAGGTGCGGGAGGTCGTGGAGCATACGAGCCCATATAAAGCCATCAGCCTTGCACCGATATGGAAATGTCAACGTCTTTCTTGCTTGCCCAGTCTTCACGCTGTGCAATTGGTCAGCCTCGTAACAGATACAAGAAGAGATTCACCGCGCTCGACTGTGTGCCAGCAACCTCTTCAGTTCTCGCCTGAGTTCCGTCGCGAGCCGGAGCAGGGCTGAAACTGAGGACAAAGCTTCGACCGTTGGATAGATGGGCCTATGCGGGCGAATTTCAACAGGCGTGTCGCTTTCCGCACCCGCTGTCCTGACCAGGACTGGTTAAAGGTAGAAAAGTAGGCGGCGTCCACACGCCGAGTGACACCCCTGATCACAGCCGCCGATGCTACATCTCTTCCCTTTCCCGATCTCCCTTCTTGCCGCATTCCTTCGCTTCCAGACACCAATCCACATCCTTCTCATCCAGACTGCCAGCAGTCAACTGCAAACAGCATTCGACAGCGCTACGATCGCTCCTCTCTACGAGGTCTCTGCAAGCATGGTCAAAGACGAGTTGGAACACTCCAACGAGAAGAAGGCGGAAGAGAAGAAGAGTATCGAGAAGAAGACCGATGAGCCTTGGACGGACAAAGAGCGCAACGTGATCCTGAATCATGTTCTCAACCACGTCCTGAAGACTGTTGGGTACGGCACCGTCTTTTCGGAGCTGTCTGGGCTGCTAGTCAAGGAGGGATTCCCAGCTCGCGGCAGCAAAGCGGTAAGTACAGTGCACGTCGATGGCCGCAAACTCCTTATATCCGCATCTTGCTTACTGATCTTCATTCATTGTGGCTTCTTCAGTACCAAGACCAGTGGCGTCGCAAGATTTGCAAGGACGTGATGGCCATCTACGGTGGCGTGCCCCCAACATCGCCAGCCACTCCCACCAAGGCCGTCGCTACCAGCCGAGTCAAGCCCGAAGGAAGTCCTTCCAAGCGCAAACGCGAGACAAAGGAAGAGTGAATGCGGTCTACCAAGGCTTCGGCCATATTCGCATACGTGGCGACGTCAAGACACCAGGTCCAGCGCGTTCATCATCATGGCTAGAGCCCGCACTTCAACGTACCATACCCTCTCAACCCCTTCATGCTCATCCAACTCCATTCAAGGTGCTGCACCGTCTCTCCTCACGGTGTTGCACAGTATCGTCAATCCGACCAGCATCGTGATCATGCCAATGCAACGTCGTGCCGTGGCAACACAGAGAAAGTCTCCGTATGCCGCGCCATGAAGACGCTGTCCACTGAGGCAATTTTGATTTGAAATCAAGTCCACGAACTGCCCTTTGATGCCATATCACATTCCAGAATTGCGTGCACTCCGCTATTTGCGCGCTCTGCAACCGCAACATTTTCGCTCAGCATCCTGTATCGGATTTCGCGCCTTCTAGGTCAGAATTTGTATTCATTTTGACCCACCAGCTGCAGATCCCAAATAGAAAAATTTCGAGTGGTGAAGCACATTTTTCGTCTTCTCGGTCTGCTGTGTGTCAATCTCGCAGTTCTTCCTAGAATCAACCGCACAGACTGACGAGCAGGCCAATTCGAGGTTTTTTTCCCCATTTGCACCCTTTGCAGTCCAAAGCGAAGCGCCTCGCAGTGATGACGAGGAGGAGCAAGTAACTGTTCCACGAGTGGAGTCCGAGCCTTTTCACCTTCCCACCTTCACCTCTGCCGCCGCGACCTTCCCTCGTCATTGTTCACCTCCGCACACCCTCCTGCTCTCTTCGCTAAGAGAGCTTCTCGAGGTTGCGCAATCACTTTTCACCATGGCGCCCGCCCCAGCACAGAAGGAGACGCGTATTGCCATCGTCAACTCGGACAAGTGCAAGCCCAAGAAATGTCGTCAGGAATGTAAGAAGTCGTGCCCAGTCGTCCGTATGGGCCGACTGTGTATCGAGGTGACACCATCAAGCAAGATCGCCTTCATCTCTGAATCCCTCTGCATCGGTTGTGGTATCTGCCCCAAAAAGTGTCCCTTCGAGGCTATCAACATCATCAAGCTCCCCACCAACCTCGAGAACGAGACCACCCACAGATACAGCGCCAACTCGTTCAAGTTGCATCGTCTCCCTACTCCGCGTGCGGGTCAAGTTTTGGGTCTCGTCGGCACCAACGGTATCGGCAAGTCCACTGCGCTCAAGATCCTCGCGGGCAAGCAGAAGCCCAACCTGGGTCGATACGATGACCCTCCCGATTGGCAAGAGATCCTCAAGTATTTCCGTGGCTCCGAGCTCCAGAACTTCTTCACCAAGGTGCTTGAGGACAACATCAAGGCGCTCATCAAGCCTCAGTACGTCGACCACATCCCGCGTGCCATCAAGGGCAAGGCCAGCGTCACACAGCTCCTCGACGGCAAGCTCGAGAAGGACAACAAGCAGATGGTCATCGACATGCTCGACCTCAAGGAGGTACTCGAGCGAGACGTTCAGAACCTGTCCGGTGGTGAGCTGCAGCGATTCGCCATCGGCATGTCATGCATCCAGAACGCCAACGTGTACATGTTCGACGAGCCCTCATCGTATCTCGACGTCAAGCAGCGTCTCAACGCGGCGCGAATGATCCGATCCCTCCTCGACTCCAACACCTACGTCATTGCCGTAGAGCACGACTTGTCCGTCCTCGATTACCTATCCGATTTTATCTGCTGTCTCTACGGCGTTCCGTCCGTCTACGGTGTCGTCACCGTGCCATCACCGGTACGTGACGGCATCAACATCTTCCTGGACGGCTACATTCCAGCAGAGAACATGCGTTTCCGCGAAGAGTCGCTCAGTTTCAAGATCGCCGAGACGGCCGAAGATGAGGTGCTCGACAGGACCCCCAAGTACGTCTGCCCACCCATGACCAAGACGCTCGGCAACTTCAGCCTCAAGATCGAAGGTGGTGAATTCAGCGAGTCCGAGATCATCGTCTTCCTCGGCGAGAACGGTACCGGCAAGACGACGTTCGTCAAGATGCTTGCGGGCAAGCTCGAGCCCGATCCGGGTGCCAAGAAGCCACCTCAGCTCAATGTCTCGCTCAAGCCTCAGACGATCGCACCCAAGTTCCAGGGCACCGTCCGCATGCTTTTGCTCAAGCAGATCAAGGCCGCCTTCATGCACCCGCAGTTCCAGACCGATGTCGTCAAGCCCATGTCGCTCGACCCCATTATCGACAACGACGTCCAAACGCTTTCCGGTGGAGAGCTGCAGCGTGTCGCCCTCGTCCTCGCGCTCGGAAAGCCCGCCGACATCTACCTGATCGACGAGCCATCCGCCTACCTCGACTCGGAGCAGCGTATCATCGCATCCCGCGTCATCAAACGCTTCATCATCCACTCGCGCAAGACGGCCATGATCATCGAGCACGACATCATCATGGCCACCTACTTGGCCGACCGAGTCATCGTCTACGAGGGTCAGCCGTCCGTCAGTGCGACGGCCAAGCGACCCGAGTCCTTGTTGACCGGTATGAACAGCTTCTTGGCGACATTGGAGGTGTCGATGCGTCGTGACCCCACCAACTACCGACCACGCGTCAACAAGTTCAACTCGATCAAGGATAAGGAGCAGAAGGCGGCGGGTCAGTACTTCTTCTTGGAGGATTAAGGTGCGGTCGAGTAAGGAACGTTGTAGCAGCGTTTTGCGACCTCGTTGTCGGTCAGCTTTAGGCGATGACGGGAGGTTCAGCAATCAAAAAGGAAGGAATCCTGGTGTCCTTCCGGCATGGCACGCACGTCTGGTTGCTAGGCTGCATCCGACGAGCGCACGCCAAGCCCTTGTTATGTATATATACCGACGCTGCACACTCCATGCGTTCGCAACCTAGTCCTTCTTGTCAGCGCACACATTCTTGAGCTGGTCGGTGTGCGTAAGCTGTGATGACTTTGCCGTCTCGGGTGAGCGTCTGCCTTCACTTTGCGACATCCACGCTGGAGCGCGTCACAAAACCTCTTTCGAAGATCCGGGAGGGCTGCCTGTTCTGCGCGCGAAGTTGTCTCTGCAATGCCGCAGATGTTAAGTCCGAGCGAAAGCGGTCAGCTGTCGAAGTCTCTTGTTATTCGGTGCTCTGGGCCTCGCTTGAGATGCAAAAGTCGAACGAGCAACAGCACGGCTTCAGCTTGTGGAAAAGAGGAGGAGCCTTTTAGAAATGAATCAAAATGTTAGACTCCAAGTTCAGCAAAATGAGTTGGTCCTCCGTGACGCGTCCGCCAGGGTAAAATCCATCATCTCAAACCCTTCCGCTCCCGCCAAAACTCGAAACTTCAAACACCAATTTCTCGTCATCCACCTTATCGATTGTCAAATAAAAAGCATTTCTGACATCCTGAGGGTCGTAGCTCTCACCTCCATGTGAAAAAAGGGCAAAAAATTGGCATCGACGCCTGTGAGATTCGAACTCACGCCCTCAGAGAGGATATCCTTCCCTTCGATAAACGAAATGCTTAATAGCAGGGATACGTGTTAACCACTCCACCAAAGCGTCTTCCTGGTTTGCGGGGTAAAAGGTAACAACATAAAGAAGACAAAAGAACGACCGTATGAAATGAACGTGTGAATGTGGGGGCGTTTTGACCTTTTCATCAAAACCGCCCCGAGTCCTCTGCGAGGAGATCTGAGCGTCGATCGAAGCCTCATCAAGGTCAGCTCGGACCCCCGATGTAACTTGGGTGACACAGAGCAACAGCAAGGAACTGGGTGCTGTTGCGTGTCAGCACGAAGAGGTGCCGCTGTATGAGGCCCCTCTTCGCCGGATGCTGGTCAGGAGATGCTTCCTCACTTGTCCTTTGTCAAATGATCGGCGGTGTTGCCCGTCCAAGGAACGACCAATCTGCTCAGACCCAAGGACACTCTTGCGAGAATGCTCGGACATTCCGCTCGGCCCGAGAATGGCAGAAACGACACTCTTGTCTTTTCGCCCCATAACCTCTGGCAAGGACCAAGTCAGGGTTCAGATCTGTCAAGATTTTCGATTCGGGTCTGGAACTGAAACACACACACGTTTGCAGGCGCGCGCATGCGCCGTCCAATCTGCCCGCGACACGCTCCCACGTAGCTTTACTGCACCGCAGAGCTTGAAGCTTCCCATGCAGGCTCTCTGGAATTCCTGCGACCGCAAAGAAAGTCCGCCAAACCGCCTTCCGTTGTCCGGGCCCAATCAATTCCTTACACAGTCCGTGTGTGTGAGTCTGCGAGTCTGCGAGTCTGCGAGTCTTGAATCGAAGTCGATTGGGATTCGCTCAGTGGACGCGACCCAACATCAATGTTTCATCTTGAGCGCGCTGCTGGGAAGAGCGAATCCAGAGCGTCGGTTCTGCGTCGAATCCTGCTAAAAGCCGGCGGATCGAACCTGCTGACTTTGCCTCGGTCCTGCGCCACTCCTTGGAATGCTCTCTGGATTGTCCGTCCCTCGTCTGTCCACAGGGTCCACTCTGGCATTTGCGCTCGCGAGCGTGAGGGACACAGCGTCGTTCGAATCTGAGTCCAGACAAAGTCTGGCAAACACGGATTGACATCCGAGGCATGAGTCTAGCAATTCGTCGGAGTCGATTAACTTACGCCCTGTGCATGCTCTTCGTTCCAAGTCAGTCGAGCTAGGCGTAAGCTGAGTCTGATTCCGCGCAAAGGTGAGTCGTGCAGACTGACGTCGAAAGCGGACCGTGCCTCTCCTGATGAAAGCAACAAAAGGAGCTGCGCCCTTTGTCCATCCCTTTCAAAGAAACATACAAGTATCCTGCCGCCATCGTCGCCTTCGTCATTGCTATCACCATCCGTCGTCCCACCCTCCGAACGCGACCTATACCCGGGCTCCTTCCTTCTTCACGACTGCATTCGACATATCATGCGTCTCCCTGGCTTCGTTGTCGCAACAGCGGCCGCAGCAGCGACAGTGTTTGTTGCGCTTGTCGAAGCGCAAGACACATCGATCATCCGCGGCGATGGCCCTCCTGCTCCCAGTCTGACACGCACCGCAGCGCTCGGCAGCTGGACTCCCAAGGCATCCTCGGACGGCCTGACGAAGCCGTCCTTGACCGGGATGGGTCGCACCATCTACATCAACAGCGCCAGCGACTTTTGCTTGCTCATGCCGCCCGACCCGACCACGCAGAACCTGGTCGATGCCGAGGCCATCGCCACATCTTACTGCATCAATCCCATCAACGGAACGCGACCCATGCCCGATGGATTGATCAAGACGGCGCACTTCCGTCGCACTCCCGAATACGTCCAGATCTCCGGTACGTACGATCCTGCGGTGATGAACCTCGGCAGCAACGATTGCGGAGGCGAGTACGATTCCGAAGGCGCCGAAGGCGTCGGCAACCCTGTCGGTGTGACGATGCGCAACGGCAGCTACTTTTCGCAGTTCATGGGTGCGTGCGATATCCCCGGCAGCCCCGTCTTCTGCCTTCGTATGTGCCCCAGCTACGAGTACTGCCGCAACACGTTCGACCTGATGGGCTGTTTGTGGACTCAGCCCGGAGACTACGACCAGCCGCAGGCGTTCACCAACTGTGACGCCAACGCGGACCTGCCCACCGGAGTGTACAACAGCAGCTACACCTTCAGCCAAGGTATGAGCGTGACGCCCCCGCCCGTGACCGCTCCTGCATCGTCCAATTGCAAAACCGTCGCTTCTCCCACGGCAAGCGGAGTCACCTACTCCTGGAACCAGGTGGCTGCTGCTTCGCCGGCCGCTTCATCGACGAGCAAGTCGAACGGCGGGTCGTCGGGCTCTACGAGCGGCAGCAGCAGCGGCGGAGGCAGCAAGAGCGGTGCTGCTTCCGCTTTGGGCCCGGTAAACGTGTACGCCCTCGGTGTCACCGTCCTGCTTGGTGTCGTCGCGGGCGGGGCTCTGCTGGTGTAGTTCGGAGTGACGCTGTCAGCGCGTTCTGGTCGATGACCGACGTCGTGCGTGTCGAAGGACCTTTCGGTCCAGGTATGAAATCTCTGATTCCTTGTAATGAACAATGTCTCCCATTCCCCACACCGAAAAAGAGAGAGAAAGAAAGAAAGATACCAAGTGGGTTCTCACAAGATACTGTAGACGGCGTTCTGTGAGCAGAAATCGCCGATGCAGAGACCAACACTTCTGATGCGAACCAGATGTAGTCGCGCCTGCCAGGGTCCTTCTTCTGGGGAAAAATCCAGGCACCTGCGTGAGACGCCAGCGTGGCTACAAGCCCAGTCGAGGTCGAGACGCGCGCTTCGCTTCGCTTGACTTGCGAACTGCCGAAGCTGCCCAACTGCCTCGGTACCTCACATTCTTGATGGCCGCTGCTCTGGGTGTTTGCATTCGCGAGCTTGCGACTTCAAAACATGACCTTTGACGAACGAACACAGCTTGGTGCTTGACTACTCAGCAAATGTGTCTTGATCCGTCTTGTAGCTTGATCGGGCGTGCCGAAGGGGACAGACTCGGAAGGGATGCTTTCGCATGCATTTTATCAGCCGTTGCTCGGGAAGCTGGAAACATCTGAGAAGGAAAATAATGTGCGATGGACAGCCTTGTACCAGAGAAAGCGAGGCAAGGCGCCGTAGCGAATGACCCTTGCTCACATCTGTGCTTGATGCTCGGCTGCGCCGCGGCGTGATTACCCTGGCAGTGTCGAATGGATGAACGAGCTTAATGCTACCGCTCATCTGTGTTACTGCTCATCTGACTCTCGTTGCAGCGGCAGCAGCGATCGTGATTGTCCGAGGTCGGCTGGTCCCGAAAGCGAGGTCAAAGGAGAGCAACACACGCTCATCGGGTTGGCGGGCACAGAGATCAGGTCGTCAGGGTGCCGAGGAGCAACGAAAGAAAATGGAAATCAAGGGCGGGTCCCGTTGATGGCTGCTGCTGCCGGCTTTGCTGCTGTTTGTCGGAGCTGCACGCCAAAAGTCGCACACGCACGAGCTGCTCGCAAGCATTTGGTCTCGCTGCATGGATCGCTCCTTCCTCGCGATCTTGCCTCCCTTCTACCACCCCCTCCCTCTTCGACGTTCGTTCCCTGGTCCTCACCGAGCAAGTGCTTTGAAAGTGCCGGCTCTCCGCAAAGCATAGCTTTTCGTCTTCCTCTCCGCCCCTTGATTGATCGGCGTCTCAGCACGACTTTGACTTTGCATCTCGTCTCTCAACCGCGTCCTGCTCAGCACATCGGAATCGTTGTACCTCACCTGAATCTTGCCCGCTCATTCTCTTGAAGAGAAGCAGCAATCGTTCAACCCGGCTCACCCTTCGTCTCCGCTCTCACTTTCAGGCAATAGTGGACCTATTGCGTGATCGACACTCTCACACGAACATCGACCATTCCCACCATCGGACCACACTTGCGCAGGCCGTTGCTTCGCACTCGGAAGAATCGCTAGACTCAGCAAGGTATGTATGTCCTCCTCTAGCAAAGACGTCTTTTCAACTGTGTTGCAAAGAGTGTCTGCCTGCTGCAAAAAACGCCAAATGAAGAGCGACCCAGCTGACCCTTTGTGTTGTCTTGTCCCCGCCAACGCCCACTCGAATCCCTCGCCGTCGATGTCGACCGACCTTCTGTCTTCATTTCGTCCTTGCTTGTCTTCGTTGCAACGACCTTGCTCCCACTCCGACCCGCATCGTGGCACGCAACAGTGATGTCCGACTTTGGCCTTTTGCGATCTCCATTGACGCCTTCGAACGCTTCCATCAATCGGGCCAGCTCCCCTTCTGGAAATCGTCCGATCACCATGAATCCGCACAGCCGCTACTCGCTCGGCAAGGGCGCTTCCACCGAGCACATGATGCGCCTCGCTCAACAAGGCAACGCTGGCCACGACGGCGCCATTCGCAGCCCGTCCATGGGCGGTACTGCTCCCATGCCTGGCGCGACTGGCTCGCGCAACCTGCGTCCCAGCTCCGAGATGTTGCCCAACATGAATCACCACGGCACTCCGGAAACCGAAGCGATCGACCGCTGGTTCGAGGATCTGCAGCACTACGAAGCTACTCTTGAAGAGATGGCCGCCGCTTCCCTCGATCAGAACTTCAAGGAAGAGCTCAGCGCCATTGAACAGTGGTTCCGCGTACTCTCGGAGGCAGAACGCACCGCCGCCCTCTACAGCCTTCTGCAGGAGTCGACGCAGGTCCAGATCCGCTTCTTCATCACCGTCCTCCAGCAAATGGCCCGCAGCGACCCCGTCTCTGCCTTGCTCTCCCCGAGCCACCGCAACAGCTCCATGGCCGACCAAATGGAGGCAAAGCTTGCCAGCCTCGGCCTCAAGTCGCCTTCCGCCAATAAAGATCCCGCTTCGCCAGGCGCCCGCGGCTACCGTCAGTCTTCGGATGCTGCCGGCTTCCTGTCGCCCAACGTCGCTGCCATGTACAACGCCGGCAACAACGACGCTGCCTCTACGCTGGCTGCTCAGCGCGCCAAGCTCAAGGCCAACCGCACTTCGGCTCCAGGCACCCTGATTGGCGAGAGCCGCAACTACTCGGGCGGCCAGCTGGACCAGGTGCAAGAGCGCGGTGGCTCGCCCAACCCGCAGCAGCAGCAGCAGCAGCAGCAGCAGCGCACGCTCTCGGGCGATCTCTCCCGACCCAAGTCGACTGACTTCAGCAACAACAATGTCGGACGGTCCCCGCGTGCCAGCGGTCCGCTCGACGACCAGCTCTCGCCCATCAGCGCCACTGGCAACTGGTCGAGCATGGTCAACACTCCGCTCGTGCCCATGTTCACCGACAACGACAAGGCTGGCATGGGCGACGCCAATGTCAACCTCGAGACTGCCGCCGCCCAGCTGGCCAATCTGCAACAGCAACAGCAGATCGGTGGCAACGGCCGCGTGATGGTGGACCCTGACATGCCCAGGTACCGACGCAAGAGCAACCAGAACACGGGTGGCGCTGGTTACGGCCAGGGCTCCAACATGTACGACCAGTCCAGCCCGGGCGTCTCGCCCAACATTGCTATGCAATCTGGCTGGGGTCAAAGCGACAACTTTGGACGCGGCGGTCTCAACGCCGGCTCGTCTGCGTTTGGCGGCAGCAACAACAGCAACAACCAGTTCAACATCCCTCCAATGAGCCCCAACGCGCTCGCAGGGCTGCAGAGCCCTTCGGGTGGCCTGGCCAATCCTCTCAACATGCAAATGATGAACATGATGGCGGCCATGGGCGGACTCAACCTGAACAACATGAACGGCGCTCAGCTCCTCGCCATGCAGCAGCAGCTCTTGCAAAACCAGCAGACGCTGTCGATGCTCGCCCAGCAACAGCAAGTGCAGCAGCATCAACAGCAGCAGCAGCACGGCCGCAACCTGCGCGCCTTTGGTGGAGGGGCGCTATCTCCGGGTGTCGGAGGCCAGACTGGCCGAAAGAGCCCACGCAGCGGCACTTCACCTTCAGGAAGAGCAGCTGCATTGCCTGGCGCAGCTGCTGCCGGCGGCGCGGGAGCCGCGGGTGGGAACGCCAACGCTGCGGGTGGCGAGGAGGAGATCGCCGACCTGGCGACGCTCGAAGATGTGCCCGCTTGGCTGCGCCAGCTGCGTCTGCACAAATATACCCCGAACTTCGAGACGAGCCACTGGAAGGAGATGGTGGTCATGGACGACAAGCAGCTCGAGGATAAGGGCGTGGCGGCGTTGGGTGCCCGACGCAAGATGCTCAAGACGTTTGAGCTGGTGCGCAAAAAGTACGGTATCAAGATGGATGGCGAAGAGGAGCCGGGCTCGGGTGTGCCGGGCAGCCAGACTGAGAGGGAGGGCGATGATGCAGGGGAGCACAACGATGCTCAGGAGGTGGATCGCGAGCTTGGTGGCGCTGCTGCCACTGCTCCTGCTCCTATCGCCAAGGATTGATGCGTTGCTCGGGTCGAGTCTGTTGCCCCTTGTCGTCGTTCAAGATGCTGATCAAAGGCCGCTCACCTTGTCTGCCTTTTTCATCCATTTGCCTTTCGTTCACGTGTGTATGTCGCTTCGTCACTTCCAATATTTATTTGCTTTGCTCAAACGACACGACGATACGCTGGTGGTAAAGCGCCGAAATGTAAGAGTTGAGAGCAGCGACTTGTGCAGCGGCCGGCCATACAGTGTCAGGATGAGAATCGTGCCCACGCCGATCACGTGACGCAGCTACGCGCCAGAAAATAATCAGCCAACACCTGAAAAATCAGGCCTCTCGTGGGCGCACACACACGCACGCACGGGAGCGCGCCGTTGCAGCCTCTCAAGCCCCGCCGTTGAACGAGTTAGAGCAACACTTTTGTCGAAGCGCGTCCCCCTGGGTGAGAGGAGAAGAAGAGCAACACACGAACTCTGAAAGAAGCTCTCGCTCGTGCAGAGAAAGGCTCACCCTTGAGTTGCGATTCTCTCACAAGCTTGAGATCCCCTGGAAGCAAGCCCACATATGGCTGCAGTTGCAGCTTGCATTGACGCACACGCTTGATCGTCGGCTACCACCACCATCTCCTACTTTACCCTTTACGTGTTCAGCTTCGATCCTTGCCAGCGCTCGGACCGACCTCGGTTGCAAAGATCGTATACCATTCCAACCGCGCCGAAGCTAGCTCAGCAGCCCGGCAACTCATCTGCCGACACTCCGGACTATTCGTGCTGCTAGGACACCGTTGCGGTCCGAGCTTTCTGCACTCTACGATTCGAACGCATCACAGACCGCACCGACACAGCTGCACAGTAATTATTGCACAGTACCATTCGGAAACATTGCAGCGGCTCATCACGATCCAGCAACGCGGACTTGACTGATCCGTACTTGAACAACACAAGAGAAAGAGAAGTAAGTACCAAGTGATTCAAAGCAGTGTCCCGCGATGGGATGGTGTAGAACCAATACAGGCAGAAAGGTTTTTCGACGAGACGCAAGCGGCGCTCCTCACTTGGCACCGTAGTCCCTGGGTGCATCAGACGTCGAGCCAGAAGATTCTGGCTCTTGAAGCCAGGACGACAGAATCGATGCTTGGCATGACTGCATGCAGGGTCGCCAGATTGGCTGGCTCGCTGGTGCAGGATGCTTGCTCGTGCTCAGCTCGCAGCGCAGGATGAGGAGACAAGCGCGTCCGCCCCTCTTCCACACACGGATGATGTGTGTGTGTCTCTGTTGCCTGCGCATCTGGTCCGACACAACACACAGCGGCGCGACTTTGCGGAATTTCACTTGGAACAAGTCTAAATTTGACGGGCAGCCGAGCGGGTCTTTGCGAAGCGGCGTGTCCCTGCCTGCATGGCGCACAAAGGAAGCGTGGGCGCAACTCAGAGCCAGGAAGAGCCGAAGAAAGTGTTGAGGAAAGCACGCCGGCGAGCCGAAAAAGTGTGTTTTGCAAACACGCGCGTGTCTCGGAACATCCGCTGGGTCACTGACCTGTCAGATGGTTGTGACGATGCTGTTTGTACGGTCACGACGAACTCCCCTCATTACGCTCGTTTTGCTTTCGGCTCCTCCCTCCGATTATGAGCTTGACTCCCTAGACTGCGCTTCCGTCTCTCGACTCTGTGACGCTGGGCACTGCTGCGCGCTTGTCCGTCTATCGTTCACTGCAACAGCCTCTGACCCTCAGCTTTGTGTTGTCTCCTCACATCCGATTCTCAGGACACTCTCTTCGACTCAGCCGCTCTTTTTTACGATCGACCCCTTGGAAACTCGATCTCCATCGCTACAAGCACCTTCGACCGAGCTTCACCAGCAACTTGACAAGCATAGGTATCGCGCTCGATCCTACAATCGCGCCCAGCTCAGCAGCAGCTCACGCTGCTCTCGACCATCGCGATGGATCCATCGGGTCCAGACAGCAGCTCGGAGGGTCTCTTCGAAGGCAACCACCCTCCTTCTCCTTCCCCAGCCTCAAGGCTCACATACCCCGCTTCACCCAAGGACATGTCCACCGGGTCCTCGCTCGCCTTCCGTCCACCGCCTCGCCCAGGATCATCCTTACGAAAGGGTAGAAAGAGCGACTTCAACACGCCCGCTCCGCCTCCGCTGCCCACCGCACCTATGCCAACCTTCGAACACAGACCTCTCGCCGATACAACCAACTTTGGATCCAATCACACCAGGCTCAACGAAGCACATCTACTCTCCTCGCCTTCGCGTTCGATGCTGCGCTCGACCAGCCGTCAGTCTTTTGAGAACGGCAAGACCATCGATATGACCCGTCTCGTGCGCGAGCGTCTTCAGGGTCTCCGCGAGGAGAATGAGACCCAGGTCAACTCGGCCGGTCTTCTTGGCCAAGGTCTGCTCGGTCTGCGTAGCAAGATCGAGTCGCTCATGGATGAGCTGGCCGAGGAGCTCAGTGCAGCGGAGGATCATTCCGAGGACAGTTACGGAGACAAGCCGTCCGATGTCAGGATCCGGGATCTCAGCAGGAGGATCGAAGTCGAGATCGAGGACCTCGAGAAGCAAAAGCAGAAGCTCTTTTCCGAGATCACCGTTCACAACGTCGATGTCTCCCCAGAGACCGATCCTGCCGCCGACGCATCCATCTTGAGCTTGTCAGAGACACCCTCAAAGGCGACCCGCGTTGCCGATGCCATCCGCAACCTGACCGCCACCCCAGGCAAGTCGCCAGCTGCACCCACTCACGCCACGCCCAGACATGCGGATCGACGGAGCCGCAATGCCGCTGCTCGCCAGGCCAAGGCGGACACGGATCTCATCAACGAGATCCAAGCCGGTCTTGTACAGGAGGTGCGCCGACTGCAAGGCCTGCTCAAGGAACGCGACGACCAGCGAGTCTCGCTCGAACGGTCGCATACCGAGCTTGAAAAGCAGCTCGACCAGTACAAGCCGCGCGTCATCCAGATGACAGAGACCGAGGATGCGCTCAAGCAGGAGAACTGGGACCTCAACGTATCCAAGCAGAACCTCGAGGAGCAGCTCAGCGAGATCAAGTCGACGCTCAAGAAGGCCGAGCTCGACAATGCGCGCCTGAACAAGGAGATCGGCAAAACGCGCGAGACGGTCGATTCGCAACGACTGCAGATCGATGGCCACGTCGCCGAGATCGAGCGTCTCAACAAGTCGCGCGAGACCGAGATCGCCCTGGCAAGGAGGGAGCGCGCAGGCATGCAGCGAGATGTCTCCGACCTGCAGAGCGAGCTCCAGAAGATCCGCAATCAGCAGCTTAACGACCAAGGCGGTGTTTCGCGCAGCGTCTCCCACAGCTTCATGTCCGACGCCGCCAACGATCAAAATGCCGAGGCGGATGCGCTGGCCGCCCGTCTTCGTGCTGCTTCCGGTGAAGTACCCCGCTCTCCCGGCGATTCGATCTACTCGGCGGACGGCGCTGTGCTTTCGCCGCTTGGCAACCGTCTGGGACGCGACAAGGAAACACAAGATCTGCGTGCCAAACTCGCGCTCGCCCAGCGCAAGGCTGGCAAGGATGCCGCCGAGAAGCGACGCGTCCGCGAGAAGAACGCCGAGCTCTCAAAGCTGCTCGTCAAAGCTGGTGTCAAGGTTCCCCAGGGTCTCGACGATGATGCCGAGACCAGCGAAGACGAGGAGCTGCACTGGCTCGATGACGGCGACGCCAACAGCCCCGCTGTGAAGCGCCTTTCGCACATGCGCCTCAGCCGCCCAGCATCCATGCGCCCAAGGCTGGGCCGCAAGTTCGGCATGGTCTCGAGCAACTCGACCGACTCGATCGTCGAGTATGCAGAGTACGAAGACGATGCGCAGATCGGCACGCCCGCAGGTCCGGACGATGCTTCGCCGTCGCGCGCCAGCCTTGATGGCATGGACCCGGCGTTCGCCGATTACAGCCGCGCCGACGCTGCCAATACAAGCATCGACAGCGTGGCCTCTCGCAACGTGCCTCGCGGTCACCGCTCGCGACCGTCTATCGGCAGCAGCCCACTTGCCCGCAACGAACAACTGCCGCTGGCCGCCGACGAACAGGAGAGCCCGTCCCACCAGCGTGTCCTGCCGAAGGGCGGACGACGCAGCGGCGCTACCGTGCGACCGGCCTCGGCTGTGTTCGAGCCAAGCGCCCTTGGCAATGAGCTCGGTGGACTGGCTGCAGAGCTCGAACAGCAAGCGGATGTCCGAGAGATGTTCGAATCGAGCATGCAGACCGACGACCTGCCTGATCTCGTGGCCCCAGCTCTCGCCAAGCGAGACCAGGAGCACAAGGCTCAGCTCGATGCTATTCGCACCGAACACGACGATGCCATCGAGACGATCCACGCCGAACACGCCGCCAAAGTTTCAACACTTCAGAGTCAACACGCCGAAGCCATCGAGTCGCTCAAGAAGACGCATAGCGAGCAACTCGAGGGGCTTTCTTCCCAACACGAGAAGAGTCTCAGCGACAAGGACGACAGCCATGCGGCCGCTCTGGAGGCCGCTTTGGCCGAGCGTGCCAAGGTCCACGATGCGGCAGTTGCCGAGGCCCGCTCGCGCCACTCAAATGCTCTGGCAGAGCAGGTCGCCGCCTCGAGCGCAGCACTGGCCGCGGCTGTAGCGTCGCACAAGACGTCGAGCGAAGACTTTGAGCGCAAAGTCAAGGAGGAGAAGGAGCGAAGAGAAGAATCGCACGCCTTTGCCCTCGGTCAGAATGATCGCCAGCACAAGGAGTCGGTCGATGCCCTCGAAGCATCGCACGCCGAAGCGCTGCACGGTCTTCGCACCGAACACCACCAGCTGCTCAGCATCCGGGATCAGGCGCTCGAAGAAGCCCACGCGCAGCTGGCGGAGCGCGAAGTGTCGCACAACGCGCTCGTGGCATCGCACGCCGCCGAAGTGACCGCGCTCAAGAAACGACTTCATGAGGCAGTCGCTCAGCACGACCAAGCCATCAGGGAGCTGTCAGATTCGCACGCCGGTGCCCTGACCGATCTGCAAGAGCGCCACAGCAACGAGCTCGCCACTCACCAGAACTCAAACCGCGACCTCGCCGCATCTCACGCTTCCGAGTTCGCTGCGCTGCAGGACAGCCACCGAGCCAAGCTCGAAGAGCATCAGAGTTCGATCAAGGAGCTCACCTTTTCGCACGCCTCCGCCGTCTCTGCCCTCGAACAAGGTCATCGCGAGGCGCTGGCCGCTCGCGATGTCGACTTGCAGGCTGCAAAACAAGAGCTCCAGTCACGAACCGATGAGCTCGCGACCCGTACTCGGGAGCTCGAAGAGCGCAACAGCGAGCTTGGAGCTGCCAAGGCCGAGATCGACGAGCTGCAAAGGAGCATCGGAACACTGCGCGCCGACATGCAGCAGCTCAAGCAACAGCTCGCCGAATTGCAAAAGTCACACACCGCTGCCGAACGAGAGCTTTCCGAGACAAAGTCCAGTCTCGATATGGTCAACGACAAGGTGCGAAGGCAGGAGGAGACGGCTCGCGAACTTTCCCGTCAGCGCGAGGCCGAAGCTACCGCTGCGGCTGCGGCTGTCGCTGCTCGATCTCAGGCGCTGAACGATACGGCGGCGGAAAAGGATCAGCTCGAAGCTGCGCACGCTGTTGCCTTGGCTCAGAAGGAGCGTCAGCACCAGGACGCCATCAAGGAGCTCGAAGACGGCCACGCCTCGGCCATCGCTTCCATCCGTGGTGATCACAAACAGGCACTCGACAGCCGCGACCAAGAGGTGGCCACGCATCGACAGCTCGTTTCGCACCGAGAGCAGGAGCTCGAGACGATGCGTGCCGGATTGCAAAAGGCTCAGGCGCAGGTGCAGTCACTCGAGCAGCAGCTGGTCGAGGAGCGAGAGCGTGCTTCGGAGCAGCAGCGCACCGAGGTCGACAAGGTCCAGTCTCGTGTCAAGACGCTGGAACAGGAGCTCGTCGTCGAGAAGGACCGGGCTGTCGAAGAGCAGCGCACCCAAATCGACAGGATGCAGGCACAAGTCAGCCAGCTCGAGGAACAGCTTGCAAACGAACGCGAACGCGCGGCGCAACAGCAGAGCACAGAGGTCCAAAAGGTGCAGGCTCAGATGCACAGTCTGGAGCAACAGCTCGTCACGGAGCGCGAGCGTGCTCTGGACGAGCAGCGCAAGGAGGTGGCCAAGGTGCAAGCACAGGTACAGGTGCTCGAGGTGCAGATTACAAAGCTTCAGAGCGATGCCGACGCATCGCACCAGTCGCGTTCGCTCGCCGAAAGCAACCTCAAGGGTGCTCAGACCGCACACTCGGCTTTGCAAAAGCAACACGACGACGTCAAGGCGAACGTCGCCTCGCTTCAGTCCAAGGTCCGCTACCTCGAGTCGTCCATCGCCGCTCAGCGCTCCTCCACGGAGCAGAACCGTCTTGCTTCGGACAAAGAGCTGCAGACGATCCAGTCGGCACTCAACACGGCTCAGAAGAAGGTACGCGAGCAAGAGGCAACGATCGCACGGGTGGAGGCCGCTGCTGCTGCCGCCACCGCTGCCGCTGCCGCCGCGGAGACTCAGCTTTTGACCAAGAACGACGTCGTCACAGACACCGAGAACGAGGCCGACGACTTCAAGGACGCCGTTGAGCCGACTGAGGCTGTGGCAAGCGAGGCCGACAAAAACCCTGCGACACCCAAAGCATCCGCGATCGAGTTGAAAGAGTCGTCCTGTCAGACCGACGATGAGGCATGGCAGCTCTTCCAGCAGCAACGCCAACGCGATGCTCTCGCCGCTGCTGCCCCCGCATCGCCGTTGCAGCCTACAAGAGAGAGCCTCGCTGCCCACAACAAGCTTGTCGTCCTCGGCAGCCGCGCCCGCGACTCGGTCGGAACATTCGGAGGTGAGCGGGCGTCGTCGCCTGCCACCGTTCTTTACGGCACAGACACCTTTGGCAGCCAGAGCCAGAGTCGCAGACCCTCGACCGACTCGACTTGGTCGCGTCACACCGACCGATTTGCATCCGACGCCATCCCGCCTGTGCCGGCTCTGCCGGATAAGACCAAAGCTCCCGTCCTTTCGATGCCTCCTCCTCCTTCGATGCCTCCTCCGTCCACGCTGAAGAGGAGTGTGTTGGCGCCGGCCGGTGGTCAGGCTCCACCTCGTCCCACATCGCCTCCTCCAGCCGACTTGCTCACGCGAGCACAGCAGATCCATTTGCAGCTGCCCGCCGGTTCCAACGAGCAGCCCCGCTCCGTTTCGCGCGCGTCCGCTCGCAGCGGCCCTCCGCCGAGCGCCTACCCAACCAACGCTCGCCTGCGTCAGCAGAGCTCCGGGGCTGGCAGCATTCGTTCGCGCACCCACTCGAACGACTCGGCCAACCCACAGCCGCTGGACAGCAGCATCTACGCGAATCTGGCCTCTGGTCGCAAGAGCATCGGCTCGCGCAAGTCGGCCGGTCGTCGCCCCGGTGCGGGGCCGCGTCAGTCTTCTGCCGCCTCGTTTGTGTCGGACGTCACCTCGGAGCTCAGTCGTCGCCTCTCAATGGTATCGTCTGTTGCTTCCGCAGCCGATGCGGGCGACGAGACCTTCGTCGTCCGAGGAGCGGGCGCCGCTGGCAAGAGCGGGCAGCATGGGCTTTCCGAATTCGGGGCCGACGCTACAGACCCGGCCATCATCCACGCCATCACGCAGACCATGATCGGCGAGTACATGTACAAGTACACGCGCAAGTCGATGGGACGCGGCGGCCACTCGGACAAGCGCCATCGCCGCTACTTTTGGCTGCACCCGTACACCAAGATGCTGTACTGGACCATCAGCGATCCGGGAGGAGCCAAGGTGTCGGAGGGTACGAGCAAGAGCGCACCGATCGAAAGCGTGCGCGTGGTCGAAGACAGCAACCCGTCTCCACCGGGTCTGCACGCCGAAAGCATCATCATCACCACAGCCTCGCGCGAGGTCAAGATCAGCGCACCCAACCGCGAGCGACACGAGGCGTGGCTTGCTGCACTCGAGTACCTTGTGCATCGCCCCGCAATTCAAGACGCCACGGTGATCGCCAGCAACGCGGCACCCGAGCTGATGAGCGATGCAGAGAACGACGCGACGCTGATAACACGAAGCGTCGGACGCAGGGCCAAGCCTCGTGCTTCGGCGGCTACGTTGGGGAGCGCATCGGTGATGGGATCGCGCAGGCCGTCGGCTCAACGAAGCTTTTTGGGTCGTAGAACGTCTGAGAACGCTCTGCGGACCGAGTCGACGCCGCGCCGACGTGGCAGCGTGGGCGGCCAGAGCGTGCTGTACCCATCGTTGGGCAAACGACGCGACACGGCTGCCAAGGAGTTCTTCCAGCAACACGAACACGACCGCGAGCTGTCCGTGTCGATGAGCCCGAGCCACAGCGTGCGAAACGGCGTGTATGCGGCCAGCGTCCGCAGCGGCGATGCAGGCGAGGAAGATTACGAACTGCTCGACCTGACGGCCACTCAGTCGCCGATCCGTCGCGCGCTCGCCAACGACGATCCACGCCTCAAGACGGCGGAGCAGATGCTGGAAGAGGACGAGCCGGAGGACTGGGACGGTCTCACCAACGTCCGTGCGTGCTGTGACGGCAAGCACGACGTTGGCTCACTGGCGCACCACCACCACCCCAACCAGGGAGGATCGGCTAGCGGGAGTCGCAAGTCGTCTCGTCTTCACCGACGCGAATCGTCCGGTGGGTCTAGATTCTCTTCGATCGGGTTGAAGTCAAAGCTGGACGCTGCAGTCAGAGCTGCTGAAGAGCGCGAGCAGCAGCAACAACCCGTGCCACCAGTTCCGAGATTGCCGGCTTCGCTGTTGCCCAGCGGCACGCCTTTTGGCAAGACGGTGATGGAGCGCGAAAGCATGGACAGCAACCATTCGAACGGTGTAGCTCAGGAACAGAGTCTCACAGCTGGTCGAGCCGCGTCGGGACCTAGCTACGGTCAGCGCGTGCAGCAGATTCGAAAAGCTAGACAGTCGGCGGGAAGCACTGGCGGACGTTGAGATTGATTGATTTGCCTTTTGTAGTATTGCTCTTGTCTGTTTCCCGACATAGAACGTGGTTGCATTTTTGATCTCGGTCGTACGTCAATGACAGTGTGGGGGTAGGTCAGTGAGGGGCAAGCTGGGATGTGAGTTGGCTCAGGGTCAATCAGAGTTGACGCTCGATCGTGGTCAATCTCACGCGGAAAATTGCGAGTGCGGAAAGGGGGATCAGAAGTTGGAAGGGAGGCCATCGCTATCCGCTCGCGTCCACTAGGTGAAAGAGACCACAAGACTGTCCGACTGATGCGTGGACGACGTTGAGCTGTCGGTGTCAAGTTCTGCCTGGCACTTGTCAAAAACAGTCAAGGTTTCAGAACAGCTGGGCGTTCGGCGGCTGTCTCTTGAGCTAAGGTTGGTGCCTCGATAGACTGCCTTGGCCACCGTGCGCGAGCCTACTGTGTTCGCGAGCCGAGTCGCGTTGCGTTGCGTATTGTAACTTTACTTGAGCGCGAAGAGTCGTCTGCATGGGCGTAAATTGGCGGGTTGCATGCGAGCCTAGAATGGCGAGAGATGCCAAATTGAGATCTTGGCGAGGAAAAGGACTCAGGCACGACGCCAGTACCAATAAGAAAGGGTATACCCGACCATCATCTGGCAAATCTGAACAACAGAGGAAGGTTCAAGGTTCGCACACGGAAAAAGTTGGAAAGGTTGAGTGGATTCAGGGTCGTGGCCGCTTCCTTTCGCTGCCGGCTTTTGCTTAGCTTTCGCCCCCCGTGAGACAAATATGAATTCATGATACTTGATCGTGATATTCAAATATTGATAGATTTACCGTAGTTCGCCAGCTAGGGCTTGAGTGGCGCGGATTGGCGGTAAATTTGGCGTTTTCGGGCGACGCGTCTGTTTGACAGACAGACTGTGCTGTATTGTCTCTTTTGGCGCATGGCATCCGGCCAGAGAGAAGAAAAGGGATCGATGGGGGGCACAGGAGCAGCGCCCGATCCCATCGCCGGCTCTTCTCAGCATCGTCGTTGTCCTCATCGTCAACTTGCTACCATCTTACCCTTGACCTTCCGATCTTTATTGCCATATCTCATATCCCTTTTATTCTCGACCGCATACACACTTCACGGCAGTTCATCTGCAGCTTATTTCTCCGACCACCCGTTCGTTCACTTTGCAATCCGTTCGCCTGCAGGCTGGCAGGCTGGCTGGCTGGCTGGCTGTCTCGTTAGGTCATCTTTTGGCATCCTTTTTGCGATCCAGCTCAGCTCAGATCAGAACACCGCCTCATTCGACTAGCATCGACTCACGCTACGGACCGACTGTCTTTCCGGCAGTGTCTTGGCATTGTGCACCGGGTGCTCCGTGCCATCTCTCCGCCAGTGACTGCAACGCCCTTCTTGTCCTGTCGGCACCGCTCGAGAACGTGTCCGCTCACTCTTCCTGCAACCCTGGCGCGCTGCTCGGATAGTCCGATAGAATCACACTCCAGAGTCGTCTCGGCTCTCTGCTCCGATCGCAATCCGTGTCGTTCTCGCTCCGGCGCGCTTCTTGCCCTTCGGCACAAGTCTGACCCAGCTGCAACGGTCTACATGCTGTAGCAGGCTCGCATAGCATTGCTCCACCACTCAGCTTCAAGCTGATCCTTTCGACGTCATGACAAATCATTCCAACTGGCACGATCAACACGGCCAATATCCCGGTCCTCCCCAATCGCGCCACCATCCAAACATGGAACCCTACCCTGGCCCTTCGCCCTCCAATCAGCAGCAGGCCGGCTATTCAAACCAACCCGCCCATCCCGGTAACTACCCACAGGCACACCTTCCTCCTCCCGTCGGCCGTCAGCCAAACCAACAGCAGTGGCAATCTTCCGCGCCATCCAACGACTTTGGCGGCCCGAGTCCGAGCAACTCCAATCCGCGTTCATCCGGTCCTTACCCTCCTGCTTTCGACGCACAGTCGTCCAACCTGCAAAACAGCAACAGTCCTATGCGACAGCATGGCAGCCATGGTTCCGTATACGCTTCCCAGTCGCCCTACGCACAACCTCCATCACACGCCGCGCCTGACTCGCAGATGCATCCGGCTGCCCGCGGCGCTCCCATGCCATCTCAGTACGACTACCCAGGCGCTCAAGCCGGCTATCCACATCCTCATCATCCATCAGCACAATCGCAAAACCAGCAGCAGCAGCAGGGTCCGCCCTCGCAACATCACTCTCACCAGCAGTGGAATGACAATGCCCCCGGCCACCTCCCCTCCGTCTTGCAGCCCCAGTCCCTCGCCACTACCTCGAGCCACCCTTCAGTCCGCGGTCCAGGCGCTGCCCTTCCGCCTGCGCCGCCTGCGCTCCCCTTCGATCGATCCTACGCAGCCGCACCTCAAAGACCAGACGACGACATGGATGACGACGATACAGGTGGTTACGACGACTACGACTCAAAAGGCAAAGCACGTGCCGGCGACGGTGCTCAGTCCGCCAACAAGGGCACCAGCGACTTTGTCAAGAAGCTCTTTAGCATGCTCGACGACAAGGCCTACGAAAGCGTCGTCGCCTGGTCTCCCTCTGGCGAGAGCTTCATCGTCAAGGACATGAACGACTTTACGAAACACGTCCTCCCCCGCAACTTTCGCCATTCCAACTTTGCCAGCTTCGTCCGTCAGCTCAACAAGTACGACTTCCACAAAGTCAAGAACCCAGAGGATGGTTCCGCTTCCGTCGGCGAACACATCTGGGAGTTCCAGCACCCTGACTTTGTGCGCGGTCGCGAGGATCTGCTCGAGAACGTCAAGCGCAAGATCCCAGCCAAAAAGAAGCCCAACCTCAAAGCTGGCTTGGCCGATGCAGACCGCGACGACAGTCCATCCATGCCCCTTCCCGCCATGGATGTCCAAGAAAAGACCGGAGAGTCATACGCCGACCTCAGGGCTCAAGTCATCCATCTGACATCGGTGCAGGATCAGATGCAAAATCACATTCTCGCTCTCACCAAACAGTACCAGGGCGTCATCGGCGAGATGCTCACTTTCCAGCGAAACATGGTGCAGCAGGATCAGCTCATGCAGAACTTGATACAGTATCTCATGAACCTCGAGCACGATCGAAATAACGATCCTGCGAGCGGTGCGACCTCTGCTTCCGCCTTGATGGCTCAAACGGGCACCAACGCTGCAACCTCCGCTCCCAATGCCTTCCTCCCATCGGGTGCGCCAGGCTCCTACGGCGGTGGTCCATACGCTTCGGACGCGCATGTCGACTCGTCCAACGCTCGAGACGGCTTCAGATCTGCCGTCATCGGCCCACATTCTGTCGGCTCATCCGTTCCATCGGCCGAAAACAGCAGCAGCGCCACCATTGCTGGTTCATCGACCAGAATGTCGGGTATGGCAACCGCCCCTTCCACCGTAGCACCGCTCTCTCCCAAGAGTGTAGCTTCGCCAATGGACAGCGGCAGAACGCCAGAGTCCTCGCAGTCTCTCATGCACCCTCCTCGTCACGAAGACATGGCGCGGCGCAACTCCAGCCTCTCTTCGCTGCGCATGTTGAACGGTGCAGCACCGCCTGATCCGGCCAACAGTGGCAACGGAGCCGGTGCTGGCGGCAGCAGCAACACTATGCCTAAACTCGAATCTCGCAGCACTTCGAACGAAAGCAGAAAGGCCATGGACCGCACACCGTCCCGACCCGCCTCCTCTGATCCTGGCAAGAATGACACCGTGACCAATGCTTCAGGCAGCGACACCAATCAACAGCTGCGTCCACGTCGACCTACGCTCGTACCTGGTTGGACCGCACCTCCACGTGTGCTGTTGGTCGACGACGACGAAGTATGCCGCCGACTCTCGTCCAAGTTCCTCCAAGTCTTTGGTTGTTCCATCGACTATGCTGTCGACGGCATGTCTGCGGTCAACAAGATGAACCAGGAAAGATACGACTTGGTGCTGATGGACATCGTCATGCCTAACCTCGACGGTATGTCGGCCACCTCGTTGATCAGACAGTTCGACCCGAGCACGCCCATCATCAGCATGACCAGCAATTCCGGTCCCAGCGAGCTCATGAATTACATGTCGAGTGGTATGACCGATTTCCTGCCCAAGCCTTTCACCAAGGAGGGTTTGTTGAACATGCTCGAAAAGCACCTTTTGCATCTCAAGGCTGCGCAACGAGAGCATCGTGCCGCTTCGACGGACCAAGGTGGTGGTGGAGCGAGCGGTGGTCCAGGTCAAATGTCGTCGGGCGGGGCGATGGGAACTGGAGACGGCGCTGGTGGTATCAAGAGGAGCTCATCACCACTTGCTCCGTTAAACAACATTGGATCGTCTGCAACACCCAGCAACGGCGCTGCGGACGATGATGGCGTTAACCCGCTAGCTGGGATGGGTTTCACAGACGAGGAATACGTTGCTATGCTTCAAAACTTGATCGCAGCAGGAACGGGAGACGACGAATTGGCAAGCGCGCTGTTTGGGAACGACACCTTTGCATCGCAGGACAACACGCCACGCAACGGTGGCGACATGGGCCACACGCCGAACCACGTCAATGGGAATGCAAACCGGAATAGTCCCTATGCTGGAACGACACCGGGGGGTCCGGCGGGGTTCAAGAGATCGGCTTCGGATGAGCGGAGCGGACATGGAGGTGGGTTGTATCAGCAGCAGCTGGCACAAGGTGGCGACGCCAACAAACGCGGTCGATTCGGCGAGGGTTCCTAACTCGGTCCAGCACACGCAAACGGGCGCGCACACGTATCATACTCGACTTTCTTCTGTACTCTGTATCTCGTTGTGCCTTGTATTATCTTCTTTGGGTTTGGATGGTGGTGTTTTCTCTCTGGGATTAATGGAACTCTTCAAGGTGCCTCTCATTTCAGGGTCGCACGCCGGTCTGATAGAAGGGTCGCTCTGAACGATGCCGAGTGAGTGCTGAAGGTTTTCAGGACACTGTCATCCAAAGAATCATCGTCATTGCGCAAAATCACATCTTCTCCTTGACACTCATCACGATGTCACGCCTTTTAGAGAAGGCCTTCGATGTTGAACTGATCGCCTTACGCTGTCAAACTCTGGACCAACTGATCGATCGATACTGGGATCCACTCCTGCTCTGCTCCACCACCATTCGACTGTTGAAACACCACGTCGTCCTCGAGATATATCAATGCTGCCTTTGCTCCAGCTCCCGGCGACCCGCTGACACGCCATATGTTGGCTGTTGTGGTGATGCCAGTCGACGTGACCTGGGATGTCTTGAAGAGGAAGAGATCGTAATGCGCCAACTCCTCCGCCAAGATGATACGGAACGATACTGGGTTGGCTTCGCCACTTGCTACCTTTTCGCTTGCCGTGGCTGCAGGTCTCGGTGCTGTCGACTTTGACAGGTTGAAAAGCGGGACCTTCAGTGACCGCCTTTCCGCATCGTCCATGTCTAGAGCGGAGTTGATCAACGCCAATCCAACCGCAAATCCATCATCGCTTCCCTCTGCCACACTATCCACCCACCATCGCCGCCAAGACACATACCAATCGTCGATTCCCCTCCACTCCTGCATCGGCTGGCGTAGCCACCCACACAACGTTTCCAACCACCTCTCGAAAAATGCACCCGACAGAATCTTGACCATGGTCCAATTCCCAACGATCTTCTTCCACCGTAGCACTTCGCTAAGCGGCATAGCTTCTTCCGGGTTTCCTGACCTAGAGATACGCAGCGACTTGAGGTGCGACGCAAGTCTCGGTACGATGGTCGACAGAAGCAGTGTTTCCCATTCACTGAGCGAAGGATGGGTGGTGTAGAATCGACGCCATTCCGAAAGACCGTGAGGGGGACCTCGTGAGATAGGATACAGCTTCAGTCCAGATCGGAGCTTTCGTTTGGCTTCGGCGAGCACGTCGGTCAAGCGGTCCACGCCGAGCAAAGGTAGCCAGGGGAAGAGGATGTGCTCCAGCCCGTACTTGGATGTGCGGGCATCCCATGACGAGAGGCTGCGATGGAGCGCGGGCAGAAGTAATTGGTCGATGACGTTGTCGAAGATGAACCGAGGTAGGAGCGGTCGCCATGTTTCGAGCAGGGAGACGGCGGAGGAAGGATGGTGCGGCTTGAAGTCGATGAAGCAGGATCGAATGGTCGGCATCCAGTGCATCCACAAGAGCGTGTCGAAGGGTGTCATTGTGCCCGAGGCTGGAGTAGAGAGGGTATCCTGGTTCGGAATCAGCGCGGTCCACTTGGACAAATAAGTGGTGGTGAAAGACGGCTGTTTGAAAGGTCGCCATTGAGACCACAATGCTCGTAGGATGGGAGCAATCGCTCCAACCACAGCTTCGTCTAACGCCAGCTCCGATATCTCGTCGCGGTAGTCCTTCGCAAGCCGCTCTATCAACGGCGTAAACGCTTCCAGAATGCCTTCCTCTCCCCCCACATCGCCTCCGATGCTCCTTGAAACGGCTTCCAACTCCTTCACCACCTCCAAGACCCCTCTCATCCTCAACAACTTCCGCTCCTCCACCACGATCTTCCTCCTCGCCATCTCCTCCTCTCTCGACGCCCACCTCTTTCGATCCTGAATCTGCACGCCTTCCCTCGCCAGCGCCGCCAAGGTCTGAGCATTGGTATCGCAGATCAAGCGCAAATTGTGCTGCAGCTCGGGCAGCTCTTCCGCTGCCGTCGGCAAGCCTTTCCTCCCCAAGGCGGTGGCAAGATCCGACACTTCGCGCAACTCTCCACTGCTGGCATCGTAAACCTTTCCCAGCGTGCTGTGTGTTGCAGGCAGGGATCCGATTTCGGCGATGATCTCTTCGTACGTCCGATGCTCGATCTTGGGCTTGCGAGGTTTAGCTGGCGGCTTTGTCCATTCCTTCGTTTCCTTTTTGACTTTTCCTCCATCCCTTTTGTCCTTGGACTTGGAACGAGACTCTTCATCCGAGGACACAGCCTCGCCACGTCGCCGAGCTTCGGCTTTGGCTTGTGCCGTCTTTTCCTTCAACCCGCCATAGGCGATACCTGCGCGTTCCGGTCGCAGCTGCACTTCGATCGGGTTGACGATTCCCTGACCGGAACGGCCGAGACCTCCGCCTGTCCAGCCCATGGATGCGAGGTAGGCGGATGGGTCGAACTTGCTGCCGAATTTGATGCTCATTTTGGGGGGAGCAACGGGAGCTGGTCTGGAGGAGGAGCGTTGGAAGGCGGAGGAGGGCGTGATGGTGGGTTGGGGGGTTGAGAAGGTGGTGGGTAGTCCGGCTGCTGTTAGCTCGGCTTGTTCGGTCGTAAGGTCGTCGTCGTCTGGTGTCAGTTGTGAAGGAGGAGGCGGTGAGGCTGCCGATGATGGTTGCGGTGGAGGTGCTGCAGGTGTGTCTAGTGTGACGTTGTGCGGCGGCACACTTGTGTCGGATGGCTTGGTAGCACCAGCAGAGACGAACATGGAGAGAGAGGTGAGACCGCTGCGTCGAGTAGAAGGTCCTGCTTCCGCACCATTGTTCGAGCTGGATCCGATGCCTGCCCTTGCACCTATACCGGCTCTGGCGGGCTTCTTGGTCGCCTTTGGCTCTCGTGGTTCCCTTGGCTCCCGCGTTCCAGTCGAACCAATACCACGTCGGGTAGAGTAGAACGAGGCAGGCTGAAAGTCATCCTCCACATCTTCCTTCTCGGCGTCATCCTCGGCCATCTTCGAGCCAGATGAATCATCCGATCTGATATGCAGTTCTGATGGCGCCTCTTCAGTTGCTGCCGGTAGTGACGTTGATGCAGGAACAAACGCCTGCCCCTTGCGGTAATCGATCTTCCTGCCCCTCGCATCTCGCGCACGAACACTTCTCCCAACACCACCTTCTTCCTCATTCTCGTCTTCGCCAAAGATACCGTAGATGGCACTCTCCTTGGTCCTCCTCATCCTCTTTCGCGATGGTTGGCCTACGCCTGCATCGACTGCGTCATCGACATCGTCTCCGTTGAGCTCGTCGGATGTGGTATCGTCGTCGTCGTCGTCATCGTGGAGGATATCATCGCGATGGGTCTTCCTCCTCGCCATCGTCAGGGTGGCAGAAAGGGATGCATCTGTTTGACGAGATGGATGGTGTTCGGGTGGAAGAAGAAGAAGAAGAAGAAGAAGAAGAAGTGAAATTTCTCGAGGTGCGCTCCACTTTGGCAATATTGCTCGTGCGCAGTTTTATTTGGACCCTTTGATCGACGTTTGGCGTGGCTGGTTTCTTCTGTTCCACCAACCACGCCTTCGTCAACACAGCAAGGACGGCGAGGGATCAAGGTTCAGGAGTTGCTGCAAGCAGATGGTGAACATTACTCGCATGTCGCCGTAGCCGCGGTGCTCGCATATCATTGCCGCCACTGTGCAACAACGCAGCGACGGAAGCACAACGCGGCCAAACTAGCACCTCGACATGCAGCCCCTTCACAGCACCACAGCCTCACTGTGTCTTGTGCTACTAGCCCTCGCAGCGACAGCACAAGCCTCCTTCATCAGCACATTCCTATTCGGCAAGGACACGCTCGAGCCTGTCCGAGCCGCCATACGCCAAACCGAGCAGTTCCGCTCAGAAGTCTACGGCTGGTACCACCACAACACCACCCAGCAGGCCAACCTTACCGTAACTCCTGATCCGTCTGACCTGTACAAGCTTCTACCTTCCACGTATTCGGGTCGTAGCTTGGTCGATCCGGACGGCTCGTACTATGGGGGCATCGAAGGGTACTACAAAGGCGATTGGAGCGGGTGGGACTACAGCACACAGGCGAATAGGTCGTTGGCTTTGGACTCGAGGTTGAATCAGTCCGCTGCGCTGGAGCTGTCCAAAGGGAAGCAAGAGGTAACGCCGGAATACGTGGATGGCCGAGAAGAACATAAACTCATAGAGGATCGAGGTAAATTCGATTGGCTAACGGCCAAGACGGGGCATGTGGACCTGCACCTCAAAGAGGAGCGTCTTTTGGAGGGAAACGTGTCGCTCATCAAAGGAAGTCTCAGTTTCACAGCTCCGAAGGATAGCAAGAGCTCAGTGGACGAGGTCGACTTTTACTTGGAAGGTCTGCATTTCATCCCCACGGGCAGCATCTTCTTGCATGCCGTTGCCGAGGAGGCCTCTGAGAGCACGGATGTTCGCACGACGCTAAGCATGATTCCCACGGGCAACAACGAGACGGCAAACGCAACAGTAGCTGCTATGGACAAAGCGTTCCAGCTACGCATCGACATGCTGCAACGAATCATCGACGGCGGGTCGTACGAATCCGACGATGGCGCTTCCGACACGCCTGCTGTGAAACACAACTGCTCGCTGCACGTCTACGCCCAGCTGCAATCCGCCGGACCGCACTCCGAACTCCAACCCCTCATCAACGCTCTCGAACACGAAGCCGTCCACCCAACCGGTATCAGCACCATCCCACCGCCGCCCCTCCACCTCTCCCTGCTCGCCTACTCCCCCACCTGCCAACTCCTCCTTGCCTCCCCCCGTCCCCTCACCGGTCTCCTCCAAACAACGCTCTGGAAGAAAGCAGTCCACTACGCCATCATCTACTTCCTCATCCTCTTGCTCCAAACCTATCTGCTGGTGCAACAGATGGAAGCCACCACCACACCCAGCGGTTTGGCAAAGGTGAGCAGCAAGACGTGGTTGGCGCAGTCGCTGTTGGATGCGTACGGGTGTCTGATCCATCTCAGTGTGGCGGTGGTGGTAGAGAACGAGACGACGAAAGGGTTGCTGGCGTGTGCGTTTATGAGTGGGGTGTGCTTTTTAGCGTTTGGATACAGGTATGCGATTACGATCTATCGGAGTCAGATGGATGCGATGCCTGCCACGACGACGCAGGCGGGGCCGACGCAGCAGCGGGAAGAGACGGGGCAGGCGGACACGGGTGCAGCTGCGATACTGACGACGACGACGGCGACAGATGCTGCGTCTGCCACTGCCACTACCCCGACCGCGGAAGAAGTCCGAGCGCGACGTCGCGGCATGACCATCGCCGCCGTCGGTCTGTTCCTCTTCATGGTCGGATTCTTTCCCATCCTCACCGTCTCGCTCATGCTCCCCATCCTCTACTCGTTCTGGATCCCGCAGATCCACCGGAACATCCAACGCGGTACGCGCAAAGCCATCCTCAAACGCACCGTTGTAGGGCTGAGCGCGACGCGGCTGTTTGTTCCGCTGTACATACTGGTGTGCCCGGACAACGTGCTGTTCAGCGAGCCGAGTGCGTGGGGGTGGGCGTTGGCGGCGTACGTGGCGGTGCAGGCGGCGGTGCTGATCGGGCAGGATGTGTTGGGACCGCACTGGTTTTTGAGGAGCGAGTGGGTGCCGGAGGGCGCGGCGAGGACGTGGGAGTACCACCCGGCGGTGGAGGACGGAGATGTGGAGAGGACGCGAGAGGGGTATGGCGATTGCGCGATTTGTCTTGCTGCCATCGAGAGTAGAGGGGCGAGGCGACGGTCGGGTTCGTCGACACGAGGGAGTGGTGGTGCATGGTGGTGGTATCCGTCCGATTCGAAGCATGGATACGATCGTATCGCTGGCGATGCCGAGGGTTACGAGCTCGACTCAGACGACGATCCAGAAACTCGATCGACGCATGTCTCAACGCCCAGATACCCGCCGGAAAAAGCCCGACACCGCTTCACCAGCCACACCAGCAGCAGCGATGCCACCACCAGACGGCTGCGCAGAACCATCGCGCAAACCATCCGTACCCTCCTGCGGTGGAAGTCCGGCCTGGACGCTACCGCCACGTTGCGCCGTCGACGGACGGACGTCATGGTCGCACCGTGTCAGCACGCCTTCCACACCGAGTGCCTCGAGCGGTGGTTGGAGATCAAGAACGAATGTCCCAGCTGTAGAAGTGCTCTACCGCCTGTATAGTCGTTTCCTCACGCAATCGCAAACGAGACCCTCTTCTTCTTCCCTCCTTCATCCTTCACCTTCTGTTCTGCCGCTTCCTTGCCACCTTGCAGCTTCCTCCTCTCCTTCCTCAACCTCGCCTTCTCCCTCGCCTGCACCTTCAACCCAGCCTTGATCTCGGCTTTGCTCTTCACCTTTTTCCCCACAACATCTTGTGTAGAGGCTTTTTGAGATCTGCGATCCTTCTCGTCCTGCTTTTTGAGCTTGATCGCCTGGAGTTGGTTCTTTTTGGAGTCGATGCGGTGCTGGTGGAGTTGGGATTGGGCGTCGGTGATGGAGTGGGAGAGGGAGAGGAGGTGGGAGAGACCGGATTCTTCAGCGAACTTCTTGCGTTTGCTGGTGGAGGCTGCGGAGGGCGACATGTTTGCAAGCTGGGAAGAGGTGGTGGGTTGGAGGATGGGGAGGGAAAGGAGCACAAGGGTGTACGTTAGGAAGGGGAGGTGCAAACCAAAAAATTTGGGTGGGGATCGCGGATCTCGGTTTGTGGTAAGGTGCGCCCCGATGATGGAGTGTCGGTGTTAAGCTTTTGAGAGAGAGTGTTAGGTTGCGTTGCCGAAGGGGGGGTCAAATCTGATGTGGCTCATTCCGCTTGCTTCGGCTGGTAGGTGCAGCTCACTCTTGCAGATCAAGGTCGGTGCATGCCTATCTCTGTGCGTCGTGACATCTCATTGCGACGTTGGCGCCTGGTCCGAAGTTCTGCATGCAGTGATGCTATCTCGTCGGATTGCAATACCGTTACAGTGGTGTAGAGAGGAAGAGAGAGGGAGAGAGGGAGAAACCTGTAATCATTTCTCCTTTATTTCTCACTGGAATAGTGCCTCGACACCGCCGCGATAAGTTTTGATGACACTTACCCCACGCTGCCCCTCGTATTTCGGCAGCGGGCTCGCAGCATTCGCAATTCGATGCTGCACACGCACGGCACCGCTCGTTGGAACCGGTGTTCTGGCTCTCTCGCCTGTCTGTCTAAGCTGACTCTCTCTGGATTTTAGGCTCAGCAGGCCACTTTGAGACGATTCTGACGCTTCTTTGCTCCCCATCGTCATCGCCATCAAGTCCACATCCAACGTTAGTCGTTAATTGCGACGGAGCAAGTGGCTCCATCTTCGACCTCGATAGTCTTGCATACGGTTCCCTTCGTCTGGTCGTACCAACTGCTTGGCCCAGCAACTTCGAGTACGCCTGTCGGAAGGCAAAATCTTTCCTCTCTGGAAGCAAGCGGCTCTTTGCAAACGATCCGGCGACCACGTTCCCACGAGTAGCTTCCCACTGTCAACCCACCAAATGGCTCCAAGCATTGCGGCTTGAGGCTGACTTCATCTCTGTCCCATGTCGTCGCAGCCTGCTAACGATCTCAGCCTTTCCACTTCTACGTCGCCATTCAACGGACGGAACTCGGCTACTCCTAGCTCGCCCACTTCGCAACAGCGTCCACCCTTCTACGCACGATTCAGCCGTCGTCCCAGGACATCGAGCAACGCAAATCAGAGCCCGTTTGCTGCTAGCACCTCCAACCTCCTTGCATCGTCCAACGGCGGCTCTGGCTTTGCGAGCCTCATCAGGAGCTCCTCTTCCTCCCAAGTGCATCTCCCTTCACCGACAGACCACGCAACCACCGCCTCTCCCGAGCGCAACGCTTCTCGTCCCTCTCGCATCTCTTTCCAGACACGACTCAGCTCCCCGAATCTCGACAGCATCCCCCAGGCTTCCACCATGACCAGCACCAACGCCTCTGCAACAAACGCCAGCAGCGGCGCCGGCGGCGGCGGCGGCACCGGCAGCGCACTTGGTCGCATGTTTCGCCGTTATAGTCAGAGCGGCAACGCACGCTCAGAATCACAACGATCCACCACACGTGATCGCGACTCTTTCAACATGCCTCGCAACACAAGCTCGCCTGCTCTCGACAGGGATACGGGCAGTCCTATGCGTGTCTCGACAAACTCGGCAGTAGCTTCTCCTGCTCTCGCACGCTCCGGCTCGCATGCCGCCAACCTTTCTACACCGATTTCCGGCGATACCACCGCGGCCATCACTGGCTCTCGCACTTTGGCCTCTATACCCTCGGCGTCGGCAGCAGCATCTCCAGCATCCGGATCACCTGCTGTGGCAGCAAGTGCAACTGCATCCACGCAGACGCAACCATCATCTCAGGACGCCAATAGTGCACCTCGACTCACTCAGACCACGCCGGAAGCAGCCTCGACCGATGCCGCAGCTCCAGGTGCCTCGGCCTCTCCGGCCAGCACTCGCCCTCTGAACGGCATGCACCGTATTCGACTCGTGCCGCATCTTGAGGCCACCCGGTCGCTCCACTTTGAACCCATCGAGCGTGACCTCAAGGAAGGCGCCGGTGCCGTCAAAGTGGGTCGCTTCACCGATCGGCAGCCCTCGCAACGCGATCCCATTGCGTCCACCCTCGCTGGCGTCGTCAACGAAGCCACCTCGTCCGGTGAGTTTGGCACCTTGGCCGCCCCGGCACAGTCGACGCGCGGTCAACCCGGTGCACGAGGTGGAGCCATCCCCATCAGCGGCAGTCACGGCGGTGGTGGCCGCATCGATTCTTCCAGAATCGCGTTCAAGAGCAAGGTCGTCAGTCGAGGCCATGCAGAAATCTGGTGCGAGCCTGGTGGGAAATTCTTTATCCGAGACACCAAGTCCTCTTCCGGCACTTTTCTCAATCACATTCGTCTGTCTGGACCGAATCTCGAGTCCAAGCCGTTCGCGATCAAGGATGGTGACGTCGTTCAGCTCGGTGTTGACTACCAGGGCGGTACCGAGGAGATCTACCGTTGCGTCAAGATGCGCGTCGAGCTCAATCGAGGTTGGCAGCGCGAGGCGAACCAGTTCAATGTCAATGCCTTCCGTCAGCTGCGTGCGTTGCAAGGTACACCGCTCTCACCACCCACCGAGGACAAGGGCAAAGTTGCGTCGACCGCCTTGCCCACCAACCGTCAGAGTGTGAGCGTCACCGACTGCTGCATCTGCCTCTTTTCGGTCACTGTCTGTCAGGCGCTGTTCATCGCTCCTTGCTCGCACGTGTTCCACTACAAGTGCATCCGGCCCTTGCTCAACCTGCATCATCCCGGATTCTCCTGTCCGCTGTGCCGCACGTTTGCCGACCTAGATGCGGATGTCGAGGAGGACGAGGCGTGGCAGGTGGCGCTCGAGCAGGAAGCAGCTGCCGCAGAGGCACGCCTGGCGCTGGGCAAGCAGCCGCTCGAGGTGGGGACGCCCGCCGTCGAGCTGGATGCCCCCATCGCTGCTGCTATGGCTCCGACCCTGACCACCGCGCTTCTCAATGGCGATGTGGGCCGCGAATCGACCGCGCCCAGGCTGCCATTCACTGCAACTGCTTCACCGCTGCTGGCGGATCTGCAGACAGGGCATGCAGCTCCACCGAGGGGCACCGCCGCTTTGAGCAGGCGCAAGAACGATTGGGCCCGTCCAGACACAGCTGTGGGCTCGAGTGCTGGGCCTTTGGCTGGGGACGAGACGTTTGCGGTAATGGAAAGCCATGCGGAAACGGCTGGCCTGTCGGCAGAGCTCGGCGAGATGATGGTGACAGATCGACTATTGAACGAGAATCCGGCTGCAAATGTCGGCACGGCAGCGTCGCTCCATCGCGCCGCTCATGGCGCGAGCGAGACTGGCTCCCCTTTGCGCAGAGGATCGGGCCCCATCGCCATCGGCAACAGCGACCGTGCCATGCATGGCCAGAGAGCGACACCATCATCGTCGGCTCTGACCGGACCTGCTGCACAGGGCAGTTTGGACGAAGGTTGGCCTACCGTGGGCACAGTCGGCGGCTTTTCACCCGGTCTCGACGAGTCGGGAACGCCGCTCAACAGTACATTTCTGAGCACGCTCGCCGAGGCGCCTCAGGTGGGATCTGCGAACCACTCTCCTTCGTCTGGGCGGGATTTTCCGCCAGGCCGATCGGCACCGGCCAAAACACCAGTGCCGGCCATCATCACAGCGGGGACGAGCCGTCCTCGACTCGGTGAGGATGGCGCGAACGACGCCCAATTCGCTGACCCCGTGGGAGCGCGCACAAAGAGGTCAAGCGGCGAAGGGGGTGAAGACGTGGATACAGCCGAGGAGGAGATGGGAGGTCCAGCGACGTTCGGCGGCGCCACTCTTGGCAGTTCGGGCGGCGCAGGACCTGCCAAAGGCAAAGCGAAGGTGGATGGTCAAACTTTGACGTTTGCAGGTGATGTGCATCACGATCTGGTGAAAACCGGCGATGGATCCGTTCAAGTGCCGCACAAGGTCGGCGGACAAGCAACTCCAGCTTCCGGCGACTTCGGCGCCAAGTCGACTGGCGTCCGTGGATACAGTCGCAGCAGGAGCCGAAGCCGAAGCGGTCGCGATGCCATGCAGAGCGATTCGGACGATCAGGAAGCAGCGCCCTTCCAGTCGTACGAGCTCCCGCCTGTGCCGCGGACAGGCCCCAACCTCAACGCGAGCGCGTACATGCACAACAGCCCCGGTGGTCAGAGTCACTCTGGCAACGGAGGCAGCGCAAGGCAGACGGGCGGCAATGGTGGCAATGCCGAAAACGTGTCGTCGCCCGCTTCACCGGCTTCAGAGAGCAAGATGGCTCGGCTCAAGAGACGGATTTCCCATGCCATGTGAGGGTTATTTGCGTGACTCAGCAGTTGAAGGCGAAAGTAATCACCAGCGTGATTCGAATTGAATGTTGCCTTTGCCAAAGAGTCGGTGCTAGATGTTTGTGTGTCTGTCGAGTGAGTGCAACGAAAGGCATGCCCGATGTCGTCGATAGGTGAAGCGACAGCACAGCACGCCATCCCTCCGCGGATCCTGCTTGTGTGACAGAGTGTGAGTGGCTGCTTTGTGGAGGAAAAGCTCGAGAGACGCGCACGGCTTCAACTCGCACATTTCACGCAGCCGACGCTGGTCAGGGTCCACTTGACCCTTGGACTCAGGCACATCTCGACTTCCTGAGCTATCACATTCAACCACATCGACTCAGCCTCCCTTGGCCGCTGCTGCAACGAGATCGAGGTAACAGACATATCGGCGACGAGCAACAAACGAAGCCACCATCATGCTCGCTCCTTGCTGTCCATAGCAAACACGTTCGACCCTCTTAGGCGTACGATTCTCCACAGTGCCGGCTGGCAACGCAAGGCTGCTAAGCAGTCGGAGCTGTGCATCAACCATGAAGGTCATTCGAGCATATGATGGTCGCTCCATCATCGTCAATCAGCCTCTCTCGCAGTTTGCTTCGCTCGATGATCTCCTCGACTGCCTGTCACTTGCCACAGAGATTCCGTCTGATGCCATCATCTGCATGACATCCGATGGAAGCCAGCTCAAGCAAGAAGTGCTCGATCGCATCATCCAACAAACCGCAACTTTCCCATCAGAGTCCTCCACCACAGCCGTCGCAAGATCGAATCCTTCTGCTTCGACACATCAAGATGCAGCGAATCAGTCTCAGGAGTTCTTCGTCTACAACCGAGAGTTCCTGTATACCGACCCAACAGAGCTCGCCGCCGAGCTCGCAGAGCACGCCAGCCTCGAGCCTGCTCCAGCAATATTTGATGCCGAGCTCTCCTTTCCACCCACGCCTAAGACGCTCGAAGCGCTCGTCAGCTGGTCAGGCGAGATCGCTGCGCTTGTCGCTACTCACCAGCAGACGTGCCAAGACCTGCTCGAGCGCATCACACTCATCGCTCGAAGCCTTCAAGTTGCGCTCGCCAATCTTCGAGATCATGCCGACAACATCGAGAAGGGCGCCAATGCGCTCATCGAAGATGTCGCACAGAAGGAGCTCAAGAGAATGGAGAGCTTGCTGCAAGGGTACGAGCGTGATCTGCGCATCCTCGCCATGGTTTCCATCCACCCGCGCCTTCAATCGACGAGCGCACAGATGGCCAATGCAGCCGCTGCAACGTCGTCTTCTACTACTACTACACAGAACGGCAACGGTAGCGGCCCATCTGCTGCAGCGAAGCCGAAGCACCGCACACTCGGCGACTACATCAGCAAATCAAAGATGAGCGCCGTCGCGGATGCCTGCAATCGTGTCTATACAGAGCTTCGCGAACGCATCGTCCGCATCGAGACGGAGCTTTCGCTTGTTCGAAACGATACCCAGGGTCTGTCGGACGAGGTCGAGTCGACAACTCCGGAAGTAGCCGACGAGACGTACCAGCGCGTCGTCGAAGCACAAGCACGCACCCAGCAACTACATGCTTTCGTCAACTCGACTTGCTCGCCAGACCCTCAAGGCTGGCCTGTGGCCGACAAGATCAACCAAGAAACCTTTGATGAGATCGTCCGAAGCTCCGATGAGCTGCTGCTATTGGATGAAGTGGTGCGCGAAGGTGTACAGCGCCTCACACAAGATCGCAATGATATTCTGGAGCGCAGCTTACACCTGCTCATCGATATCTCGGCGATCCAGTCCGAGTTCACCGAGACCGGCTCGTTGCTGGCTGCCGTTGACGCAGATCTGCATTCCAACAAGCTCGACGGTTTCAAGCATCTGCACCGGCTCAAAAACATGCTTTGGGCCTACGGCGCTACCGTCGTCGAAGTGGTGCGCCGTCGTGAGTTTGCAAAGCACTTTTTGGGCAAGTCGCAGTCGCTCGCCGAGCTCATGGCGAAAGTTTCGGCATCCGAATGGAAGCGCAGACAGTTCTACCGCAGCGACGTCTCCTCGCTCTTGCCCTGGGAGGTCAAAGGCATGGACGACAAACCACCCAGTCTTGAGATTACAACACCGCGCGTCAGCAGCGAAGCCATGGCTGACCTTGGTCTTGCCGATCTGCAATCGCTGTACGAGCTACTCGACCAGGTCGATCAACGGCTACGGGAAGAGTCGGACGGCACGGACAGTGCAGCCAGCCCGATACCAGAGGTCAAGATGGCACTGCAGGCTCTCGCCGCAGCATTGCAAGATCTGGACGATGAGTTCATCCATCTCGTCAACAACCAGCTTCTGAATCAGCGAGACGAAGAGGAGGCGTCGGACGAGGATGCTCACGAAAGCGGGTCCGACACGTCCATCCGGGCACGGCAAAGGTTGCGACGTCGTCAGCGCCTCACCGCATCGATTGCAGCGGCCAACGATCAAGAGCTTACGCAGCTTCGACAGGAGCTCGCAGAAGCAAGGTCGTCGAACGAACAAGCAGAGCGGGCGCTCAAAGCTGATCACGCGACCCGGATGTCGGGGCTCAGATCCGAGGTGGAGACGCTCAAACGACAGGTAGAGTCCGGCAAAGCAGATGTGGCCAAGCTCGAAGCCGAGAAGCGGGAATCCGAAGGTCGCATTGATACGCTGCGTGCGGATCTCGAGCTCGAGCGTGAACGCCGTCTCAATATGGTCGACGAGGTCAACCAGCTTCGACGAGATCTGGAGCAGAGTCACCGTGTCGAAGCGGAAGCAAAGCAAGAGGCCGTCGAGGAAGCCGACCGAGTCGCCGAGCTCGAGGCGCAGGCTCACGAGCTGCATCTTGAGCTCGAAGAAGCCAAGAGCGCGCGTATCGATGCCAGCAACCGCATAGAGGCGCTGCTCAGCGAAGGTTCCAGCTTCGAAGGCGAGCTGCGAACCGCTCAGGCTCGCATCGATGAACTCACCGAGCAGCTGTCCAATGCGCACGCCGAAGCAGCCAAAGCCAGAGAGGCAGCAGCAGAGGTCGAGGCTGTCAAAGAACGACAGATCCGGTCCTACCGTGCCGAGGCAGACGGCGACCGTGCTATCCTGGAGGAAAAGGTGCGGGCACTGAAAGCAGATCTGGACGCCAAAGCCAAGCTGCTGGAGAAGCAGGCCACGATCGCAACGCGAGCCGAGCAGAGCCGCGTACCGGATCGAGAAGCCATCGAACTGCTGAGAGGTCAGCTGCGAGCCGCTGATGTGGCACACGAGGAGATCGTCAAGGAGATGGACCATGCCAAGGGACTTGCCGACGAGGCAGAGGCGGCACGACGCGAGGTGGAGGCCAGTCGACAGCTGCTTCTTGAACGCACTCGAGGTCTTCTCGCCAAGGCGAGCCTATTGAGAAAGGCGGTGCGCGAAATGCCCAAGCACACCTCGTCACGTCAAGCATCGTCTTCCGACGCAGCTCAGCCGACCGACAAGAATGGCACAAACGCTGCCTCATCTGCTGCGCTGCCATCATCGTCAGGTGCAGCCATCGCGGCTCAACGCGCCATTGCCGCATCGACAGGTAGCCTCTCTGTGTCTGAACTATCCGAGTCGCAGCGCCAAGCAGCGCTGGATGCTTTTGATACCGAGGCTGACCGTGCCAGTGTCGAGACGACCCTCGAGGCGCTGCGCGCATTTGATGTGTCCGAGATGTACGATGAAGTCAAGGGCAAGCTCGATACGCTCAATGTCGTTGTACGCAAATGGCAAAAGGCCTGGAAGTCGGCCAACGACAAGGCCACCAAGGCCAATCACGCTGCCAGGGAAAAGATTGCCTTCAAGAACTTCCAGGTTGGCGACTTAGCACTGTTCCTGCCCACGCGCAGCTCGAACTTGACGTCCAAGCCTTGGGCGGCATTCAACATCAGCTTCCCGCACTTTTTCCTCAATGCACAAGGTCCTCTGGCCGATCATCTGCGCACCAAGGAGTGGATTGTTGCACGCATCACTAGCATCAACAACAAGGTCGTACCCACGGCTGACAAGACCGAGGCAGGAGCAGCAGGCAAGCAGGAAGAAGATGCAAATCCTTTCAGACTGCCTGAAGGTGTTCGATTCTTCATGTTGGATGTGGAGACGTATGGGGGTCATAGCTCAGCGCCGCCGGCATTGCGAAGTCGCAAGAGCTCATCGGCGGCGATGGTTGGAGGTCAGAGCTCCGTCGATGCCGATCCTTCCCACGGTCGGTCGCTGGACCGCAAAGAGTCGCCGAGCCATCCCCGAAGCCGAAGCGAAGGTGCCGTCGCCAGTCTTACAGGTCTTGTCGAAGAGAGCAAGGCTGCTACGGCAGAGGAAAGCCAGCGTCCTGCGAGACAGCATTTGCAAGCAGAGGCTGAGGCGGACGAGAGTATCATGACCAAGGCTCTGGAGGATGTGTCCGTCGTTCAGGACGACGATGCCGCCGGAATGACGAGCGGCTTCTCGCTGCGGTCTGACAAAATCGACGTTCCTGAACAGTCGACGCCGCCGATGCAGACCCCAGACACGTCCCCACGCATCGGATCGGCCGCGACACTACCCGCTCAGACTCCTCTCGATGGACAGGAGAAGGAACAGACGCAAAGTGACGATCACTCATCAGAGCCACGCTCTGCCACGTCGGCCTCTGCTCTGACGCGTGCTATACGGAGCACGTCGCCCAGCTCCTCCTTCCGGCCAGAGGGCGGGCTCAGTGCCGGAGGCGCTGGACGCTGGAGAGCGGGATCGTCGGCTTCATCCAGCGCAGCACAGTGGCCCTCGCGCAACATTACTGGTATCGCAGAGGAGGCAGACTCACGCCAGCGCGAAGGCAATGACGGAGACGGTTCAAGTGCGACGGGCTCCACGAGCCATCGGTCGACGCTGATCGAGCACGCGACCATGGCGCCGGCTTTCGGTCGAACGCCCAACAAGCGACGCTTCGAAGCTGCAGGACGCACGCAGAACGGCTCTCCGTCAAGCCGGTCTGTCGTCGGTCGACGTCACGGAGAAAGCGGCAGTCCCGACGGTGAGCCTCTTGATGGCCGCAGTGCCACATCCGCTCCTGCTTCGCAAAGTCGGTCGGAGGGGATCGCGATCCGCACAATCCGAACAGCGCACTCGGATCTCTCGGATACGGCTGTGTCGAATCCATTCTCGCAGTCTCCGGGGCCAGCGTCGCTGCCGTTTGATCGAGACGGATTGGGCACGTTGGGACGCGGTCAGACGCGACGCAAGTCGAGTCTGTACATCAGCACGTCTGCATCTACGGAGAGCGAGATGGCACGTCCGGAGGCCCCGAAAGTGCAGCGGTGGCCGAGCGATGCGGTGTCCAAGGCTTCTCAGCGTACAGCGTCGTCGGCGTCGGGTGCTTCGGTGTCGAATCAGCCTAGTGGGGGAATTCGTATCAATGGACGGAGCATCGTCGTGGATCCATCGGTGCTGTCGGGCGCGCATCGCAGACAGACGTCTTCGTCTTCTGTAGCGACAACAGCGGTCACGGCGGCGCATGCGGTTCCAGGTGCGTTCCCGTCTTCGTTCTCCTCTTCTGGCTCGCTCGCTGGTCCAGCTTCGCCGTCTGTGGGACCCGGTGCAAGCGAAGAGGCGGGACCCTCGTCTGCGACGGTGCGTCAAACTTGGCGATCGCCTAGCTTCAGCGGCGCAACATCTTCGAGTCGACCCGCGCTTGCTGGCACGCAGAAGCCGTCATTCTTGAGCCAGACGCTGGGCCGGTTCACTGGAGCAGCGGCACAAGCGGTTCAAAGCCCTCCCTTTGCACCAATCGGTGGCGAGAGTGAGAGCGCAAGGAGACGTCAGCCTTCGCGCCCTTCGTTGTTTCAAGCGATCGGCCAGGAAAGCACAGGTGCGGACACGGTCGGTGGAACATCGCAGCAGGTGCACAGGGGTACACCCGAGTCGATCGTCTCTGGTGTGTCGGGTTTTTCGAATGTGTCTGGGAACAGCGCCGAGGGGATGCTGAAGCGGCTGAAGGATCAACCGGGATCGCAGCGCTAGGAGTGTCGAGGGGTGATGTGGTGAGCCGAAATTCAGAGTGGTTGTTTGCATGGTAGCGATCAGAGTGTCTGTGAGTGTAGACGGGAGGGCGACGGATGAGCACAAGACACGATATGCTGATGATGAACGTTTGACAGAACGACAGAATGGAAGCTAATGTACAGATATATACGGGAGACGAGACGTTGAGAAAGAACAGGGATGCAAAGAGGATCGAGTGGGGTCACGAGGGCGGGGGGGAGGCTGTGGCTTAGACAGCCATGGCGACCTCGTCGCTCAAACCCTGGACCTGCTTATGGAGGGAGGAGTAGTCTTCCATGTAGTCCTCCTTGAGCTTTGTAGCGTCTTTTCCCTTTGATGCGGCTTTTTTTCCGCCTCCTGGTACGATCATGACTACGCTTGTGGGTCTCTTTGTAGCGCTTGCTGCGCCGAGGGATTCCTTGCTGGCTACGAAGATGTAGGGGTTGCTGGTGTCTTCGCATAGGACAGGGATGTGGCTGAGGATGTCGATGGGGGAGATGTCACCTGCTAGGACGACGAGACCCTTTTCGCCCTTGCGAAGGGCTTTTACGACTTCCTTGACACCGCGCTTGACGTGACCGCGGGATTTGGAGGCCTTCTTGGTGAGTTTGAAGAGCTTCTTGCTCATCTTTGGCTGGGCTAGAGGTTGAGCGATGGGAGAGATGTTATCGGAGGTCTCGGCATCTTCGTCGTCGGAACCAGCAGCGTCGACCTCGACCTCGACCTTGACCTTTTTGTCCTTCTTTTCCTTCTTTTCCTTTTTGGATGGTGTGGCTTCTACGTCGGTGGTGGCATCGATGTCCATAGCGGCGACATCGGATTTGCGCTTGGACTTTTTGTCCTTTTTAGATTCGTCCTTCGCCATGTTTGCGAGTGCGTGGGAGAGTGGGTGGATGAGGAAGGGTTGAGGATGATGGCGAGAAAGGTTGTGGAGAGGTCGAAGCGAGAAAAGACAATTTTGGCAAGAAGAATCCACACGAAAACTCAAAATTTGATGCGGCTGCGCTACTGCTGCTGCCACTGCTTCTGCTGCTGCCGCTCCTCAGCCGAAACTTTTTTGAGAGGCGACTTTTCTTTTTCTCATGCCGAAATGTGTGGGGTCTAACACCACGCGTGAAATTGGAGAAGAGTCGATCACGAGACCCTCCCCTGCCGGTGTCTCTCTTTATCGTGCGAAGGGTTGAGCTGCCAACCGCAGTTTTTATTTTTGTCAGTCGAGACGAGAAGAGAAGACCAAAACGTGAGAAGAAAGGCGAGAAAATTTTGGAATTGCAGCTGGGCAGTCATTGATTTCACCTCTCCTTCTGACCCTCATCCATCCCTTCTCAACACCTCTCGCACCATGGTCGCAAGCTTGCCCGCAGGTCGGTGCATCTTTGACCATCAGCAACCGCATCCGTCATCGGCATAGCAAGATCAGTCAATCTTTTTGTGAATCGTAAGTGTCATCGCAGCCTTCTCCTTTCGGAGGTTTCTCGAAGGATTACACAAAACCACACGCATGATGTCCGTGATTGCGTATCCAATCAGAAATTTTATACACGAATCAGATGATCAGAAACATTGGACCAGGAGCTTTGTCTCAACCTTGCCACGAACGGTGTGACTGACTTGCTCTGGCATTCGCTCTCTTTGGCTTGATATAGAAGTCTCGACCCGAACCTCGCTATACCCAATCTCGACTCTCGCTTCTCAGAGGTGTGTACATCAGCAAGTCCGGCGCCGCACAGCATCATGGCAAAAGCAGTTTGGGAAGCAGCATCGCTCATCGACGGAACAAAAGGATGCTATAGCATTATACAAACTAGAGTCTCGCGGTCTTGGTTCGCGTTAACTTCGCAAAGCTTACTGATTCTACGTCGCCCGTACGCTGTCACTCCAACTGCCGCTGCCAAGGTGCCGTGCGCTTGTACGGTCAAGATTGTAGTATGAAGGACCACAGAGCTGATCGTTTCGCTTTACTCCTTCGAATACGCCCTTGTTAGACATTGTCTGCGCAACCGAACGGACACGATGCAATGCTGGCGTACAGCTGGCCTGCTGCTACGCTCTGCTCGATTCCAGACGTGCAGTCCATCGACACTGGCAATCCGCAGCGTCTCTTCCAATGCTCCGTCGGATCCGATCACCAAGCCTAGGCTTCAGGTAAGCATCCCACCCATTTCTCCCGACCCTCTTTCCCGCTCCCCTCCTTCCCTTTTTTCTTTCTTCACTGCGACGCTCGGACATCCACTCTGCGATGATCCCTGCCGTACCTTTTATCAAATTGGCGCCGGTGCACGCGGCGCGGTTGAGCTCACGCTCGATCCGTGTCCCTCGCACAATATCGTCTGATTGGGAGCGACATCCTCGACACATGAGGAGGCCACGAGCCTGCCTTTACGGGCGGGCGAGTGGACGTGTAAAAAACGCGACAACCCTGGCGGCGGCTATGCCTAGATCAATGTGCCCTTGTCACCTCTTCGCCTGCGTTGCGCTTTCCTTTCTGATTCCTTGCGGCATGCTGCTTGCGCATCAGGAGGGTCATGCGCCGGGATGAATGTACTTGGGCTGGCACCCTAATTTCATAGCACTTGGAGTGAGGTACTATGTACCAATGCTTGTTTGAGGCTACAACCTAGGGTCCTGGCTACATTTTCTTCTTCTCTTTTCGCTCTTACCCCTTTTTTCGATTCTGCTTTCTGGGCACTTCGATGGGATGCGGAAGACTGACACGAGTTCTCTTGAACGTCTGTTGCTAGATCAAGCCTCTGCGCCATGCAAGTCTCGAACCGAACGCGCGTGCCTTTTTCGCGCCAGAGAAGGGTCACCTCGTTCATGGCTGTCAGGATTTCACCATGATCCTGAAACCTTTTCCGCGCCATCTGGTCGACGAGCAAGGTCATATTGTCGAATCACGTATGATCCCGAACTGGCTCCCGATGCCTCCGCATCCTTCGACGCACCAACGCCGACACCTTTGTTCTCCTGTCGTTGATGTCAAGCCTCCGTCCCGGGTGGAGAGCGAAGGAGACCGGTGGGAGGCCCTCGCCCTTCCTCCAGCCACCAGCGGCTTAGGTTGCGCAGCCCGCGCCACGCTGCGCGTCTTCATCCTGGCGTCCAAGAAACGCATCCACAAACGCGCCGTCATCCGTCACCGTGCCCGCACCCGTCTGGTGGCAGCGCTCCGCACCGCTATCACACGCCTCGAGATATCCGACTTTGACGTCGCACACAAGCTCGACGTGCGCAAGCATGTGCTCATGCTCGTAGCCAATCCGGACGCCTACGCCAAGGACATGGATGCGCTCGTCACCGAGATGGATTCGGCTGTACGTCGGATCGCAAGCCTCTACTCGAGAAAGCACAACGCCTCGTCTTCTGCGACCACGGCCTCGGCTCGAAGCAAGAAGTACGTCCCGCGCAAAGCAACAGCATAAATCAACAACGAGTAAGTTTTTCCTGCTGAAATTGGCTTGGAGGAAGGGGGGCGAAGATTATCAATTGTATCACCCGCAAGGGGATGCTGGAAATTACCGTCCGATATTGCTCCATGAAGGACATTTTTAAGGCTGTTTTAATGAGCCCCCCTACTCTTCCTGCTTTGGCATCGTCGCTGTTCGCAGAACCAGTTGACTGACATTACTACCGACCTTTGATCTCGATAGGTATATACCCTGACGATATGTCACTTGACTCTGACCACACCGAAAGAGGCAAATGCTACAAAGTGGTAAGTCCTCTCTCTCATCCCTGTGGTTCGACTCCAGCCGGCCGAACAGCAGCAGCAGCAAAGCGACGTTCTGCGCAGAATGATGAGTTTCAACCAATATCACGACGGTCTTCGTACAAAACCATGGCGAATCCGCCCTGCCACTAAACCCAATTTTCAGGGCACCCGTACTGATTCTTCAGCTACGTCAATCTGCTGCTGCTGTTTGCGGACGGTTGAGCAAGGAAATGCAAGAGAAAGAAAGAGGATGGATTGGCTGACCTTTTTCCCCTCTTTCGTGGCGTTGCAGTGATAGATACCTGGTAATTTGATACCCCGATGGAAGTTGCTTTTGTAAAGGATGTGCGGTGTGTGTGTGATGAGAGAGATGAGCGAGCGAGAGGGGATGTGAGGTGGGGTGTCGACGAGCATGGTATCAAAGCACACAACTGTCACACGCACACACATGTTTCCACATCAGAAACAGTTACGAGCTCAATCAACGAATTTCATATTCAAGCAAAGCTTCGTACAGTATACTTTCCTACAACTCCTTGCCCACCGCCTGCTTCGATTCGCCGGGCACACCCACGATCCACGGCAACACCAACGCATTGGCCCTCCTAAACGGCCACCCCAGCACGCCACCCAACGGTTTATGGTTCCACCTATCCTCAAACCTCACCACCTTCCCCTCCGCATCCCTCTCCATAACCACCGTGCTGATCATCTCCTTCACCATCCCCAACCCCTTCACCTTGTACCTCTGTTTCTGCACGTACTCGACCAACCTTGGTTCGTCCTTGATCAACTTCCACTCGAGAAGGTGGGACTCGCTGAAGGCAGCGGGCATTCCGTACCACTGGGCGAGGTACTGGCGCGAACCGTTGGCGTGACAGATCGGGTCGGCGAAGATGGCGGTGGGTGACCAGGAACGTGCAAAGATGGTGGGGGAGGGTTTGGCGGAGAACAGATCGACAGCGTCCTTAATCAGGGTGGCGGTAGCACCGGACGGCTCGATGTTGGGATGGGATTCGAAGCCAGCGAAAGAGGCGGTTTGAGGTGGGAGGGTGGAGGAGGAGGACATGGTGTTGATCGAGGCGGCTGGTCGACCGATACGAAAGTTTCGTTGGGAGGCGGGGATGGCAGGTTGACTGGCAGAGGCAAAGGATGGTGTGGTGGACAGAAGGAGTGCTCCTGTGGATGCAAACGAAAGCGGTGAAACGCCGCGGGGGAGAGATCGACTGCTAATGACGCTGGTAGCACCGGTGAGAGCGGGGAGCGATGCGGTGGTGGTGAGCGAGATCGCTGTGAGCAGCGCACACAGAGTTCGTGTGGATGGAGCGGTGTTGGTGGTGGGCACAAGTCTCATTTGTGCTCGTTCGGTTTTTGTCGTGGTATGTGAATGGAGAACTTCACGTCGTTGTGAGAGGGGGAGGAAGGAAGGGTGACGGCAAGCTCGGTACATATACCTTTTTACCGTCGACGCAACCAGACTCCGCGACAAGGAAACCCCCTCAGTCAGCTTTTGTTTGCCAGTGACAGCATGGCTTGGACTCGGATACGGGAACGAGGGTGAATCATCCTCCGAGTTCGCAAGCTGTTGTGGCACATGGCAGGACCAAGTTTGGTGCGGGTGAGTGAGTGAGTGATGCCTCCACACCGCAAAAATACCGTCACGTCAGCCGTGGGCGCCCAGTTCCGCGGAGTCAGTTTTGGTATAGCGTTAGATCGAGTCTAGTAACTTGATGCAGCAAAAAAAGACATCTCGTGCGGTTGGAAGGAACTCGAGAAAGGCTGATTTTTTGCATGCGAGACTCTCCGACGTAACCGTTTTTCCACCCTGTCACTGTCCTCCATTCCAACACCATCTTGCTTCGAGCAACAATCACAATCATGGCTGCGTCGGCTTCAAGGACGGCTTGCAGCTCGCTTCTGCGCTCGCAGAGGCGCAATATTGCCAACTCGGCACGCAACTCGGCCGCCTCTTCTTCCTCCTCTTCGTCCTCATCATCGGAGCAAAACGCCTCTTCCTCTTCCTCGACCACTTCCACCTGGCAACCTCGACTCGAAGCCGGCACGCTACCTGCATACGATGAAGCGCTCAAGTTCCTCTCCTCCCACTCGGCGTCTCTCCGTGCCCAGATCGCCGACCTCAAAACCACCCATCCCAATCTGACCGAACCCGAACTGTCCTCCCTCACCTCCTCCCTCACCATCGCTTCCCTCATCAACGACCCCTCCACCCTCTCCAGCTTCGAGTCATCCTCCCCCACCCACTACGACGCCTCCAACCCGGCTTTCGTCCACCTGCGCGAACGTCTGTGGAGACGCGATTCCGGCGTGCTCGCCAAACTCATGCAGCGGTGTACGCTCATGTCGGTCTTCCCGGACGTGCTTCCCGGGATGACGCCTACTGCGGATGTCTCCATCGCCTTTGGTGAAGGACGCGGGTATACGGATTCGGAGAAGGATGGTGGGGATGTGTTGGCGGGGGTAATGATGGAGGCGAGCGAGACGATCGAGGCGCCGCAAGTGAACGTCAACGTGTTCCATCCCGAGGTGAAAAAGTACACCTTGGTGATCGTCGATCCAGATCAGCCCGACGTCGAAAACCAGAGCTTCAAGACCTCGCTTCTCGCGCTCAAGCAGGACATTCCACTCAGCACAACCACCAACCCGACCATCGACCTATCCTCCAACATGTCCCTCCCCTACATCCCTCCCCACCCGCAAAACGGTACGCCGTATCACAGATACACCACCATCCTCCTCGAACAACCCCCTTCTTCCTCTTCTCCATCCGCCGATGCAGTGCAAGAGACGGACAGGCACAACTTCGACCTCGCCTCGTTCGTACAGCAGCGAGCTCTGGTCCCCGCAGGCATCCACTTTTGGCGTAGCAAGTGGTCCCCCGAATCAGCGCAGAGCATCACAAAGATTCATAAGGAAGTGCTGAAGGTCGACGAACCCAAGTACACCATGCCGCCGAGAGCGGATAAGGTGAGGAAGCAGGTGGGCGAGATTGGGTCCAAGTGGTTCTCCTAGGCGGGAAGGACACGGATAGTCGAGAAAGTTAATGGAATGAATTGGTGAGATCTTACTCGAATGTGTGACTGAGGACAGGTGATGCAGATTGTAATGCTGTGACAGTGCACGATAACACCTTGCCTTGCGTCCGGACGAGTTGTCCCTCGACTGGCCTTGATATCGAATGCCTCTGACCCCTCACGCCGAGCCAACGCTCACTTCACCCCTCACACTCCCTCACACATCCCTCTTCGCAAACCGAATCCTCAATCTCCCCAACACCAACATCTTTTTCTCATTCCAACTCTCCCCCTCTCTAAGCGCATACATCCTCTTACGTCCACAACCCGTACTTCCTACCGGGCCAAGTCTGCCACAACCTGATCGTACCATCCTCGCTCCCGCTCGCCGCCATCTCACCGTCCGGGCTATAGCTGACCGCGTGAGCAGGACCGTGATGGCCCTTATTGAGCTCTCTCTCCTCGCCACTGGTGAAATCGAAGATGCGAACCCACCCATCTGCGCTGCTCCCTGCTACGAAACGGTCTGCCAAGGTAGGGTGGAGGTTTGCCGAGCTGATGGGGATGGCCAGGGTGTGGGATTTGATCGTTTCGCGGGTGGAGGGGTTGATGAAGAGCACGGTTTTGCCCGTGGTGATGGTGAGGAGTTCGCCGAAGGATTTCGTGGAAGAACGTTCCATCGACGTGATGGGTTCGGTAAAGGTCATACTGTCGATCGCGGTGGAGGAGCGCGTGTCCCACCATCGGATCACTTTGTCCTCGCCTGCACTCACAACCAATCCTTCTTCCTCCCCTCGGTGCCAAACACAACTCTTGACCACCCCCTCGTGCGCAACCCCGCCATCACCGAAAAGTCTCGCCTCGACATCAGGTCGTTTCAAATCGAACAACCGGAGTTTCCTCTCGTGTCCCCCCGTCAACACTCTCTCACCCCTCTGGTCGATCGCCACCGTCTTGACGATGTGGTTATGCGGGAACGTGTGAAGACAATCCCCCGTAAACGTATCCCACACTTTAGCAGAGAAATCAGCAGACCCGGTGACGGCGATACTCGCCTCGCCACCGGAGAGCTTGGACGACCACACAGCTCCCTTGTGCCCGAGAAAGGTGCCGACCCAATCGCCGAGCCAATCGCGCAGCATGGGGTTACCGTCCTTGCACGAGGATAGGAGCGAGTAGGTGCCGTCGTCCTGCAGGTCCGAGAACTCGAGGTGCACGACGGGCCGCGTGTGCCCGGAACATGTGAGCGGGACCGACTTTTGCGTGGTGCCGGGAGTGGAGGTCATTGTCGGCAGTCGATACTGGAGTTCGGACTGCGGTGAGGAGAAGGGTGTGTGGTCGGAGAGGTGGAACTTTTGAGCGAGCGCTGTAGCTTAGTGTATGGCGCGAGTAGTAGTTTCCGTCTGCGGCGGATCGATGCCGACGTGTGTGTGTGTGTGTGTGTGTGTGTGTGTGTGTGTGTGTGTGTGTGTG